GAAGAACAGGGTATACCAGTGCTTGATTAGGCGCCCTATTCTCCAGATTTGAACCTAATTGAACACGTCTGGGCTTAGATGAAGCAGTGGATCAACCAGCAATATCCACACCTCAAGGACCTTGGAGAATCGCAAGCAGCCTATGATGAATTAGCTCGAGTAATTGTAGAGGCGTGGGAGGCCATGCCGCAGGAGAAAATCGACTCTCTAATCAAGTCAATGGATAACCGGGTCAATGCAGTACTACGAGCAAAAGGGTGGCACACCAGATACTAAATCAAGAGTCCCAATTAGGAAATTAGTATGGCTACAATCTTCAGACGTCAGCGAGCATTTTGAGCTATTTTTCATAAAATTCCGACAAAAGTTCATTGTGTAATAGTAAATTGTATAGGATGTAGAACAATTGAGGGTGGGGTGTAAAATATTCGTGGGGCGAGAACTTTTGACCTAGTACGGAGGCGTGCGTTAAAAGCATTTGCTAGCGCCAATTTTTAACTTTGACTTAGTGATATCTAGCGTTCCTCTAGCTCCCATACTAATTTGTATGGCTAACGCAGGATTCGTGGGGCGAGAACTTTTGACCTAGTACTGTAAATGTTACCCGTATGTTACAGTTCAGAAAGACGGTACTTCCCTTCCCCAACAAGTTCCTACACACGTAGCAAATTTTTCTGGCCCCTCATCAGTGGGCGAAATGACCCTGAAACGTCTAAATTTATGCAACAGTCCAAGTACATAGGATCCCCTTGCATCACATCATCCTTTTCGCAGTCAGCATGAGTGGTTCAGAGGGCGAATCGCGCGGTGCCTCGGAGGACAACAATCAGGGACGAACGGGGCTGAGTGGCACAGTGTGCGCTAATACTCCATGATGTGTAATGACGACTTGTCTTTGACTTTGCTAGCTGTCGGCTCTGTCGTCAAAGAAAAACTAGGTGCGACCGGAACAAGCCTCGTTGTGGACATTGCATAAAGGCGGGTGTAGATTGTGAGTACTTGTCGAAGCAAAAGAAACATGGCCTGCGAGCTGGCTATGTGTCTGAGCTTGAGCGGCGATTAAGTGAGTTCTTATGACCTGGGCTTTGAGCACGTGACTGAATGGTAGGGCATGAGATATCGTCGAGCAGGAGCTGCAGCAACTGAAGCAACATCAGACGGAAGCAAGAGGCCCAATCGATGCTGGAACCGACTTCCCTGTATTTTCGCCATGGCCAGCTCCACTGCAGCCGTCTGCCCAAGCCGAGGGAGAGGTGGATTTCTTCAGCGCAATACCTGATCACGTCAAGGACGCTGGTGAAGGCGCCACAGCCTACGAGCTCCAACATCTGTCACCGGCAATGATCAGTAACCTTTGCGAAGTATGGTTCAAGGAGTATCAGCCTTGGTGTCCCATCCTTGATCGGCATCAGGTGGTCGCCAGTCTACAGAACGCATCCTCTCAACCTGGCACAGGCATGGACATCAATTTGAAGGCTCTCCTTTGCCTTACCGTCAGTCACTCCAGCCCGGCCATCAGTTTGGGCTACGATGGACGACGTCGCTTGAGCCGCCATCTTCGATCGGAGGTTATCCTGGAAGCGATGCGATCGTCTCGGAGTCAGTCGCTCCAAGCATTGCTGATCATTGTCATCTACCACTATGGCTATGGCAATCTGTCCGAGGCTTGGAATCTGCTTTCCGTATGCAAGAGAATGTGTGTCAGTCTGGGTCTTCGAAAGCATCTCCTCTCTCGGAGTTTCGACTGGCAAGATGAAGGTTCTCGTATGTCCTGGCTGACGGCAGCAATGGAATCAACCTCGACTCTAGGAGCAAGCTGGGACGTCGAGCTTGCAAGCGTTGGTCAGCCCATCGATAAACTCCCAAGTATGGTAGATGCCGACACCATCCCAACAAGTCTAATCGAAAACCTGAACCTGACAGTCGTAAGCCTCCATCCACTTCACGATTTCCATCGAAACAACCACTCAACACCTCGTCAAGAGTCGACATCCGAGCAACTGAATATCTGCGAACGCCTCTACCAGAACATAGCACTATATCGCCAACATTCGCACTCGGACGGAAGCATCTCCAGCTATGCCTTCGCCGCAGATGGCTCCATCTCTTTCGACCCCAACAAGGTCCTTACAAACATCATCTCAAATACCGCCATCATAGCTCTCTACCAACCATATACTATCCCCATGATCAACAACAGCACCGCCTCCACGCCTCAACCCGGACGACCTCAAACCCAGTCCCTCTCGCTCCAACAAACAGCAGCCCACCGCTGCCTCGACGCCGCTTACGAAATGTCCAAGATCATCTCCACAATCGCCGACGCAGACATTGAATTCATCTGCCCGTTCCTCGGCTCATTCATCTTCACCGCTGCCAGATTCTCACTAGTCTTCTCGAAAATGAGCCCCAGTCCGACCCCTGTCATGGCTTCTCCACTCACGACGAGCAGCCACCATCACGCACAGACGAATAATAACCACCACCACCGACCCTCATCGACCTACGTCTCCGGCAAACGAAGTCCAGGCTTCGACCTCCTCATGCACGCTCTCAACATGTGCGGTCGCCGCTGGCCACTGGCTCGAGCCGCGCTGGTGGAAGATTCCAGCAACACCAGATCTGGTGCGACAGCTCCTTCTGCCTTGGGAATGGATCAAGTTTCGCCCATACCTCCGCTGCCGAGGGAGTTCTATGATCTGAGGTTGTCGGGGCTGGATGTGGATGATGTGTTGCGGGAGTGGGTGGAGAAGATGAAGAGTACGGTTTACGTGGGCAGTTTGAATGGCCCTTACGCTTGAAAAACTTGGGGTTGGGATATTCTTGCATGTTTTGAGGGCTTGGAGATAAGAGGGAGGGGGAGAGCACTGCTTCACTGGGGGCTGACCTACGTCCGAGGATAAAAGCCAGATAGTAGAGGGAGAGAAGAACGCGAGATGAATGATAGGTACCCCATCAGAGCCATGGATGCCAGAATTACTGGAACCCGAATGAGGACCACCGAATGGGCTACTACCCCCCAAGTCAGGTGCAGCTACCTGGCCGTGACAAAAGAGCCAAGGGAGGCGGGCGCATCGTGTTCGTTAGCCCCGACACACATCTCTACAACTCCGTACTCGCATACATACATACATACATACACGGGCCACAATCCCCCCAATTAGGAATATTCGAACGTGCCGGCACGCCTCTCTGTTCGATGCGAGAGCTGCCGGCTCAACGATTCCCCCTCGTACAATCTATGATGTATACATATATGATCTGAGCAGCGAAAAACCCCCTTCTCACCACCACCCCCAAGCACACCAGCATTCTGCGAGGGCAATGACGGGCTTCGGCATTCCATGTCCAAGAATCTCAAGAAGCATCCAACGTAAGTGGTAAGCGGATCCCGGCTACCGGATCCAGGGAAGAGCTCTCCAAAATCCAACTTTAAACATGAAATTTAATTCATGGATTTTGGATCGTGATTCCGGCTAGCGCATTCCTTTGTTTCTTGAAAAGAAAGAGGGAGGAGATGATGATAGGAAATAGAGGCTCTGCTTGCTTTCTTGCTTGCTTGGCGGACCGGCCAATGCATCGAACGAAAAAAAATAAAAAAAATAGACGACATGGACAAAAGTCGAGAAATACGAACCACTCGTCCAAATAGCGGCTGTATAACAGTGGTAATTGTGGTGGTAAGAGTGGTATAGACACAAAATCCCCCATCAGCCGCATCGATCCCCAAAGACCACTGGAACAATGGATGTGCCTCTGAAGATCTCACAACTGTTCCAGCCCCTCACTGCTCGCTCCGCTTCCGGCCCTCTCCTCATTCACCATCCCCTCCGCATCACCCACCTGTTTCCTCTCACTTACTTCTCGTCGAGTGCCGCTCTTCAACCTCGAACGGATGGCCTGCATGCGCAGATTCATGTTCATTGCCGGCAGCGTCAATCCTCGGGGGCCCGCATACCCGTACCGTATCCGTCCTCGTAGTCGTAGTCTGTTTCTTGGTGGTCCATCCTGCCATGGTAGGATCTGCTGTTGTTGGTGGTAGTGGTGGTGCTACGGGTACTGGCACCCCTCCTGACGCTGAAGGCTGATTGTTATTGTAGAGGTTCGGACGAGGAGGAGAGACGGTTGAGGTGGAGGTAGACGTCTGTTCCGTATCTATGGAAGGACAGAGATTGTCAGTATCTATGGATTATCCAGAGGACTGACTTTGTCAGGAGGTAGGGGATGGATATGCTCACCCTTCCATGGAGATCAATTTCAGATCTCCTCCGAAATATCTAGCATATAACCTGGATATGGGTAATCCATATCCAAATCCTGCCATGGGGGCTTTGAAATCACTGGCATTGAAGCTGGGGTCAAGCTCCGGCGTTTGGTCAACAGTCGTGTACATATATGTCCAGACCAGGGGTATGGCGCTTCTAGCTATGCCTCCGCCTTCGTCGCTGATTTTGATGGTGATGTCCTCCTTGCCTTCTGCTACGATGACTTTCGTTACCGGGAAGGCCTCTTTATCCGCACCATGAGTCTCTACCACAGCACGCAGGGAATTTTTCAAAGTCTCGAAGAGCATGTGTGACAGATGGCCCGGGACGTACATGAAGTTGAGGGAGGGAGGACAAAAAAGTTGGACCTTTGGTGCATCGAAAAGGCCATAGTGGTCTTCACAGACGAAGCGGGCATTTTCGATGGCCTCCTCAGCCAGTTCTCGTACGTTGGTTTTGGTACAGATGATGCCTACATAGTTGGGATGCCTGGCGCCTGTCTGATCTGTGAGCGCGATGTGCTGGCCTATTAGCATTCTGATGCCAATGCGAGACATGTAGAAGCGGTCGAGGAAGGACTGGATGGAAGAATCGATCTGCATGCGTTGCCGTTTGCGCTTGTATTCATTTATGCCCTGGGCAACGGTTGTGACCACGCTATCATGCCGTCTTTTTATTCCTTCCAATGTCCGCGCAAATCGTTTATTGTAATCCGTGAGTTCTGGTGGCCAATTGTTGCCGTCGTCTATATGAGCAAAGTAACGTCTTGAATTGGAACTGCCATTTCCATTTCGGTACTTCAACGAGGGGTTTTGGGTGGTCTGCGAGAGTATCTTAGATCCTTTGCTCGATGGGCTGAGAAGGCGGTTCCGTGTGTCCTTGTCCAGCTCGGGACGTTTAAGCGTTGTGATTTCTTCAAACGATTGAGCATACCAGTCTTGCACTTTCTTGATCGAGGGCATCTCGCTCAGGCCATCTGGGAGGGTGCCCAGCTCTTCTACTCGATGCGCCAGACGAATTGGGAGCTCTTCTGAGAGGAACTGTGATGCACGGAAGAGTGTACCTGCCCAATTGCATCAGTCTATGTGAATATGAACCACCGGGAGGAGTCACACCTGTTGACGGCTTTTCACCGAACTGGACCATCTGTCGCAGACTGACTCCCGTCGCCGGAAAGCCAGCATAGTGACTAATTGTGCTCATCAACTTTTCAGACTTCTTCCACGACATCGTGCGGCACAGCTTGGCCCTATGGCCTGTGGGCAGAAGCTTTTTAACCTCTCCAGTGTGGCTGTGGTCCTTGTTGATGCTGAGTTTTCATCATTAGAGAAGTATGACTCCGCGCGCTTGGACGTGGACGAGCTCCGAGATCGCCCTTCACCCAGATACCTCGGTCGAGCCAATGCAGAGAGCTTGGAGGAGTGGAAGAGCAAGTTGAGCAGGTTGAACTGCGACCAGGGTGACGGAAGATCTGGTATCACTATTTCCAAAGGATAGAGAGTATCATGCATGCCTTCCAGGGGCTATGTAGTAAAGGAGAGCGTCATTTGATTGCGCCCAGCTGCTGTGGCCATGGTACCTTGGTAGAAGCTAAAATGGGGGGAAAACGTGGGGGAAACTTTCCGACATAGACAAAAATCATAAATCATAAATAGGAAACATGTGCTTCCGACGTCTCCCCGGCACTATGAACCATGACTTCTGCCCAAGCTCCAGCCAGCTACGTTAATACACTGATACACTGCCCACTGTGATACGGAGTACGGAGTATCGATGGGAGATTTCCTATTCGCCGCCATTAGCACTTCCCATTTGCTGTCAAATGTTTGGTAGCTGCAGCAAGTTGACAAGTACAATGTGATGTGATGGAGGTGTCGCGTGCCCCGGATAACAGCCGGAAATGTCTAAGAGAGGATAGACGATAACAAGCAACATACAACATACAACATACGTGGAGATCAGCGGCTGCGAAGTGTGCTGTAGTTGCTCTTACAGTTGCTCTTACAGTCGAGCATTGAAGTCTGTTTCTGTTTCAATCTCTCTAACCCGCTGTTCCCTTTTGCTCTCCATTAGATCAGTCTTGAAGTCCCATCTCTAGCTCTTCCATGTTCTGCCATTCCATCGGTGGAATTCTCCAGCTTCCAGACTTCCTATCAGACAAATCACCAGACTTCCAAGCTCTGTTAGACGACTCCCTGTTCAGTCTCTTCTGCTTCTTCTCTCCTCTCCTGGTGTTCATTACAGCCTGGAGGGACCCCTGATACTGCGATCACTAAGCATCATGACGAACACTCCCGTTTCTTTACTTCTCTTCAACTTCTCGTCCATGCCTCGTCGTCTTTACAGACATTTCGCAGAGCAGATTGACTCACATCTCACCACCTACACTAAAGCAACCGCCTCACCATGCCTACCTCCCGCCCCAAAGCTATTCTCGATGATGACCTCCCTCCAAAGGAGACTCTGCTCCACCTAAGCATTGGCCGCATCCACTTCCAGATCGACTGGTTAAGCTGGTGTTTCAAGGCACTGGCCTTTTCCGCCCTGGCTGTCTACCTTTTCTCTGCCTGGTGGTTGTTTAGCCCTTGGTCTCCCGCATGGTCTTCTCAGAACACTATGATCCCAGGCGTAGGTCACGAAGCGTTAGAGGAGTGAGTTCACAGCCAGAAAGGAGAGATGCACATCTGACAATGAAAAAAGGTATTTTCATACCTTCTCTGGCAACACTGAATGTGGCATCGGCCTCGCAGATCTCTATGTTCCTCCTCAGAAAGATGACAACGGCAAGTATGCTCGCGGTGCATTCTGCCCGAACCGTGAGAAACTGCTCGAGGCCATGACCGGAGGGGGCAGACATGGCTTTGATGCCCCATACTACCCCAAAGGTACGAAATTTCACTATGTCTTGAACAGACCTGCCACCCACACGCACGCGTCTTGACATTCTCCAAACAGGCTGCCACTACCGCTGGTACAGCGTGGCCGAGATCTGCATGATCCTCGAGCGATTCGACTCCCTCGTCTTCATCGGCGACGACACCCTCCAGCCCATCTACAGCGGCCTCAACATGCTCCTCCGGCAGGACCTTGCCCTGGGCTCTCTGGATCCCTCCTCCGAGCTTAGCCCCTCAGAGCTATCCACAACCTGCCGCTGCGACAACCAGTTCATCAAAGACACCTGCGCCAAACACGCCCTCACATCCAGCGATCAAGTGGCCCTAAGCAGCAACAACAACAACCAAAACCAAAACCCATACCTCTGCTCCCGCACCCCACACGCCTTCCTCTCCATCTCCGGCTCCCCCTTCGATCTCTCAACCCTCAAATCCCTCCGCGCTCGGATCCCGCGCGCCCCAGCCTCAAACTACCACCCCATCCCCATAATCACCTCCCTAACCCCACCCAGCACCGGCAACGACAACGCACCATCCGCCACTCTGGCAACGCAAACCCTCTCCGCCCTCCTCAGCTTCGCCGACGCCACCGCTCGCAAGACGCCCATCCTCTGGCTCAACCCGCCTGCAACGGGCCACCTCGACATCAGCGGCAGCGGCAAACAGCGGAACGGGAACAACAACAACAACTACAACAGCAATAACGATCTCTGGATGTTCAGTGAGGAAATGCAGCGGGTAGCCAGGGAAAAGGACGTAGAGGTGCTGGGGTTGTGGAATATGACGGTGCAGGCGAGCAGCTGGGATGGGAGGCGGTTTGGGAGTTCGGTGGCGCTGGTGCAGGCTATGATGGTGCTTAATTGGCTGAGCCGGTTGGAGAGTTCGTGATGTGTGAGGATGGGCTGGTGGAGGCGTCAGGAGAATGGGTGCACGAATCAAGATGGGTGGGGAGTATAAAATGGCGAAGGAAGTATGCTGTTGAAGCATGGAGCTGTCGCTGAGCTGGAAGTCGGAAGGCCTCGCCATTACCAGGGAGGGACTTGAGCATAAAAGCTTTCTGTGCTTTGACTCGCGAGCTTAAACAAGACTAGAGCTAATAAAGGAAACTCAGAGAACAAACAGCCGTAACTAGAAGATTCAGCTCCGAACTCAAGTCCTCTTGATAGTTGGGAGATATCAATAGGGGAGCGAGGTCGAGAAAGGGAACATGGAATGTTTCGCCATGCAATACGGGCCTCGCCGCCTCCTTTCCTCCATTCTGTTGCCGCTGCTCTGTTTGGCAACAGCCAAGCCTGAAGCATTTCACAATTTTCTGCTTCGGCCTGCAAAGCCGCTTCATCTTCGAACTGTAGAAGCAGACCTGCTTTTTACGCCTCTTTGTGCTCAAACGAGACACATATACGCTTTCGATAGGCCACATCCGACTGAGGGATGGAATATCAAGGAACGAGTGTGACACCTAGAACAGAATCTCTCCACTGCCCTCCATCTCGCCGCCCCACAGCTCTCCAGCCTTCCTCGATCTGGTTCTATCACTCTTCTTTCTCCGCGCTTCTTCTTCCTTCTTCAACGCGAACACATCCTCAATGTGTGCTTCGGTATATCCCGGTGGGAGGTCATCGTCTTTGTCCAAGTCGATCTCGCCAATCAGCAAAACATTCTCGCCACGGACCAGATATGTTCCTCGGGGAATGTCAGCGAAGAGTCGGCGATCGTTGGAGGAGCTGACAAAGTAACGCTCGGTTGTGGATGTGAGGACCAGGTTTGCTAGCCGGTGATGATGTCAACCACAGGGACAAAAAAGAAAGGGGGACCGTCTTGCAGGATGGAGCGCACCAAACTGATCCCAGGTCCTTAGCACGCCAATCAGTTTCCGGCCGTCTCGAAGGACAAGCATGAGTTTTTCTGTGAGGTTTCTCGACGGTTAGCTGCCTGATTGTATGTTTCTGCGGTTTTGTTGTGGCTCGCCATCTCATTGATACCACTCTCGAGCTCCTCCCCCTATTTCACCTTCACCTGCGCCAAAAGAAGTGCCAAATGAAACGGAGAAGCTCAAGGGTATAGCGTCGGTGAGGTAGTGAAGTTGAGAATATATACTGTGCGGCAAGCAGGGTGGGAGAAACCTCACTGTCTGTAAGATCGAGAAGCTGGGCTGCTGTCGTAAACATCTGAGGAGGCAGCTGTGGTGGCCCGGCTGGGGCCCCGGCTGCAGCGCCGAGTTGTCCGCCGGAGTGAGGTGTGCCTCCTCGTGGAGGGTCAGAGATGGTGAGGTTCTCCATGGTTAAGGATGGAGAGACAGAGGATCGTTATCTACGAGGCTTGCGATGGAGTGGCATGATGAGGCTGATGAGTGAGGCCCGCGTCATCTTGGTGGCAGAGAAAAGGTGGAAGATGGAATGCACATCGTGGTTGATGGTTGATAGAGATGTCGTTGAGCATGAGTTGGAAAAAGTGGGAGCATGCGTGCAGCTTATCTGCACTAACCCCTTTGGGATAATGTGCGTGGGCATATGAGTAGGGACATCATACCTCATTCGCTCCCAAGGCACCCTGTTTCCCTGTATTCGTATTCGTATTTGTATTTGTATGTACTCTTGTTCTCTCGTGTTCGGATGTACCGGACAGAACCATTGTAATTGACGAGTGATTGGTTCAGCTCCTGAGCGCCCTTCCAAACAAGACGTCTATCAATGTCAGATCGACCACCGGAATTTGGTCCGAAGCTTCGATCTCTTCCCTGACTACATCTTTGTGTGCAGCAATCTTCTGCTTTCTTGCAAGATTTTATGCCCAGAAAAGAGTTAGTCCAGCCATAGTGCAACTACAGAAATATTTATCTACGAGCTTGCTGTGAAAGGCAGCCTGGGCGTTGCGATTATGGCAGCATTCTACCAATTTCTACGCCAAAAGTACAACCCTCCAGCCCTCACCGAGAAAGACTTTGCCGGCAAGACAGTCTTGATCACGGGCGCCACCTCTGGCCTGGGTCTCGAAGCAGCCAAGAAGATCGCCGCGCTCGACGCGTGGACGGTCATCATCACTGCTCGAGATCAAGCCAAGGGAGAAAGGGCGAAAGAGGAGATTGAATTTGTATGTCGAGAGCGAGCCATGGATGATCTGGACATCCAGGTCTGGCCGTTGGACATGAGTGATTTCTCGAGCGTCAAGCGATTCGCAGACAAAGTGAACAAAGAGCTGCCAAGGCTTGATGCAGCTATACTGAATGCCGGGCAGTCGAATAGGACCTGGAGTAAAGTCTCAGCTGATAACGGACCGTGGGAGATGACGTTGATGGTGAATACACTGGCTACGGTCTTTCTCGGGCTGCTTCTGCTGCCGAAGCTGCTCTCGACAGCCAGAGCCAAGGGCGCTGATCCCACAGACCCACCACATCTGACTTTCGTATCTTCAGGTACGGTAATGGGGGAGAAACCCGAGAGGTACGCCAAATACGAGGGCAGTCAGAACGTGTTGGAGGCGGCAAGCCAAAAGGATACATACCCCGACGGACGAGCCCAGTATGCAACATCCAAGCTTTTTATGGAATATGGCATGCGATACATCGCAGGCCTACCGTCCGTTGCCAAAGACTCCGGAGAGAAGACCGTGATCGTCAACTCCACCTGCCCAGGGATGTGTGAGACCGACATCGGACGCTCATGGCGCGGCCAATCTATCTTCCTCACATTTCTGATCTGGTTATACCTCAGCCTATTCGCGCGGTCGGCGGACCACGGAAGTCGGAGCTATGTCAGTGCGCTGACGAGAGGCGTGGATGGACATGGCAAGATGTGGAAGGATGATGAGTATCGAGAGTCAGTGTACCCCAGCCCCAGTCCCGATCTCACAAGGAGAGCGTCTGCTAACCAGCTTCAAAGTCTTGGACCCATGGTTGACAGTGAACAAGGAAAAAAGCTTGGTAACGAGGTGTGGAGGGAAATGGTTGAGATTTTCGAGAAAGAGGCGCCAGACATCAAGGAGATCATCTCGTCCCAATAAGACAAGAATGAATATCTCGAGCTTCTGTCATGTAGTGGGTAGTATGCAGGAATGGAGATCTAGACTGCACAGAATCTCCTCCATACAGAGATGATACTCTTCGATCAATCAACACTGATCTTTGGTGCGGCTTGCGCAGCCTTTGGGGCACAGCCTTCAAAACCAAGACCACTCTATATTATGATAAGACTACTACCAAGACCATTACCAGATCCCTACACCTCCCTCTATCCCGCATTAAGATAGCTGCCTCTGATGCTTTTAGGGTTCTGAAGTAGCCCCTTTTCAGCAATGGAGATAATAAAAAAAGGACCAAAAGAAAAGAAAAACAATCAACAGCTGGTATTCGCTGGTGGTCACCCACCCAACTACTAACCAGCCGGCACATGGCTTAAGTACGGCTGAGCGAACGGGAAGCCCTGCTCTCCATGTCCTGTGGTCGATTGTGCTGGAGATGGTTCGATCAAAATACATAACCAATAAATGAGAATCCTTCAAGGAATAAATGGAATCGGGGCTGGTGAACGTCGCTATATGCGATGATGCGTTGCGGGAAGATGTCATCTGTTTCCTCTCGATACATCATATATTTGACATTACTCGACCTTCTCAGGTCTGCAGACAAATCGATATGTACCTAAGCAAGGCTGACAAGCAAATCGCTAAAACGCAGCAGACTGTGCGGAGAGTGAAGATAAACGCAAAGGGGTGTACGACCGACTGTAGATCTCTCTCCCGAATATCTATTTCTCCTCCTTCTCCTCCTCTCCATCCACCTCCTTTTACAAGTGCGGAATCACCGTAGTCCAAGCAGGCACATCAAACGCATCCTTCGGCAACACCCTCAAACTGACCAACCCATCCACGACAAGGAACAACCGGGCAAAAATATACGCCAACCCACACGCCAACATACACCCGCCAATCAGTCCATACTCCACCCACGTCGCCTGCAGATACTTGAACCGATCCCAATACACCCTCGCCCAATGATACCGTAGCGCCATCAGACACAAAAACACCCACAAGGCTCCGGAGCAGCAGATGTAGACCGACGAGAAACGCCAGAGGATCTTTTCCATCCGTGTAGGGAAGAAGTCGCGCTAGGCGGCGGCGTGCACGGCGCCGTAGCCCATGGACGCCAACCACATCGCCATGCCCATTAGTTTGTCATTGATGGAGGGGAGGAAGTGGTCGGAGGGCCAGTCGCCAAGGGCGGTTAGGACGAGTTGTTCGAGGATTGGTTCGCTCCATTGGGTCGTTGTTCTTGTTGTAGTATTGGAGGATGAGGATGGGGTGCTGGTGATTGCGGTGCGAGGGGTGAAGCGCTCGGCTACGGCGGGGAAAGTACGAATCGCATAGGAGGCGAGCTCGATACGGGTTTGAAGTTTGGCGGCTGTGTCGTCCGTAGCGGCGACAGTTTCGAAGGTTGCTAGTCGTTTGATGACAGTGGAAGACTTATCATTTGGTGGTGCGGATGGTTCGGGTCGAGCTCTCAATCTGCCCATGATTTCATCTACTATGCTTTTCTTGTCAGGTTCGCCGGGGGTGCGTGGTGATTTGGCATTTTCGAACCACGACCATCCAGGAACGAAGACGCTTGGGCTGAGCAAAAGCTGTGGCACTGCTTGTGGAGGTGTCTCGACGTCAGTCGCTGAGGTGGGCTTAGTATCATACCAGGCAAATCCTGCAAGTTCTGGCTTACGCCATGATCGTAGCTTTACCCTCGTTAAACCTTTCCTTCCACTCAGCCTGCTGCTCATATAAAAATAGGCACATAGTGCTTCCATTCCGTCACCTTGGACAAAAGTTGGATGCTTGACATTGCTCGGCTTATTCCACCAGAGGATATAGATCACCAATGCAGTGAAAACGTGGCCCAAGGTATTGAACTCCAGCAGCGTAATGGTCTGATGTGAAAACGCGCGGGATATTGTCTGTACGATCATCCAGCCTGCCTGCACACAAACAATGAATCTTTCAATTCCGTCACGTTTGCTTTTATCTTCGAGATGCTTGAGGCTGATAACTGGCAAAAGTCTACAGCGAGCAAGTAGAAGGACTCCGGGTGCTGTTAGCGTAAGTCGATCTCGATTCGGGATAAATGCTTCGTCCCCTTGAGGTAGAAGATCCATTTCAAAAGCAAAGCCTCCCATGCCTGCATACATGCTGTGAACGAAAGTCCATCGTGTTTTCCCAGTGGCAGCTGCAACAGCTTTGTCCGTGGTATAGCCCTGAAGGTTGTTAGCTTGTTGTAGTTTAAGAGCTAGAAGTCTATTAACACTGGATATGTCAACCCCTGACCCTCCTTCCTTTTGTTGAGCTAGTTCTTCGTCGAAGATTTTCTTCATCTGGGAGCTCATGCTCTTCGCAGATAGCCACTGTTTCCATGCAGACAATACTACCAATTCGGGTATGAAAGTGCCCAGAAGAATCCACTTGGTGTAGCGTAGATATCGTTGAGTTCTTGTCTCACTTTTCATTGGCACATTGAGCTGCAACGCGGAGCATACACAAAGGGCAAGAGTGACAAGACAGGAGACAATGATTCCAACAGTCCCTCTCCCTTTTGGGTCATCGACATATCCGTGTACGAGTTCCTCCTCGGTGATGTCTGCTCCGCGGGCATGGAGAGGAAATGTCGAGCTTAGCGTGGCATGGGAATTTAGCATGAGAAGAGAGAGGAAGAGGACGGACATTGCCTGCAAGTTTGACAACTAGCAACCAGCCTGGAAGAGATGAAAGGTACATGGAGATAGTGACGCTACCAACTACGGGGCTTTAACCAAGGAGATGAAGGACGACCTGGTGGAACGAATACATACGAGAACTCGCAGCCCAGTCAGGAAACAGAGAGAAGGATAGACAGCAATAGACTGTTTCTCGACCTAGCGATGCACGAAGATCACAGATACTACCTTAAGAGAGCATGCTTCTCAGTAATATGTTGTCGTAGCTGTGAAGCACTAAGATGCACGACTGTGGTACTCGAAACGTCTGAGGTTGAGGGACTGGAGGGATGATCGTCCCCACGAGACTCGCCAACATCGTCCCAGCTATTTAATTAGCGCCTAGCAACAACGTCGACCATGGACTAAGAGTATGGGATGGATGATTGATGTCGTCTGCAAATATACCCTCTCCCAGGCGTGAGATTTCATAGATCTAAAGGGGAATTGTTTTCAATTATCGGGTAGCTCAATCTACCCGTAGCAATTGGATTGAGAATCTTGGCACGTTCCATCTTTTAACTATCCTTCCTTATCGGCTCAGGACCTACAATGGGGTAGCTCCCCTCACATATGCTGAAACTGGCGCCCGGGACTATGGCTCAGCTCCGGGCCCACCAGGGGGTGCAGGAATTCATTTTACCACAATTTGCGCCGACATTTAGCCGAAATAGGTCATACCACCTTATGTACAAAGTTACTGAATAAAATTAAGTATTCTTATCCTTATAGGTTTTCTGTACCGTAGAGTCTTATTCAGAATTAACAGGAGGACTCATGTTGCTGAATTGATCGAGTAAACTTGTGTAGGAAATAGGTACTTGATGTGTTGACTCGATTCGGCTAAATGTCGGCGCAAATTGTGGTAAAATGAATTCCTGCACCCCCTGGTGGGCCCATCAATCAGCCGTCCTAGCCAGGCCCGTCAGTGAGCCTGGGCATGCGGAGATGGTGTTTCAGCTTCATCCAAGTCGATCCATCGCCTTCTCTCTCACACAGATGTGGAGTCGAGCTTGAGGCAGCATAGACCCGTATGTGTCAAGTCTTCCGACGCCAGAGGAGATGGACAAGAAGAAGGCCATAACAGCTAGGCTCGCTGCGCAGTATCTGGACCGGGCACATCAATGCAGTCTCTCGATGCACCTGTCGTGCTACACATGCCAAATGCACGAATAGACGCCTATTAGATGCCACGACTGATGCCGCCAAAACCCTCCAGAAAGCCGGCAGGGAGATCGAATGCGCCGCGCTGCTTCTGTGGGAGGAGATACCGGCATGGCAGCAGGATGGGAATCAGTTCATGGAGACTGGGTACCGGTACTGACCCCAACCATCACACATCTCAATTGGTTCACTCACTAAATGACTTGCAGACCACCAGCCGACGGCTCATACCGAAAATGCTTGAAGAGCTGGACATACATCCACAACGAGACCGGCAATATCTTCTTCCATCTCATTGGCTCGCTACTGTTCTTCACGTTGCCGATTGGTGTATACAAGGAGCTTGCGCCGCGGTATGCAACGGCGGACAGGGCCGACGTTTTTGTCTTTGCGACATTCTTCTCAGGGGTTGCGATTTGCTTTGCGCTTTCGACGCTGTAGGTTAGATTAACAGGCTCCGACGCGTGTCACGAAGATCACAGCACCAAGGAACGAAAGCTGATCTCTAGCAGATTGCACACCGTCATGAACCACAGCGAAGAGGGGGCCAACTTCGGCGTTCAATTAGACTACCTCCGAATCCTCCTACTCATGTGGGGGGCCATGATCCCGATAACTTACTACGGCTTACAATGCAATCCGCATATACGGATTACGTACTGGATATCTGTACGACCCAAATTTTCCCATACTCAAGAAATTCAACACTAGCATAAAAACTCCTACGTCCCAGCTCTCCCTCCCCGGCCTGACCTCCTCAATCCTCGCCCTAACCCCCACCTTTCGCAACCCACACCGAAAAGGGACGCGCGCGCCCTGTTTTTCTCCGGTTTCGTCTTCTCCATCCTCATCCCAGTGTCCCACGGTATCATCCTGCATGGATGGGAGGCAGAGAACCATCGTGTCAGCTTGAATTACTTGCACGGGGTGCTAGCGTTTAATATAACAGGGGCGTTGGCGTATGGCCCGAAAATTTCCGAGAGTGTGTGGAGCAGGAGGTTGATCTGGGGGTCGGGGAGGGGGGGGGGAAAGCCGTCAGATTATGCACGTGGCAGTCATGTGTGCAGTGGTAGTGCATCTGTTTGGGTTGGTGTGGGATTTTGACCATGCGCATCGGATGCCGTTGGCTCGTACCTGAGAGCTAACGCATGGCTTGGAGAAAGATATCGACGTTGTATCCGTTGACGGTCTTAGAAGGATTTCCTCTTAACTACAATCCGTACGTACTAACAAGTTGTAAGGATAATTAATATAATGAGTATTTCCCGGGCAAACAGATCCGTCAGCTTCTATGTCCCGCCCTTCCAGCCCCGGAGAAAGCCTCCGTAAGGCTCGGCGGCAATCACCAGATTCGGGCGATCTAAGATGCGACCTGCGTCCGTCTCTCAAACCAACATCGGGCCACGAACAGCAGCTGAATTGGCATGATCTCGTGTCAATCCAGATCGTAAACGCTGTGGAGCGTGGGCAAACCCAGAAAAGATAATGCTAGCGTCTTCTGCTGCAGGGTGGATTCGAAAAGCGAACCAGCCGATATTGCATTGCTCCTCGATCCACCTTCGCCCTACAGGGGTTAGCGGATTCAATTTCTTCAGCTGCTGACGACCCCATCTCCCTATTAGGGAAATGCCCCGAGGCCAAGTTTGAAACGTAAGATACAACTAATTGATTGCTAGTGTCAATTGTAGCTTCGGTGGCATGCGCGGGTGGTGGAGGACATCCGGAGGGTTTGAGTGGGGGTTTGCGATCACCCTACGCCCTGGCTTTCGATCGCCACACCTCAAAAGTGACCGTGTTCTGGAGAATCGCCACTCTGGAGCAGAGTTGGTCTTCCAAGGTACCTACCTCCTTGTCACATTGTCGGGAGTCTGCCCGCAGGACCCCCGAAGTGTAGTGCGTGCTCCCATGCCCATTCCTGCAAGAGCGATGGAATGATTATCAAGCAGCCACAATGAGAGGTCGTTCCCGCGGCCATTGGCAAGGAAGGTGGAGATGGAGATGATGTGCAGCCAATAGCTCTGGGCGTAGTGAATGGAGCCAGGGTGATAACTTGTATTCAGACGCACACTTCCTGGAAGACCCATTCATATCATGCCAGCGATGCAATGACATGACTAGTTCGGTACCTCGGATTTCGCAAGTCATGGCCCAAGTTGACGGTATTCATTATCGCTCGCCAGTTCGATCGTCACGGGACATGGGACATGGGAAATGCGGCTCAAGTAGACAAACCTACAGATATCTGCCGCCGGGTCTCTTTGTGAATTGGTGTTTTCATCATCCATCTTGCCCTTCCCAATATTGACGCTGATCGCCCGGATCGTTAAAGGTTGAGCCACCTGAGCGTCAGTAACATACCCCGCTATCGTGCCGCGTATCGATAAGGATCATACCACCTCCACCCCCTTGGCGCAACTCTCGTGAAAAGTAAGTAGCAATGAGAACGAATGCCCGAGCAGAAGAAGAAGGCGATGCTGACTCGTGAGTAGTGTCGTTGAGACTTGAAGTTGAGTACGAAACTCCTCTCAACACCTGGGCACGACAAGACGATCGTCCACATCTCATTGCTCGTCTCGCCAGAGCAGCACATGAACTTCCATCGGGTGGAGCCATCAACAAGTATGACTCGATGTATCCACGCAGTATCGGCCAGCGTACATCCATAGCAGTGCATGCTCGATCCGATGTCCCCTCTACCACGGCGTCGGACAATATTCCCCAACTGACCCGGGGGGACTCGAGCGCATCATCGATCAGTTCTGCTGACACCGACTTGGCAAGCGCTCTGGATGGCATGCGTATATTAGAATCGGTCGACGGCGTGCTTCAAGTGCCTGACACAAGCCGGCCTCATGCGGACTTGATCTGCCCTTGGCAGATCCTCGACTGCGAAGAAACATTCAATGACATCAGGGTATGGAAAACTCACGTCTTCGCGCATTTTCGTGGTCATCAATGTCCAGAGACTGCAACTTGCTTCCTTTGTGAGAGAGTCTTTGATCAGTCTCCACGTGATGACTCGGCACGTGCGTGGAATGAGATGCTCTCCCACATGGCGACAGAGCATTTTCGCGGCATGGGTCAAAGACTCGCGACGATACGGATTGACTTCAATCTGATGAGATGGATGTACAACCGACGCATCATTACTCCTGTACAATTCAGGGCGACCCAACTGTTGCCGCGACCAACTGTGTTAGCAGAGAGCACGGGTGAAGTCGTCAACATGCCCGAGGCACCAATGGCGCCATCACCTGCGTCACCATCATCATCGCCTCCGGTTGAACAAAGCGATGTATATACCGTCCAGGCATCACCGCGACGAGAAAGAAGGCCCAGGTCGAGAGCAAGAACAGGAATGAATTGAGCTGGAATTGACAGAAACGGGCGGCTGGTCCCGCCCAGCTTACAGGGTGTGCTTTGGCAATATCATTAATGTTCTCTTCCCCTTCTTATCATGAGCTGGGTCTTTTCTTCCATTAAGTATGTTTGTGGGATGATTGTGGCTGTGCGAGGCCAAGGCTGTCAAGAAGTCGGTGAGACAAGGCAGTGTGTTGCCTTTTGCGACTCAGGGGTAGGTGGCCTGAGATTCAAGGGCTCTGGGTGAAGCTGTCTGGAGAATCTCCACCATGACAGCTTCATGTCTCGCATTTTCCCTTGGAAGAGCTGTGGTGATGCTCCTGGTAGGAGATGGCATAGGCTGGTGATAGTACTGTAATGACGGTCGTTTTTCGAGGGGTTGTGGTTATTTCTTTGAACACGACTGCAAAAGCTGTCTTCTCTTCTCAATCATATGGCTGGCAATGTCTTCAATAATACATTCTCTCTCGGTATGCTCATCGTCTCTGGCATGTCTGCTAGGTGACAATGAAAGGATCCCCTTTACTGGTCATGACTTACTGCGGTCTCTGCCTCACTTTGGGCACACATCATTACCAGCAGACCACGCAACATGGATCGATATCTCCTAGCTTTCTCTTTCTGTGATCACTCAAGTATAATCCCGGGGGATTGTTTGGATTAAATGGTGTGGCGAAGTGTAGGCCGTTCTTGCACAGCCTCGATGCCTCCAGACATAGCCCCCTCGTCCCCTGGTTTGCGACAATTAGGCATTACCGATCTACATTACAAGGACTCCCCACGAAGTTCGTAAAATCATGTCTCAGACAGCAGCCTCAAAACAACAGTGAATGACTATCGTATAGTTGTGCGCCGTTGGGCTTCTTGTCTCTGGGTGGGATGCATCCTGCGCCGAGCGACTGGTTGAGAAGTTCCACTCTTCAGTATATCATGTAAGGGTTGGATTTCAAAAAAAGGAGGCACCATTCGCCCCACCACCAGCACAGAAACTATATACTAGTTACATGGACAAGCAGTCGACTACGTAGGAGCGCTGTTGACCGACGAGGCCGAATATTCAAAGCTAACGTACACTCAAACGACCACAAATACATCTGTCCGGATTTCGTACAGTTCACTCGTCACTGATTGCCCCCATCAGGCTCCGCACTCATTTCCTTGACCATTTTCTTTAATTCTTTGACCTGCTTCTGTAGCTCTCTAACCTCCACCACCGCCGTTTCGACTTCCACATTTGGTCTTGTCACCTCCACCTTCTTACCCCAACCTTCTCCCTCCAGGTCAACCTCCCCTTGCAATTCCTCCCATTCCTCTACCGTATCATCATCCTCCTCCCCTCGCTTGCGATTCAATCGTATCGTCTTTGCCTCCCGCGCTTCAATAAATGCTATGATGGCCAACAGCGGGGAGTAAATGACACCCATCACGTAATTATTTAGTCTTTCATAGCGATGTCTGTCCATCCACCATTCAAAGGGGATAATGAGGAAGACGATCTCGATGAGATTGAAGGGCGCAATGAAGACGTTTTCATCCGGCGCTCGGACAAACTGCATTGTCTTGTGAGCAAATAGGGCCATGTACTCGTCAGTGGCGTTTTCGGTGATATCTGCATACGCGGAGTTATAGAGCGCGATGAGAACGTTGAGTAGGATGACCATCACGACAAACGTGAAGATATAGTAGAGTATAAGGCCGAAAGGATGCTGAAAATTCTCGAATCCGCCAAAATCAGGAGATTGCATAACAGCATTGACCATGGCCTGAATGATGAATGTGGTAATATCTCGGTTGTGGTCGACCTGGTCGAGGCCGATGAAGGCCTGGAGGAAGCCAACGACAACAACGACAAGGAGAGCGAAGAAGATGAGTGATTCCTTCATCATGACCTTGACGATGACAAGCATTGAACCGAAGAAGCGGAAGGAGTCAAGGTAAAGGAGAAGGCGCATCCAGAACATAGGGGCGGAGAAGGCGAAGAAGTTGTAAGAGAGCTGGTTGTACCTGATGCGTTGTTCATCGTGGGTGTCAGGGGAGTGGATGAGGGCGACAATGCGGAGGACGAAAGAGATGCTCAGGAGGGTGTAGAGGGTACTGTTGAAGGCATTCCAGAAGCCAAAATAATAGCGGCCGATTTTCCAGAATTTGGACGCTTCGTCAAAGATGAAGCCTGCAGTCATGACGTAGAGGATGCCTTCCACGACATCGAGGTCACCCGTGGCATTGATAGTATTGACTGCAATGGTATACAGAACCAGGTAGAGCAGGGAAAAGAAGATCTGAACGGTGTTCTGGTAGACAGGCGCACGCATGCGGTCAGGATTGAGATGGTCCCAGTAGTTCGAACTCGTCTTCTCCTTGTACTCGACAAAATTAGCTGGGTTCATATCGTCCTGATGCAGCCATCCCCTCCAGAGGAACTTGACACATTTCTGATAGCCGGAAGAACCTATCACCCATACAGCGTGAAGATCAACAGCCCGCTCGATGACGTTGGCAGGTTTCGTCTCTTCTCCGTCCCGCATAATGGAGTAGCGCTTGAGCAGGACTTCTTGCATAAGGTAGAACTGGTCCTCTTCAGACTCGATGATCCGTTTGGCCATTACCTCACAGGCCACTGCTCGCACTTCATGGAGCTCGGCATCCCAGAGCTCTAGGAGAGCCTGTCTCTTGAACCATCTCTTGCACACCAGTAGACAGTAGACAACACATGCTTGGTACTTTTCTCCTCCAGCTTCCTGGGCAGTCTTGATCACCTTTCTGGTGATGACAGGACTATTCGCTCGGGTAATCTGTGCTTCGTCAAGCTCGCAAGGAATGACTTGTTCAAGCTGATATTTCAACCGCAGTGCAACTTTTGTGACCTCTTTGGCGGGAAACGGGGACGGAGGTAGATCGCTACGGTTGGAAGGCAGAACTGCAAAAATATCAGCGGTCGAAACGTAGCACACTTCTCTGAAGCATACGTCTGCTCAGCTCATCCCTGTGTGAGTGTCTATCGCTGCTAACACCATTGAACATCTTAGACCAACGCCCCATCTTACCTGACTGGCTGCAAGAGAGGAAGCCGTCCAAAGGTGGAAGAAAAATCAATTCCCCCCTTCCATTGGAAAAACTGGGCTACCAAGCTGCTCGAAAGTTGGCAAGCACCACCCATGCCGGCACTCCGCACCCCGCATTTGACGCGCTCGGCGCGCTTTGTGTACTTCAGTTTTGGGCGTCCCCGCCATTTCGCCAGGTCTTGGAAAAGAAAAGACAACGCACCATGGCGAGAGACGTAGCGCAAAGCTCTCCACTACAAGGACATGACTTTCTCTGCCTCTATGACGTCTCGTGGACCCTCTATCGCCTCCAGTGGCCAAGTCTCTCCAACAGACCCTACTCGCTGCTCTCCAGTTCTCGCAATCGGGCCAACCGCGCAAAACAGCTGAGGGACTTTCTTCACATCGATGTGACAGGCGAGGAGGCCGACAATACCTTCGATGAGAAAGCTGGCGCGATACAAGAGTGCAGTTGGGACTTGCTCGAGGCTTCTGACAGGGAAGAGGGTGCAATTTTGCTCGACAATGAAGGAGTACGGATTGCAGAGGAGTCGGGCAGCGGAATCCTGATAAATCTTACCTATGATACGGCAACGTACAAGATGATCCTATACGGCCCCACACCATCTCAGCCTCCAGATACAACCGCATTCCACCAGCCGACAGTGATGCTTCCTCTTCTTCTAACGAAGACTCCTGTTCCTCTGAGCAAAAGACTCTTCACCTTCCTTCTCGATACCTTTGACATTCGCATCTCACCCCTCAAGCTCCCGCAGTCCCTTCTGCAAAGCACATCCGAATCCTACATCAAAATGCTGTACCGTCACACCATGTCCGTGTCTATTGCACGCAGAAGTGTATTCTTGAAAGATTCTCTGAAGGACATCAAAATAACTATCTCATTTAGCGCGCCCATCTCGCCGCACTTGCGCACCATCGATGTAGAAATCCCTGCTGATACAGTCTGCAATCTCATTGAAGCATCTATGTCCAGCAAAATCTCTTTTATGCAGGCACTGGCGGTGCATCTGGAGCACCATACAGGCATGCACCTGCCTTTACCTGCCAACGAGGATAGACAGACCGAAGAAGTTGAGCCACGCATTTGCATAACCAAGTTCGTTTGCCATGCATTCGCGCTAAGTGGAGATGGACGATTCAAGATTGTTGAGAGGGCCTACAGCGCAGCAGAGGTCGAGAACCTTGGTAGTGTGGTTCGTGAGGCGAACGCAATGGTACTGTCGTCCTTGCTAGCGGAAGCTGTTAAGGCGCCAGGATGAGAGCAAAAACAGAAATTTCGAGCTGTCTAGACTGATAAGCCAGAAAAACCACCGGCGGGGTCCCTATGTCTGCATCAGCCGAAGAGGGAGCGCCATGTAGTGCTTGATCAGAGTGCAACCAAATAATTCCCTTGTCGCTCCTGCCTGGGAACGGTCGGACGCCGTTTGGGGAGATGAATCTAATCTCACGAAAGGGGCTTCGGTCTTGGGCTTGCCAGCCCGGTGTACGCGCCCTCGAAGTCCAATCCAGCAAGCATATTCTGCACCCCATCTATCTCCTTGCTGATCTCCTCCACATTGCCGGCCAGCGCCGCAACCTCATCAAATTTTCTCCTCTTGTTCGCATCCGCCACCATCTCTTGCACGAAGAACTTTTGCTCCTCCAGCACTATTAGGCGTTCCCTCAGCTGCTTCTCCTCTGCTTCTAATGCGGAAATCTGTGATGATTGTTCTGAGGAGATCTGGCTGAAATGATCGAGATCATTGTGTTTAATGGATGCGAGTGCAGAGGGAGGTCGGCCATTCGACAATTGCAGGCTGGACTTGCTTCCATGAGGGGTGGCATGTTTCAGAATCTTTGGGAGCGTTTTGAGCGGTAGCATGTGTAGGTGGAGAAAATTGCTTGCTTGTTGATAGATAGCCTTCTGCAGTTTCTGTTGAGTAGGATTGTCCGTGGGAAGATCTCGAATGCGTCGGGCTGCTATGTCGTATTGGGTAAATGAATCCATGAGTCGCTTACGTACTTTGGCAGCTTCGGTGACTTGAGCGGACGTTGGTGGCGTGTCAGGATCTTGTAGGGTCGCGAGAAGCTTCTGGAACCTAGGTAGGAGCATACGTATGCCTCTTTCGAACTGCACGAGGTTGTCGTAGGCCCGTACAGAAGGTGGCTTTTGCGTTACCTCAGCCGCAAAGTCTTGCTTGAAGAAGAGTGAGGTGTTGCAATCTTTGCAAAGTCGGACGTCGATCGGCACCTGCCCTTCCGGTTTCTCTGTTGCGGGATTAGCTAGAACAATATCAGCGGATAAGCATAGAACAGTTACAGAATTGACGTACTGGTCTCCACATTCAAGCCAATCGTCAACGAGCATCCTGTCGTTGGGTCACCACAGACGACTTTGCCGCAAGTTCGGCAGTGGTGTCGTCGGAATGTGTAGGTCGTGAAGTCTTGTTGGCAGTAAGGACAACGAGGGACGCTACCATCTTCTTGCCAGGTTACAACAGATTGCTCGAGCGCTTTCACAGGGTCGATCTGGCTCCAAGATAAAGACCAGCGTTTGTTGGGTATCTGTTGAGGTATCTCTGTTGGCGGATTGGCAAGCAATTGGGTCAGCCGAGTCAGCCGCTTTTCAAGACGTGAGACTTCGAGATAATTCCTGTCAACAGTCTGCTGCCGCAATCTTCTAAATTCCGACATGTGATCCCTTTCGAACCCAGTCTTATCGTTGTAGCCGTTCCTAGACTTGTAGCATGTCTCGCATACCCGACACCAGATACCTCTGACCGGCTCATGCTGCGCTGATCTCGAAAGCTTCATCTGGTACATGGTGTGCTCATCGCAGAAGAGCTTCCCACAATGCCGGCAATTGACGCTTCCATTGGGAGTTGTAAGTCTCTTCCCGCACATTGGCTCCGAACATGAGTCGAAGGGCCCACGCTTTTGCCAATGTTCCTTTGATACAACTTCATCGGGATCTGGCGGTGGTGGTGGTCGAGGTGAAGGCGTAGGTGTAATGTTTGGGTCGCTTCCGCGGCGAGCGCTTGACTGAGGCTGGTGTTCATCGTTCGCTTCAAAGACATCAAGACCTTTCAACTTCTGATTGAGAACAGCAAGTGGTTGAAAACGCTTGGCTTTGATCATCTGCGTCTTGAACCAGTCTTTGACCTCATCCTGGCGCTGATCTTCGAGGTTCCTATGTGCATCATCAAGGTGTCTAAACGAAGAGGTAAGCGTCTGCATGATGTGCTGTGCTGTGCATCTTGTCTCACCGGTTCAGTTGAAGCAATGTAACCTATGAAGATGTTAGAGGAAGCAGCACTCTAAGAGGATCCGGCTCACCATCTCTTCATTGCAGATCGGGCAGGCGAGCCTGGAACTCGCCGAGGTAGCGACACTGGCCGCTGATGTATCCCCATTATCGATGGATATCCTCGAGGCTAGGTCTAGACCGTCAGATGAGGGAGGTGTTGAGAGGCCTGAATTAAGAGAGAGGTTGCTAGGTGAGGGTGATAGCAGATGGGAATTAGATTTACGATTTTGAGGCGACTGAGTGGCTGGAGACAACGAACTACCACTACCAAGTACTCTACCGCCTCCAAGAGTCCTTCTTGACATGATCTTGAATCACAGAGGCACCCATGAAGATGGCGCTGGCGGTTGGTACTCGAAGATCCACCAAGATGGATGGAGGGGTGAAATGCAACTGCGGCAGGGTCCGAAAGTCCTCTGGTCCTCCCGTCCGGGGGTCCAAACCAGCACTCTCTGCCTCAGCCTTACAAGTTGCCTCTGGATTGACTAATCAGTTCCGTTGCCTCCGGGCGGGGGCTTAACGGTGGCAGGTACTATCCTTCACGAAGCCCTATCTCCAACAACGTTTACCTATCAAAGCTAATATGTATTTGTACTTACTATTCACTGAAACTGCCGGTTGCAGAAGTAGCACTCATAGTGCAATGCCGGATAGTGACACCAACTCCTGTTTGAGACGTGGTCTTTCCAGCAGCACCTTGCTGACTATGCAGCTTTCCCAGCATCTTCTTTCAGACTGACAATTCGATTGAGTACAACTTTGTCAGTAGTGGTGTCCTTGTCCAAGCAAAAGTAAGCCACCCTCAGACCCTGAAATCTGACCGTCTCAAGTCCTGGCACCCTTGAATCCTTACCGTGCTCGCTTGTCAATTCGCCCTTTTCCATGTGCTGCTCACCAGCCTCTTCTGGCCAGGGCGCTCTCCGCCTAATTTCTGTAAGACCTGTTTCGATCATGGCAGTCGGGTAGATCTCTTCACTGTCATCTCTGATATCGTTGAGATAACCACCGCCTGCAGCATCTGGATTCTCTGATTTGAAGAGAGGATTGAACATTCGTGCCTCGGCCACGACTGGCGAGCCATGCTGCTGTGACTTACCCACCCATTGTATGTATGTTTTCGGCTTCTTGAAAGATTCTCCTTCAGGGGGCTTTTCGTACTCTGCATGTATTTCGGTAACACGGCCAGAGGTTTCGTCCTTCTTGAATGACGTTGCCTTCACAGGGTAGGGTACTTTCAACAAGCCAACTGACTTCCCAGGAGCCATTCGGAAGAAGTCTTTGCTTTCCACCTCACGGAAGTCACTTCGATCAATGTAAACTGTCTTAGTGAAAGGGACCATATGACTGCCCATTGCTGGATCTTTTGGTGCAAAGGGCAGTTCTACTTCCTCCACATAGTCATCGGGCAGATTGTCGATGACGACCGGCACTGGATCCAGCACGAGCATGAGTCGAGGGACTGTGAGCTCCAGATACTTTCTGACTGACTGCTCGAATCTGACGATCTGAATATTGGTAAGTGCTGTGGAGACGCCGAGCTCGTTTATAAAGGAAAGGATCGCGCCCGGAGGGATTCCTCGACGTCGCAGCGCAACAAGCGTGTACAATCGAGGATCGTCCCAGCCTCGAACGACACCAAGTTCCACAAGCTTTGCAATTTTTCGCTTGGACATGACAGTGCCAGTGACATTCAGGCGGCCATATTCACGCTGCATGGGTTTGTAGACCTTAACGGCATCGCACAGCCATTCGTATGACACTCGTGACTGGAGGAACTCAGTAGTGCATAATGAGTGGGTAATGCCCTCGAAGCTATCACATAAACAGTGAGTGAAATCATAGGTCGGATAGATCCTCCATTTCACTCCCGTGCGGTGATGCGGTGCATCGAGTACTCGATATGCGGCAAGATCCCACATCTGCGGGTTACCATCTTCTATGTTCTGCTTCATGCGCAGAAAAGCTTCGCGGGGTTTGTACTTGCCATCTCTCATGGCTCGGAACTCGGCCAGCGACTCCTCTGTGGGACGCTCTCGATGCGCACAAGCAAAGCGAGGTCCATGATTGGGCCCACCTCTCTGCAATTTTATCTCTTCGTCGGTGCAATGACAGACATAGGCACCATCGTACTCGATGAGCCTTTCTGCGAGCTCATAGAGTCTGTCAAAGTTGTCGCTTGAGTAAGTGATCTTGTACGGCTTGAAGCCCAGCCATGCAACCATTTCCTGAATAGCAACAAAAAACTTTTCGTCCTCTGCTTCAGGGTTCGTGTCATCAAAGCGTAGATAGCAATCCCCTCCGTGGTAGCGAGCAAATCCAAAGTTCACCGTGATAGCCTTACTATGACCGATATGTAGATAGCCATTTGGCTCTGGTGGAAAACGAGTAAAGACATGCTCTGCGGGTCTTTCGGCATAGACACCTTTGAGCCATCCTTCTTTAAACATGGCATCCGGATCTAATGGCTCTGTAGAAGTCGTTGGCGCTTTTGCTGGCTTGGTAGTTGGAGGCTTGACATTTTTGGGTTCTTTTGGCGGTTTGGGTTGCTTGGGTGCTTTTTGCTTTTTCACCGTCCGATCAGTCACAGCACTCTCCATCTTGTCCTTTACGCGCTCCGGTAAGCTTTTCTTGCCCTCGTCCTCAGTCGCCATGTTGGTGAGATGTACCTAGTCGATGTGATTCAGAGCAGCGGCTTCTATGCTTATCCGCGGCTATCGCGCCACAGAAAGGGATCGAAGCCAAATCTTGATGCCTCAGCGGCTAGATCACTCGCGGTTAATTGCGGATCAGACCAAGTACGTAATCAGAGTTCGTGTAACTAAATTACTCTAGTAGGCACGGAGTAGCCCCCAAAAGATTCGCCGCGGACACACACCAAGTTTGTTGCTACTTGTCTTCCAGATCACCCCAAGATCTTTTATAAGAAAGTGTCGCAAGGTCTTTGGTGACACTTGTGAGCTTTGAGTTCTGCCATCAGCATTTCCAGTTGACTCGTTGTAATACCAGCGCAATGTAAGGGTTTCCAGACTTTCGGAGCATGTAACTAATACTTGACTGTAGGCCATTAGTAGACAATCCCCAGATACAGTCTGCGACTCTCCACACAGCTTTGCCGCTTACATTCCATCTCTACGTGTGGCCCTTCACGTTTCTCTGGCCGGCGTTTCTTGCCATTTACCTGTCGCCAACCCGCTATGCAACATACATTAATGGACAGGAATGGACTTTTGTCTGGGTGGGGTCCATTCTTACCCTACAGGCACTTGTCTGGCTGATGACCAAATGGAACGTCAATCTGAATGCTGCGTTTACGACGCGCAAGGCAACCTCAGTGGATGATGCGGAATTAATTAAGGTGACCCCTATTACGAATGCCGGGTCTGCCGCCATTTGCCGCATAGACCGCGAGAAAGAGAGAGATCGATTGAGGATAAGCTTTCTGTTCCAGAAGAGACGGTTCATATATTCGCCCGAGAAGAAGTCATTCGCCCCTTTGTCGTACCCCTTGGATGCCCACCAGAAGCCTTCGCTTGCTACGTTCCAGAAATCGCAGGGCTTGACAACGGCGGCAGAGGTAGAAGCAGTACACCAACATTATGGCGATAACACTTTCGACATCCCGGTACCGGGCTTTGTCGAACTATTTAAGGAACACGCAGTGGCACCTTTCTTCGTCTTTCAGGTTTTCTGCGTAGGTCTCTGGCTGCTGGATGAATACTGGTATTACTCACTGTTTACACTCTTTATGTTAGTCGCATTTGAGAGCACAGTGGTATGGCAACGCCAGCGAACCCTGACCGAGTTCCGCGGTATGAGCATCAAGCCCTATGACATTTGGGTCTATCGAGCAAAGAAATGGACTGAGATCAAAAGTGACAAGCTGTTGCCTGGAGACCTTGCCTCTGTAGGCCGAACGAAGGAGGACTCTGGAGTTGCATGTGATATGTTGGTCGTCGAGGGTACGGCAATAGTCAACGAAGCAATGTTGTCCGGAGAGAGTACACCACTTCTCAAAGACTCCATTCAGCTGAGACCTGGCGACGCTGCCATCGACCCGGAAGGAATTGACAAGAATGCTTTCCTCTATGGCGGCACCAAGGTCCTGCAAGTCACGCATCCCAGTGCTAGCGAAGATGCTCCCGAAACTGTGCCGACGTTAGCTTCAGGTGTGCCTCCACCTCCCGACAATGGCGCCATGGCAGTAATTGTCAAGACTGGCTTCGAAACGAGCCAAGGGAGCCTGGTGAGAACCATGATCTACTCCACAGAACGTGTCTCTGCCAATAATGCTGAGGCATTATGGTTCATCTTGTTCTTACTGGTGTTTGCCTTGGCAGCCTCCTGGTACGTCTGGCAAGAAGGCGTGCAGAAGGACCGCAAGAGATCAAAGCTGCTCCTTGACTGCGTTCTCATCATTACCAGTGTGGTGCCACCTGAGCTGCCGATGGAACTTTCCCTGGCAGTCAATACCAGTCTGGCCGCCTTGAGCAGGCTTGCAATCTTCTGTACCGAACCGTTTCGTATCCCTTTTGCCGGCCGGGTAGACATCGCTTGTTTTGATAAGACCGGCACTCTCACAGGCGAAGACCTGGTTGTTGATGGTGTTGCAGGTCTGTCGCTGGGCAAAACGAGTCTGGCGTCGCAGCCAGACGGCGCGCAAATCGAAATCACCAAAGTACCAGACTGTGGCATCGAGACTACACTTGTTCTTGCCACAGCCCACGCGCTAGTCAAGCTAGATGAAGGAGAAGTTGTAGGTGATCCTATGGAGAAGGCTACACTCAATTCCCTTGGATGGACACTGGGTCGCAATGACACGCTTACAAGCAAACCGCAAACCGCCACGAAGACGAAATACACATCTTATGCGGCATCTGACACTGTTCAGATTAAGCGTCGCTTTCAATTCTCCTCGGCACTAAAGCGACAAAGCTCTGTGGCAACGGTGGCCACTACCGACAGATCTTCTGGCAAGAGGTCCAAGAGCACAATCATTGGCGTGAAAGGTGCACCGGAGACCATCCGAACCATGTTGGTTGACACTCCACCGAAGTATGAGGAGACATTCAAATATTTCACCCGAAATGGTGCTCGAGTGCTGGCGCTCGGCTACAAATACCTTTCCACAGATGCAGAGATTGGCCAAAAGCGCATTAATGATATGAAGCGAGAGGAGGCTGAAGCAGATCTTCATTTTGCAGGTTTTCTTGTACTTCAATGCCCGTTGAAGGACGATGCTATCAAGGCTGTAAGAATGTTGAATGAGAGCTGCCATCGAGTGGTCATGATCACCGGTGACAACCCTCTGACCGCTGTCCATGTGGCTCGTCAGGTTGAAATTGTCGACCGTGACGTCTTGATCCTCGACGCGCCAGAGAATGATCAATCCGGCACTCGGTTGGTTTGGCGAAGCATCGACGACAAGATGAACGTACCGGTCGACCCCTCGCAGGATCTGGACGCACAAATCCTTGCAAAGAACGACATCTGTGTTACTGGGTATGCTCTGGCCAAGTTCAAGGACCAACGAGCATTAGCTTCTCTTCTGCGTCATACATGGGTCTACGCCAGGGTATCGCCCAAGCAAAAAGAAGAGATATTGCTTGGGTTGAAAGATGCAGGCTACACGACCTTGATGTGTGGTGACGGCACAAATGATGTGGGAGCACTGAAACAAGCACATGTTGGAGTAGCACTCCTTAATGGTTCGCAAGACGACCTTAATAGGATCGCTGAGCACTTCCGGACCACCAAAATGAAGGAGATTTACGAGAAGCAGGTCTCGGTGATGAAGCGCTTCAATCAACCTGCGCCTCCTGTGCCGATCCATATTGCTCACCTCTATCCACCGGGGCCAACCAACCCCAATTATCAGAAGGCAATGGCGCGAGAGGCAGAAAAGAAAGGTGGTGCCGCAGCAATTGCCGCTAAGCCTGAAGCCGATGAGAAGCAAAATGGCAGCATCGACACCGTGGTCTCACCAGGAGCTCAAGCCCTCCAGCAGAATCTGACCCCACAACAGCAGCGAGAACAGAAAGCTCGAGAAAAGGCTGCAGGAGTGGCTGACATGTTCACATCGAAGATGATGGAGCAGGAGCTAGATGATAACGAGCCGCCAACAATCAAACTGGGTGATGCTTCTGTGGCTGCGCCCTTCACGAGCAAGCTAGCCAATGTCGTCGCCATTCCCAACATCATCCGACAAGGTCGATGTACCCTTGTCGCCACCATTCAAATGTACAAAATCCTGGCATTGAACTGCCTGATCAGCGCATACAGCCTTTCTGTCATCTACCTCTCCGGCATCAAGTTTGGAGATGGCCAAGTCACCATCAGCGGCATGTTGATGTCTGTCTGCTTCCTTTCCATTTCTCGAGCCAAGGTAGGAAGGATCTCTCTCACCATCCCGACCAACAGTGAAGCTAACTGAATTATTCCTATCCAGTCCGTTGAAGGTCTCTCCAAAGAGCGGCCCCAACCCAACATCTTCAACCCCTACATCATCGGCTCCATCCTCGGCCAATTCGCCATCCACATCGCCACCCTGATCTCCCTGTCCAACTACGTCTACAGCGTGACTCCCGAAGCGCTAACCTCGGAAGTCGACCTGGAGGGCGAGTTCGAGCCCTCCCTCTTGAACTCGGCCGTGTACCTCCTCCAACTGATCCAGCAAGTTTCCACCTTCGCCATCAACTACCAAGGCCGGCCCTTCCGCGAATCCATCCGCGAGAACCGCGGCATGTACTGGGGACTGATTGCGTGCTCGTTCGTGGCGTTCAGTGCGAGCACGGAGTTTATCCCCGAGCTGAACACGAAGCTCAGGCTGGTGCCGTTCAGTTCGGAGTTTAAGTTCGTGATGACGGCGACCATGGTGGTGGACTACTGTGGGTGTTGGGTTGTGGAGAGGGTGCTCAAGCAGCTCTTTAGTGATTATAGACCCAAGGAGATTGCGGTTCGGAGGCCGGATCAGGTGGAGAGGGAGGAGAGGAGGAAGAGGGAGGAGGCGGCCCGGTTAGAGATGGAGAGGGCGGAGAACGTGGAGAAGGCTAATGGGGTGGCTTGAATGTGGAGATGGAGTGTTCTGCTAGAGATTTCTGATAGACCGAATGAGGCCGTCGTGGTTCTGACAATAAAGATCGTGCTCTCTTGTCATTGAAGTTATGGCCCTTCTGGTTGTGATGGCTTGGTCAATTGACCTGTTCTGACGCTTGCTTCCAATCTTTCGGTATTTCCAACCTGGCATCTCTGCCCGGTCGGCCAGCTGATTCCCGGTCAGATGTAGAACTGTATGACAGGCAAAAGAAGTGAGACCGAATGGTTGTGCTGGCCGATACCAGTGTCGGAAGCGTTTCGATGCTGGTTCTGAGATTTCCGCAGCACAAGAGGGGGAATATGGACTCGAGACGAAGCAAGGGCTGGCTGTACGAGGCTGGGAAAAAGAGCACGCGCGCGAGAGAGAAAGAAAGACGGGAGCGATCGAAGCCAGGGACGTGGGACGAATGCAAAGCTGGATTGGGGAAGTTGAAAAGGGGACACACGGGTTAGTTCCCATCGAGAACGAGTACAAGTGACAGAGGGCATTTAGGAAAAGAGGCTACGACGGGAAATTCAGAAAAATGGGGTTGCTTTGCTATCCTAACCACCACCACCACCACCACCACTATTAACAGAACCCCAAACAGCGTGCCGGTATACCAGCCAACCCATGTATGTACAACCCAAGAGCCCCCAGTAACCGCTCAAGGACAATCAAACTCGCAGCGCTGAAACATGACATTGAAATCAAGGCTCCCATCGAGCGTGGTGAGGCACTGGTTGAAGTCCTCGAAATTCAGATCGGGCGGCCTTGTACTTGACGAAGCCCTCCTTAAGGTTGCGATTGAAGATGAAGATCCTGACGTCGTCCTCCAGGCCGGTGACGTCGCTGGCGACGGTGATGTCGGTCTTGATGTCGACGGGGAAGGTGCCGAGCGTCTTGCAGTCATTGCCCGTGTTCTCGTCCGCCGGCGGCCGGGTCGACCGACGACACGGCGCAGCCCCTGCGTGATCTCGCCCGCGTCCGGCACGCTCGCGATCGGGTTGTCGCCCGGCAGGTGCGATATGAACATCTGGCATCGGTTCTGCGCGCACACGGTCGTGCTGAGGGTGGTGGTGGCGAGCGCGGCGAGGAGGGTGGGCTTGTGCATCTCTTTTTCTTTCTTTCTTGTTTTGGGGGGGCTGTTCGAGGGGCTTTTGTTTTTTTATAATCAAGACTCAATGGAATGAGAAAATGGATGAGATAGAGAGATGGTTTCGTTCAGGCCAAATGGGCAATTGGAGGACAGACATCGCATCTCTTTATTCTGCATCGCTGAACGCTATTCTACTATCCAGGCAGTCATTTCAAAACAGGGTATGCTTGATGCACTCGGAGAAGCTTGAAGGAATAGGAAATCAAGGGAGTAGCAGTAGGCCTGGACATTGTGCTTGAGACAATCTTCCACGATGGAATGCCCTCGGGTAGGCAGCAATGAGGTGGTGGTGGAGGATGTTGATGCGCCTTTCCGGCACGCTTCATCTGCGACCACGAGGTCACAATGGCTTGAAGTCATTCAGGAAGCCATCTTCAAGCAACGGATTGGGAGCTGGGGGAAGAAATCTCCCTCCTTGGAAGTGGGTAGCTCCGCAAGATGCAAGTCTCGAGTTACACGAAACACTGCCGGCATGAATTACGAATACGCATACTTCATTCCATTGTTTCGACTATATGGCTTGATCATCTCTCACAGGCAGTTGACATTATTCACTCTCGCTGAAACCTCTGAGAGGATGAACAAGCCAGCCAGGCTGCTGAGGCTGCTGACGCACCCAGGCCACGTGCGGCAGAAATGAAACCTCGGTTACACTTACACTTAGCAGGAAAAGGCCCTCTGAAAACTATGCCTAGATTACCATCGATGTGTGGCTTACTTTCAGCCTAACCGTGAGTATGAATTAATTTAAATAAAATTATGCAGCTAAACATCTGGAATCCAATAAAACTGTATTCTTTCGGATGTCATTTTAATGTCATTTTAAGAAAATAACGCTCAAATTCTGGCTAAATTATCGTCATTTGAGCCCATTGATGATCCTTGAAATAATAAAATATCTGCAAAATCACCAAGAGTACATCACTCAACTTGGCCTTCCCCATGGGCTGTAACAGAAACACACAAGTCATGGAGCTCAAGTTTGGGCAATAAAGAAGCTTACTCCGTACAGCTTACACCGTTATGATAAACGTCGCAGAAGCATAGACAGACGAATGACACGCGTGAAGCCCCCTGCCCGTCCACCAATTCATCCTCCCCACTGCTCTACTCTAGCACCGAAAACAACTTGCAAACCCGCTCGTGGTGTATATACATTCCATATATCCTCTTGAGATCCGCAAAACAGCCCAACAGCCAAACAGCCGCTCATCGCCCCTATCCAGTCAAAGAACAGACGTCATCAAGCTAGATCCCCAGCATCAAGAACAAAAATGTTATGTTTTACGCAGAAATACTTTCCGCTTTGGGCTGGCCAGTAACGCTGGACATTCCTCTTGGTGAAGCCTGGCCGGATCCGCCCATGCTGCCCGAGAGAACAGCCTTCTTCTCATCCTCACCATCATCGTCGTAGTCCTCGTCGACATTCACTTTTCGAGCAGCGCCTTCAACCTGCTCCTTCCGCTCCTCCTTCGCAGCATCGTACATGGTGTTCATGGAAGGTATGTGTTGCGGGTGTTGTGACAGTGGTGTATGAGGACTTTGTTGAATGGCATGTTGTGGCTGCATCTGAGATGGAGGAGGAGCTAGTGGAGCTGGATGATGCGCAGCCTCCGAAGGGTGATAGTTTTGGTCGGCGATCCGCTGATTCTCCTTACGTATCTCCGAGGAGCTGCGACGGTGCGCATCGCGAGGGGTGGGAACCCGGCCTGGAGGACTGGCCCGACGGGATGCGTGCTCATCAAGGCGAGCACGAGTCTCGTCATTGGCCACTTTTTTGGAGGGACCGCTTTCGGATTCCCACTCACGATGACGCTTCATTGCAGAAGGCGGCCGATCGTGAGCGTCCCGTGGCATGCCATCCGGCATGGGGTGTGCTGCAGGAGGTGCCGGTGCGCCCGCAGCCATAGACGAGGCGCCGGGGAAGGGCTGGCTATGGTTGTAGGGCTGCTGGTGCGGCTGCGGCGGCTGATGATGATAGCCAGGTCCTGGTGACGGAGGCCTCTCGTCTCTCAGGGGTCTCAACTCGTTCGGGGGGCTGAAAGGCCTTCCGTATGGTGGAAGAGGTCCTTGAGGCAGCAGGGTATGACTGCCGTTGATAGGGGTCCCGTTCGGCTGAGGCTGAGGCCTCACTCCCGGACCGTAATTTTGATTGTTCCTGTCCGGACCGTTGAGTTGCGGTAGAGTGTGTGGTCCGGGTGGATACATGCTCGGAACAGCAGAATTCATTTTGGGAGAAGGAGACATCGGTTTCCTTGCAGGTGTATGTCGGGCCTGATCGGCATAATGTCGAGGTGGTTCCTGCCGGGGAGACGGCTGCCTTTGAGGCGGTGCTCTCATCGAGTCCCTCTGCTCGTAGGGTTTGGCTAGCGGAGGCTGTTGCGGCGGGTTCGAAACGTCAGCGATGTTTCGAGTCCAGTCCGCAACGCGGCCCTGAGGGGGCTGCGGATGTTGTGGAGGTGCAGCTTGGGGAGCCGCGGCACCCCACTGTGGTCCAGGTGGAACGCCCACGCCATTCTGGTAGGCCTGTGGGTGAACATCTTGTGGGATGGGGGCATTGTGCTGGTTAGGACCCGTTGCCTGTCCACTTCGAAGCAACTGCAACCGTGCTTTGATGTGGATGTTAGTCGGATCCAACTCGGCAGCTCTGGTGTATGCATCGAGGGCGTCGTTGGTTTGGTTGTTGCATGACTCATACTGATCAAAGTTAGCCGTCCCACATTCTACCTACCTATATCAAGCAAGGACTCACCAATGTACCCAGGTCGTACCAAACCTCGGAGATGTAAGGATTGAGGCGGATGGCGCGAGAATATGCATCCAGCGCATCCCGATACTGGTTTATCTGGTAGTAAAGGACACCGATAGAGCACCAGAAGGTGGGATTGCGTCCATCCCGATAGACTGCTTGTTGGTAGGCTTCGTACGCCTTGGGGAACTTCTGCTGTGCCATGTAGCAGCGACCCAGCAGGTACCAGCTTTGTGCATCTTCATTATCTGTGTTTTGTATTAGTTACAGTGACAGGGCGTAGCAGATATCTAGCTACTTGCCTGAGCTCACGGACTGCTCCAGATATTCGATGGCTTGTTCTTGGCTCTGGAAGCTGCTACTTTGCTGGTGGTGTAGCCAGCCAAGCTGTTGCAACACCTTTGCATGCTTCGAATCTCGTTCCAGAACACGTCTATATGCGTGCTTGGCGCTCTCGTACTGTTTTTCAAAGGTGAGTGTGCATCCCGGGCAATACCTGGGGACTCAATGGGGTGTTACTGACATCTTTCTGTTGCTCATGCACGTGACCAATCTGGAACCAAATGTCTTCTTCGTTCAATGGGCGTGGAGGATCGTGGACGATGTATCTAAAACACTGCACATCACACAATCAGCCTTATATCACCTAACTAAGCGCTCTTCGGTTGGCACACCTCCAAGCTTTGTTGAAATTTCTGTTGCTGTTTATAGATTATGCCAAGTCTGAAATAGATCTCATTTGCCTTCTCAAAGTCTGGCTGCATGCGCATGACTTGCGAGAATGCTTCTTCAGCATGATCCAGTGATCCGTAACGGTCGTAGAGGATCCCGATCCCGTACCAAAGCTTGGGTTCCTGCTCGAGATAAGTATCATGTTCATTAATCAGGATGGGATGTGAAAGATGGCATACTTTGGGATCACGAAGGTAGTATAGCGCTTGCTGGTAGGAAGTATATGCTTCCTGCAGATTATCCATCATCAAGTGACAATGTCCTGAAAGAGTCATGAGTGGTATGCGAAGTGCGAGGTGCTCAAGTCCTACCTAGACTGCCCCATATTTCGCCATTATTTGCGTCGATCTTGAGGATATTCTGCAAATATTCTACTGCCTTTGCAAATTGTTCCCTGGTTCTCAGGATGGTAGCTATGCCAGTCATCGCCGGTACCGACCATTGGTTGTGTCGCAAGGCGTGTTCGTAAGATTGAAGAGCCCCGTCGAGGTCGCCCATCAGTTCTGCTAAGCTTCCTAGTGCAGATATGAGCACACTTGGGGCGCGCAAATGCTCATCGCTTGCTCACCGAGTTGTATCCATATCTGTTCATTCATCTGAGTTATTATCTGCGGTCCATTGCTCTTCTGCACCGGGATATGACCGTTGACCTGAGGGTGTCCCATCATAGGACCTAGGTGAGCAGGCATACCGCCGGGCGGCGATGGCTGTGGATGACTCGACATTCGGTTCTGTAGGCTGACAGAAGGCGGCTCCTATGAATTCCAATGCTTGCCTGCCAGCAGTAGGTATTGAGATTCAACCGCCGGACGCCTGGCTAATGTTGGGTAGCCCAAAACGTGCCTCCACATGTAACGTGATCAGCAGAGACCTACTATCAATATCCGCGCGGTTTGGCAGAGCCGATAAAAATAACGCGCAATTGGATGTGTCGCTCCTATCAAGTTCGGTGGTAGCACGTCGGCGGGGTTGAAAATTGAAAGCCTGGGGTACAGATGAGGCTCAAGCTGGGATCGGAAGACACCGAGGACCCTTGAGACAATGACAGGGCAGGCGACGAATTGAAGATGCTCCAGAGAACAAGAGGCAAAGTATGAGAAGAATTGCAATGGTGGATGGGTGTGGAGAAGAGCAGAGGTCAGAGAGGTAGGCACCGTTACAGAGGCCGGATCGGAAAGTTCCCAGAGCAGAAACGGGGCGAGCAGGCGATGAATCGATGATAGATGCCTTTGACACTAGTGGTAAGGGTTCTTGTGTCTGTGTCTCGAGCTTTTAGCCCCTCAAACTGAACCTAGGGGTGTAGGGATAAATGTGGAGCACTGCATGGCATGTCAAAGAGTTGGGAGGCTTGACTTAGGCTTCACTTACTAGTGAGTTGGCACGACTTTTCTCGGCGCGGCGGCGGGTGATGGCGCTCCATGGTCATGATTCGAAACCTTGTCCACCCAACCAACCGTTCCCTTTCCCACTCCGAGCCCAAGCCTTTTTGGCACAGGCTAACTGCTAGGCTAGGCTACAGGCTACAAGCGGTAAGCTCCACAGCGCGTGCCGCCTGCCATTCTTCCCCTGCTTGAGATCTATTATTCGTAAAACAGCATCTTCAGATGAAGACGAGGGTGATTTGATCATAGAGCCATCGAGATCGCAAAATAACAAGCAGAGAGATGGCCTATGTGACTCTGGTGACTGAACGATGGATGAGTGCTCGTTCACGGTAGACCGTCTTTTCCTGGATTCGCCGCCCCTCCAACCTCATTTTACGGGAACAAAGAGAACGATTGCCGATGCAACGGTGCATCCATGGAAACCCCTGACCAGATTTTGACTTTGACCGGGGGATGGGGGTGGTCGCTCCACCGAATGCACCTCTCCACCCCGCTAAGCCTGGAACTAGAGGCGCACGCCGGCCTTGCAGCTTCCCTCTGTGCCTCACCCCAACCCATGACATCTTCGTACCACGATACCAAACCCAATAGATAAGCCTGCTGCAGCCACTTGCCTTTGATCGTTTGGGTGTGCTTCGTAAAATACCCGCGTTATTTCCTCCGTCCTTGCATTTATAGGAGCCCCACTCCCTATGCACAAATTTATCCCGTAGTGTCGAGAACCCACATAGCATGTCGATCAACAAGGTGTCAGATCTTATTGTCAGTAAGGATACAACAGGTAAGAGTGGTTCGAAACCCCATGAGCGCTGCCCTTTTGACGGAGTGATTGATGTCCCCTTTTTGTCTTATGGATTTTCCGACAGCCTTTCGCCAACTTGTACTCCAGAAGGGGAAGATCAGGTCCCTGCTGCCACATGCCGATCGTGCAACTGCCTGTGAGACACGACCACCAAACCAGCAATTGTCTTTGTCTAATGAGCTCGCACCAGAGTGAAGCCCCAGCTCAATTCAACTCCGGAGCTCCCTCATGGTGCCGGTGTTCTGTACAAACCGAATCTGTCTGGAGGATAATTGAACAGCTCATTCTTAAGGTAAGCACTAGCCTTAAGCTTTGCTTTGACTTTGAGAGGGTGATGGCAGCGTTTGTTCATCCGTCGCTTAGGCTGCTGATCTTGGAGGGGCTTTCGATCTGTAATGACCGATAATCTGTGCATCGTCATCACTACATTATATCCTGTGCAACATCCTCAGCACGGCGACACAGTTACCCACACCAACGTCTGCAGCGGCACTTAAGCCGCGTGTCAAATGTGGCTTGCATGACGCAGCGGATACACAGCAATTCTTCCCTGAGCTGCAGTAAGCATTTATGACGAGGTCCAATCAACGCAATTGGACATGACAATGTCTTTGTGCTCAGCACAGTTATTCTTTACTGACCAGCAAGATGCTAAAGCACGAATCCGAAAGGAGCGCAAAATTATGCTACATTAGATCCCCAGTTGCCAGTGTTAGATTAACCCACTCTGATCATGATTGCTGCGAATATTCGATATTCGCCATTTCCGCTGCTGTGGGAACGTGCAGAGTCAGCTGCTGCACCCGGGTCGGATAATTGCAGGTCCACAAACCCCTCGACCCTCCTTCTAACGGCGGTCACGGCAGTCAATAGTGCAATATATCAGTCCGAAACAGAATCTTGGAACCTGCTGGGACCATGCGAATATCCGTGTTCCGTGAAAACAGGACGGAATTGCTACAATGGGAGTTTGTGCTCATGTCTATACGCGAGCCGAGCATTCCCATATACTCTTTCATGAAAAGCAAGTTCAACGCATATATGACTATCTCATAGGGATAGAAAATCCGCACTGCCTGGAGCGTTGGCTGCTAGAAGTAGATTCGTAGGGCTAACAAGAATGAGCCTTATGTCGGAAACCGAGAGTATGCCACCACAGACTCGCCGAGTTCTATACAAGATATTGTGCCTGCATAAATTGGCAATCCCACTCGTAAAAGCAGGGAATTATGAAGCAGCACAGCTTCTCCCCACCAAGCTGTACGTGAGTAAAAAAGCTGCTCTAGTACTGAAAAGATTCAATTATGTCTGACAGTTGGAATAGTTTCCAACGAGAGCGAATGCTGCAACTCATGGAAACAGGAGCGGAAGTATGAGCAATATAAAGTGTAATCAACATTGTCTTCAAAAGCCATCGGACCAAGATTTCTGAATTGATAGAGCAGATTGGGGCTTTTCGCAACAATAGCGTGAGGATGAACAGAAAAGATAACTTTATTACAATGCAATAACAATAAGACATAACTTAGGAAAATGCTGCTTTGCAAGTCTTGGCGGTTTTAGCCCTAGCCAAGATTCCACACTCAGCGCTCAAACGAATTTACATCGTGATAGCAACAAATACTCAGGTCACAATATCCCACGACAATGTGAGAAAGCTCATCTACAAGTCAGAAAAGGGTTACTGACTTTTTTTGTGCAGGTCTCACCGAAAATTCGAAGCGCCTCGACATGGTCAGCCTCTACAACCAGATCTAGCAATTCCCACAATGACTGACTTTTCGCAGGTTCGCTAGCTTTCCTACCTCGAAAGCGAGCCTCGAGACATCGTGGAAAGGTTAAGAGGTAAGAATTTCATATCTTTCCAGCTACAACAAGCTAAGTGATCGCAGTTTTCCCAAAGATGACCCCAAGAAACCCGTACACCTCACCGCAGCCATGGGCTACAAGGCCGGCATGACAACTATTGTCCGTGATCTCGATAGACCGGGTGCGAAGATGCACAAGAAGGAGGTGGTCGAGGCTGTAACCGTTATTGAAACTCCACCAGTACGATCCGAGAGCTTAGCATCAATTTACCGATAGATCGCTGATCTGAATTGTAGATGATGGTTGTCGGGCTTGTTGGCTATATCGAAACCCCTCGTGGTCTCCGATCCCTTACAACTGTCTGGGCCGAGCATCTCAGCGACGAGCTAAAGCGACGATTCTACAAGAATTGGTACAAGTCAAAGAAGAAGGCATTCACCAAGTATGCAAAGAAACACTCCGAAAACAAAGCATCCTCAATCACCCGAGAGCTCGAGAGAATCAAGAAGTACTGCACTGTGGTGCGAGTCCTTGCTCATACACAAATCCGTCAGACACCGTTGAAACAAAAGAAAGCCCATCTTATGGAGATCCAGGTAAATGGCGGCAGTGTAGCGGACAAGGTCGAATTTGGTCATGGTCTTTTCGAGAAGCCCGTGGACATTGACACAATTTTCGAGCAGGATGAGATGATCGACTGCATCGCTGTCACCAAGGGACACGGCTTCCAGGGAGTGACTAGCAGATGGGGAACGAAGAAGCTTCCAAGAAAGACTCACAAGGGTTTGAGGAAAGTTGCTTGCATTGGCGCCTGGCATCCATCCCATGTCCAATGGACTGTTGCTCGAGCTGGTCAAGATGGTTATCACCACCGGACTTCGGTCAATCACAAAGTGTATAGAATTGGCAAGGGCAGCAACGAAGCGAACGCTTCTACAGAGTTCGACCCATCGAAGAAGCAAATCACTCCGTACGTTGTACATTCAAGTTATCCAAATGTGCACTAGCTAACGTCGTAACAGGCTTGGTGGCTTCGTCCGCTACGGTGAGGTGAAAAACGACTTTGTCTTGCTCAAAGGATCTGTTCCCGGTGTCAAGAAGCGAGTCATGACACTTCGCAAGTCGATGTTCCCTCATACATCCCGAAAGTCCCTCGAGAAGGTCGAGCTCAAATGGATCGATACGTCTTCGAAATTCGGTCATGGCGCCTACCAAACAGCAGCAGAGAAGAGACACTACCTGGGCACACTCAAGAAGGACCTTTCTGCAGCGGCATAGTTTGCTTCTGAAATGGCGAGTTGTGGGTGGGTGAAAATGCTGCGAGAGCCGTTCTTTCATCAATCGACTTGATGGCGCCAGGTACATGGAGTAGCCATTGTTGCAAGAACTAAAGCCATCAATCACAGGCTTTACAGCACAGATCAATCATGACGTGCGCGTTCTCTCAATATGCATTTGGGTGCTCGATGTCTGTATCGTACTTGGCCAGAGCCGGACAAAATTGCTGGCCAGTATCATAGGCCTGTGACGTCATGCCTGTAAACTGCTCCTAACTGTCTTTTCTTTGCTTGTGCTGGGGGAAGGCCACACTCTTTTAATGTCAGCAACTCATGCAACCAAACCCTGTTGCCATCCTATCCGTCTACCTCGCTTCCTATCATCCCCACGACGACACACTCTACCCTTCCCACTCTCTAAACAATACAGCCTCTACCAGCCGTTGTACTCAAACAAGTCGCTCCCTCTCTCTCCCCCCACTTGCCCACTTTCTATCGTGCCAACCACCCACAGCGCCATCGCTCGTACCACCACCATGGCTTCAGACGAAGACTACACTTCCTTCCTTGAAAAAGCAAACCAACCCACCGGCGCCGCCACCGCCAGCACCACCTCCGCGATCTCCAAACTCCCAAACCAAGCCGACCTCCCATCTCAATCCTCCAATATCCCTCCTGCCCTCAAGTCGCTCGACGTTGCGTTTACATCCGAATCCGATGAGCCTTTCGAGCCCTTCGCTGTCCCTTACCCTGGCTCCTCGTTACCCGATGCGGCGGAGTTCGCGAAGGTGATCAAGCATGAGAAGGGGCAGGCCGGGGTGGAAGAGTTGAGTGTCAAAGATTTTGATCCGAGTGGGGAGTATGCTGAGGTTCTGGAGAAGGTAGCGGAGGCTGCGAGAAATAGGGGGGAGGTAAAATGCTTTAGGGTGGATGCTGGGAGGAGTACAAAGGTGTTGTATTATGTTGTTGGGTTGGATAGGGAGATGGGCAGGCTTGTGGGCGTTAGGGCAGTGAGTGTGGAGAGCTGATAGATCGGGAGTACAAGAGGTTAGTAGGTGACAAGTCGTTTTTTGGCGGAGAAAGCCAAACGCTCTTCGAGTGCTTAATAGCGTCCTACGTAGGGCGGCTCTATTACCATCATTCATGGTAGAGAGTGCAGAGACAGGACATTGTAAAGATGAAAATGCGCCTCGCCGCCGCTGCGGCTTATGTGCCAGGTTGATTACCATACCTCAAGGCCCGACAAGAGAGGTTTCCGGTATGAAAATCCAGAGTTAGCCGTAGAGCCTACAGCTCCATGCTCTTCGCGCAATATCATACCCCATTTCTCGATCTATGTATCATGGACTTGGTTCTGACTCGTAACAATGACACAGTCATGATGTAGATAATGGCCAGGGAAGGAATTCTGACGATTTATAGGGCGTGTTGAGGAGGAGAAGTGCTTAAACATGCATATGACAGAGACAAATGATAGGCCTATTTGAATCACTCATTTACCCCAACTGAACGGGTCTCTCATGACAATTGAAGACATAAAATGTACCCTCGCATCAAGACTGCCCAAGTTTCCTTATTAGTATCTGAAAGTTAGTTGCTGCCCAGTCATGCCTGAAAGAGCTAACACCATTGACCAGCTCAGGGCGTGATTCATGACAGTGGCTATGCACAATACCTACCACATCCTGCTGTGACTACTCATCAGCTTCACTTGAAACTTGCAGGCATACCTGCGTATCTATGAACGTGGTCATACTAGTAGTATTTACTTTAGCATACAGCCTGTACACGTAGATGGCTTGATAAAGTGGTAACTTCGTGCTTGATCATGAGACAAGTGGTCGTACAACTATGACCTATCAGTACCCGAGAAGCATTTCAATCCTGGGCTCTTCGGCGTTTCATGCATAAGACCCTGTGGCTATGGCATTGAGACATGATGCACCAGAGCAACCACAATTGTGTCTCCTCATGGTCTCGAGTATGATAGTACTATGATTGCTATGAATATCAGTGAGGAGGAGCCATATCCTCGTATGGTGGAAGCAAGATTGTTGCGGGCTGTTGATTTCGACTATGACCAGGATTGAATGCTTGCAGGCAAGATTGCAGTCCGCATGGCATGGGCGGGTGCAAAAGAACGAGAACAGGAAAACGAAGGGTTCGCTTAGTAAATGCTTGACAGATCACTTCTGCATCAGCAGCGGACACTGGCTTCAACAAGTACCACAGTAAGTTACTCAGCAATTAATGTGGTATTCTGGGGTGTTGTTTGAGTTAGTAGTGTAGTACTGTAACTTGGTCTTGGGCCAAGAAGCAGCTTTGTCCCAGAAATGTAATAGTATGGTATTGAAGCATGCAAAACAAGCAGAGATCCGGAAAATATTAGTAGGGTTGAGGGCAAACTAGTCTTTAGATTGGACAAAACAAGGGCCAGCCTAGTAAAAATACAATCTCCGTCATCAGGTACATTTGCCACGATACAGGCTGGGTACCTGCTGCCGTGTAACCTCTATGGGCCGCTTTGCTCAGTGCTGCACATCATCTTGACTCAAATTGGTCAGTTGCCCTTGGTAGTGAGACAACAGTACGTAGTACTCACACCAGTGCTGATGTTGCTACAATTGTAGATACAGACTTCCAGTGACGATTGATTGGCATTAAGAGCACAGTTCTTCTGCTGGCGGGCCACAGTTCATGACTCTTGGTATTGAAATTGGGGAACTCAAGAAGAGCTGCATTGTTGTTATGGAGTGATTTTTTTGCATGCATGATTATTGACTTTTTAGTGGTTGTCGTGGTGCGGCGAATTCAAGCGTACTACGTAGTACAAATTGTGGTAGACGGACGGGGCGCCACTAATCACCGGTTGAACTCGCTTAGCGTCAAAACTTCCTTTGCCCATTGTAGTGTAATTACTCCTTTCAACACCACTCCTCAATCACAGGTACCTCACAGTGTATCCTCCTCATTCCGATCTTTCACCGCCTGAGACGCCTGCGAAGGGTTATCGACGTCTCCTCTTATCAACTCACCACAATACGCTCGCTATTTCTTCTACTGCGCCACTGGTGGACCGCTCTCCCAAAGAAAGGAGGGACATCGCGCTCTTTCCGAGAACATCGCAACAATCACTTCCTTAATCTTCACTAATACCAGATACTACCTCCCGCTGCTTCCATACTAGAGAAGATCTCGCTTGGAACTTCACACGACAGCACCAATCCGGTCCTGAATTTGAAAGCTGCTTTGCATCTCAAGGAGTCTTTGTTCCCTTCACCGTAACCTCTAATCATCTTGTTAAAATACGCTTCACAACGTCTCTGGCGATCGATTGTTCGACGGCTGATCGATCGCCGCATAATGTCGTCGAACAGCAACAGCTCAACTTCGCCGCCGCCACGAGTGCCTCCTCATATCCGCCTCAACTCTGCCCAAGACGATCTGCTCTTACACGAAACTACAAGACCGCAAACCTCTGGTACATCCCGATCGCTAATCCCTCCTGTCGGCCCTATTCGGACTCAGTCCTCGCAAAGCCAGCTATACAACGCACCTGCGAACCAAGACTCACAAGAGAGATTATTACCACCGCATCACTCCAAATCTCACAGACTTCGCGAAGATGATTCGCCCATTAAATCGCCAGAACGGTCTGGGTTTTCCTCTAGGCGGACCAGTTGGAGTTCGGAAAGGAGTCGTGACAGCCGCGGCTTTGAGAATCCTTTCAGCGATTCGAGAGGGCCATCAAGACCCGATTCGAGAGCTGACAGCGATGACGATAATGTGAATACGCAGACTGTTTCGGAAAAATATAATATCCTGCCCTCTGCTGGGTTACTATTGTTCCCAGAAGATGTTGAAAAAGACGACTACCTGCACAACCCTGACCCAAGCGGCAAAGAGGACCGTGATTGCGACGTCTTCACGAGAAGAGGGATGATCAACGTCGGTGGTCTTGCATTCATCACGATCGGTATCTTGGTTCTTTTCATAGGATACCCAGTTCTGTAAGCAGCGAAACCTCTAATATTCATCTATATGCAAACTAACATATCTTTACAGTTCTTTTGTGCAAAATTACACCACGAAGCCCGATCCCTGCAAAATTAACCCAGACTGTATCAGAGTTGGCAAGATACCATTGCTAAAGAATGTACGGCAGACCCTTATCGACCCTGACACGCCAAAATCCGCTATGAGGAAGAAAGACCATCATGGTAACACATGGAACCTGGTGTTCTCCGACGAATTTTCCAAGTCCGGTCGAACGTTTTTTGATGGAGACGACCCATATTGGGAGGCGATGGATATCTGGTATGGTGTGACGCAAGATTTGGAATGGTATGATCCAGATGCAGTCACAACAAATAACGGAGTCCTCGAATTGCGCTTTGACGCATTTCAAAACCACGGCTTGAATTATCGCTCGGGAATGCTCCAATCCTGGAATAAAATGTGTTTCAAGGGCGGACGGTTAGAAGCAAGTATCTCTCTGCCAGGTAGAGGAGACACTGTGGGCTTCTGGCCTGGTTTCTGGGCCATGGGAAATCTTGGGCGAGCTGGTTATGCTGCAACCACTGATGGGATGTGGCCGTATAGCTACCATGATGAATGTGACGCTGGTATCACGGCGAATCAGAGCTCGAGTGATGGTTTGAGCTATCTTCCTGGAATGCGACTACCTGCGTGTACGTGCAAAGGGGCTGACCATCCTTCTCCTGGGAAATCTCGCTCGGCTCCTGAGTTGGATGCTCTCGAATCGAGCGTGCACACGCTCGATTCAGCTGGGAATCAAGTCGGCGTCGTTTCTCAAACGTTTCAGCTTGCGCCATTTGATATTTGGTATCAGCCCAACACTGGTCGGTAACAGTCCTCACATTTTCTATGCAGTTGCTTACTGGTAGTGTACAGATTACATGGAAGTCTACGATTATTCCATCACCAAAATAAATGAGTATCACGGAGGCCCCTTTCAGCAAGCTGTTTCTGGTTTGAGCAATCTCAACAATCAGTGGTACGACGGGAATGGATATCAAACATATGCCTTTGAGTACACTCCTGGAGCGGATGGAGACTCGACATTCTTTGTTGGTGATGAAGCAACATGGAGACTCACAGCAGATGCTATCGGACCAAATGGCAACATTGGCCAGCGAGTTTTTCCTGAGGAACCGATGTATACCATCGTCAACTTTGGTATGTCGAACGGCTTCTCTGCCCTAAATCTCACCGGTATTGCTCCTCTTCTTCCGGCAACTATGAGGATCGACAACATTCGAATCTATCAGGATCCAAATGCAGAAAGTGTCACCTGCGACCCGCCAGGTTACGAGACCACTCGCTACATTGCCCAACACTATGACGTCTACACGAATGCGAATCTGACACAATGGTAAGCATATACATCCTGTGAGATAGCCGAGTTTGCTGACATTTTTGTGTAGGAGCCAGACGAATTATGATTGGCCCAAAAACAGTCTCGTTAATGACTGTTGATACAGAAAAAGTCTTATTCATTCTCGACCCGCTTCCCTCAAGCGCTCGATACCTGTGGTTGACTTTGGCTTTAGCGGCATGCGCTTTGGAGTTGGCGCGTTTGGCATCTGCATACTCTGTAAATACACGTGTGGAAGATCGATTGCTACGGCTTTTCCAGCGCGGACGTATTTAGGGCCTGTCATGCAGCCCTTATGTTCGCCACGCTGGGTTGATACTGCCCGTTCTGTTTCAAAGAGCCTTCGGACCAGGGTTTAGGGGTGTTTGTACATTTTGGTTCCATGCAGATGGAGTGTACAGTACAACGCTTTGCTTGTGTTCGCCAGGGTTGCCTGTGATTCTCGTTCTTGCAAGGGGGACCTACGGTAGATGCAATATGCGGCGTTGCGGAAGACCTGCTAACGGTCGAATTGGGTGGCTCCCCCCAGGGGCTTGGAAGTTCTCGCCAGTAGAAACTTGTAGAAGCAGAGCATCTTTCGCTTGCACCATCTGGATCACCAGCTAATCATCCTTGTCTATGGCGCGTTATGTTCTAACTAGAGCTATAGCTAGCCTGCTGTTTCCTCGTGCTTCCATTTGTCTACGCAAATCTCCGAGTTCTGATTGCGTTCATTTTCCGCTCGATGTGCCCATGGCACGGAGGCACAGCATTACTTCGAGATCTGGTGTCCCCCTTCATTCGTCCTCTTGGTTTTGGGGGCCACTTGTCGTCCAATGGACCCCACCAATCGTCCAACATGTCTTAGACGTCCTTGCTCCAACACTGCTAATCCTGGGAATTAGGGAGCATCAACCCTGGAAAAGGCCGATCAGAGTGTTCGAAGCTCTTTAATGTCTTGACATCCATCATGTTGTTTGCTCTATCACTGAACACAGATTCTTGACAACATCACTTCCGACGAATGTACGTTTAGGAAGACATCAGACCAAGTATCTCAGTTTCTACATCGAGCGACCTACATACAGAAGCACAATCCATTGCTGTTTACGTGAACAAGCGGGGCAGTACTACGATCATTCATGGCCTCGAATGGCCAACCACCTGCCAGGAGGAGCCATCAAGATTCGATGAGGTTGTCTGACGCGGTGGCCGTTCTGCAGTCACCCGAATTGCTGGCGCGGACCGCACTTAGAAATGGCCAGGTGCGTTCCACAACTGTCTTTCTCATCGGGCATAGCAGATTTGTAGCTGCACAAAACTGAAGAAGGCCGTTGACGGCTCACATACATCCATCCCACCGTCCACATGGCATATACTCATCTCTCTGTCTCTCGTCCCTACGTCCTGGATAGCCCCCTATCCCGTTGCTTTGACTATCTATCCCAAAGTCCAAAAGGCTCAAATATCCAATCATTCCCCGATCACTAATACTTCAGCAGAGCATCCCAGCCACACGGCTCGCCTATGAAAAGCTAGCGGCCGGTATCAAGGAAAAGGAGGATGGTAGAGGATTTAGAAGAGATGTCACGGCCGCTGAGGACAAGTTCAACCCGGATTGGATGAAAAATGAAGAAAAGGAGACCATGGAGCAAAGGCGAAGTAGGAATTGATAGACGGTGCATTTCCCGCAGGACTGATCGCGCGCCTTCTAAAGGCGAGAGGCATGATGTCTGCGACAGCACCCAAGCTGTGCTAGCATCCGATGTACTGGTATATGGAGAGACTATGCTAGCTTCAGAGACAGCAATGAATAGGTTTGATGATCAAAGCCCGTCGTGCCTCCTATAGCAGCCATATAGTGCTCTATTTTACGGGCAAGCGGGATAAAGCCTTCAAATCCGAGCCGGCGAGCCCGGTGCTATGCTAGCCCCCGCTGTGTATGGAAGAATCATCGAGCATAACTGATAAGGATAAGTAGATACTGTGTACACAATTTCAAGCCCAAGATGATACACCAAGGCAGCACGGATGATGTTATCCAAGCCTGCGTCCCATTTTGAATCCGAATAATCCTGGCGTGCAGCGAGCTGGGATCTTCGGTACATGGTGCGTGCATCATTTGTAACTAGTGAGTTAGTGAGATCTTGGCCAAGAGGCCGCAAGGTTTTCTTGTCATCCAAGGACGATATCTCTCATTAACTTCTCGGACGCCATGACTTCGTTGCTGTGTTGGTGGGGCCTTAGAGACGCCGCTCCAGCTTGAAGACGACTTAGCCTGTCCCAAAGCAGCAAGCCGTGACTGCTCGTCTGATTCTGAAACCTTGGTGCCCGGATGTCCACTGCAGTGCGGCTACTGCACGGAGCACAGAGCACAGCATTAGTTATTCGTGATTCTTGGAAGGTGCTTGACAATGCTCGACAATGCTCATGTCTCCTCACTGCTTCCCATTACGGCGCTCGCCAAGGAAGCGGGCAGCCACAGCAGAACATTGAATGCAGTGTTGGCATATTATTGGCAAATTGGCAGTGCTACCCTTCCAGCAGAAGCCATGCACTGTAACAGAAGAGCAGTTTTACGACACGGACAATCGTACTCGGGAGGCTGAGGTACATGATAGGTTGTGAAAGGTTTGTTGTCCAAAAGCTTGAGATGCAAATCCATCCAGGGCCATCTTGCAGCTTTCAAGTTGTGTGGACGCTCTTCTGCTCCCACCTATTAGTAGTTAATGCTCTTCGCTGCTTGGGTCATCCTGATTGCTTGGAAAAGAGAGTGCCGCCGCTTCGGGGCGTCCAAAGCTTGGCACTATCTTCCCACACTGGCATTGCACTGGCAGTGCCAGTGCTCCTACTACGTACTACTACTACTACTACTTAGTAATCTCCTTCTTTCAGCTGCGCTTCTACGACGCCTCTAAAAGTCCACTGCAACATGGCGTTGCTCACTTCTGACGCCAAATGCGCTCTCCGGTGCCCAAGTGCGAAGCAGGCATCTCTCTCAGGCAGTCCCAAGAATGGCGTGTAACCGACTAACCACGCAAGCCAAGCAATCCAAGATGCCCAGTATGCTTGGCCATTCTCGGCGGATCTTGCGAAGACAAACGAGTCGTTCCACCGGTGCTGCTCAAGCGTTGGCATTTGCTGAGCCTCTTATAACCATGGGGACTTGTTTCGCCCTTGCCGGCGTACACCGCGACTGCTTACGAAAAGCGTTTGCGGACCTCGTCATGCCATCTATGTCAGTTTCCTACGTGAATCCTGCCACTACAGCGTAGGCGGGTTCTCCGCCCCTGCGCCACCCACATTCAGCAGTTTGGCCTCGATGTCTTCTCAAGGTTGTTCGTCCCGAATGACATACACACCGAAGTACGATCAAAGCGGAGGAGGGATTCATATTCCTGCTTCCTCCCTGTCTTCGCCTCCTCGAAAACCTCCTACAATCTATCTGGGCCGGCCACAATTGTACAACCAGTCGACCCCAAACCAGCAGATTCACGACCACTTAAAGAGGGAGCACGGTTCAATGTCAAGCACATCAACAGAATCTTCCCCCCAGAGCATAGCCCACCCAAGGGCCGCCCCCATGCATATTTATGCTCCCACATTTTCCTTTTCTTCCCAGGCGGAACAGGGCACACTGGAAATACCACGGTCAACAAGAGCATATCCCAACCAATATACAAGGCCTTCGAGGAGCGAGATGGCAGAGATCAATGCTGTATACCAACACTCCCACGAAGAGGATGAGCTCTCAGAACAATCCGAGGACCACGCGATATGGGTAGTGGTGAGTAATTAGGTTTGACATCCAAATGATACGAGCTTATCCGAAACAGTTTTGGCTGTCTTTGCTGGACCCATTATACTGTATTCTAGCGGCTGTTTATACGATTATCATCCTGTTCCCCCTTCTCCTGACAACGCCGCTCCACATCTGTAATTCAGCGTGCGACTTGCCGAGCTCCATTGTCCGCTTCGTCTCACCTATCCTGAGACGACATCTCAAAATACTGTGTGCAGAATCGGAAAAGGGCCGTCATGATCTTCAATTCAAGCCAATATCCTTGATCATGGTCTATCTTGCAGCTCCTATGTTTAGTCTCGGCGTTGCAATTGCAGCATGGGTGTCTGCATCCTTCTGGGTCTTTGCCATAATCATGGGCAACCCCGACGGCACAGAACGAAGGGATGATGGAAGAGCAACTGTTCTGGCTGTAAGGAACTGGTGGGAAAGATACTTGCTTTCGGCGGTTCGGTGAACCCACCTCTTGATATACCCTGCTGTATTCCAGGGTTCTGCGCCATTTTGACCCTATGTACGTGAGCATGAGGTGCATCTTCGGGAATGCAGGCAGGAAATTGCGCGATCAATCATTGGGGGTACACATCTAGCGAGGAGTTCATGGCGGTTCTCCAAGTGACCTAGCATTGTACAGTTGTGGATGACGCATTCAGAGTTCGCCAGATAGATCGTGTAGCAGTCTATCAAGTTCGGTAATACAGCCATTTGTTGTCTTTGATTTGATATCGCTGCAGAAGTGGAATCTTCAGTGCCTCCAGTTGTCCTTAAGCGTGGGATTTGGTCTGCCGCTGCGGGAGGGAAACACTAAGTTAGGTCATAGCTAGCAGGCACTTCCGCAAATGTTTTAATTATTCTCCCCGCATGTTCCTGTGCGTTCTCCGCACTAGCTTTTTTTCTGTTTAAGAAGAGCATTCTTTTTCAGTGTCCATGCGAGATTGTTGAAGATGTCACTGGAAGAGAGGTTGGCCAAGGTGAAGTCACCGAATCTTCAAAACCAACAGCATGTAGGCCATGGAAAAAGTCCTCATCAAGCACCGGGCTTCGGCTGACCTAGCTGCAGGCCAGTGTTGTGCTCTCATCAGTAGAAGATACGCTGAGAGATCAGAAGACAAATATTACTCCTACCGCGTACTTTGCCGCCCTCCTTGCGATCCTGCGACAATGTTCATCTGCTGCCCTAATCGAGGGAAATGCTGAGCTTGTGACCTCGACCGTTTACCTGCTCGACCTTGTTTCCTCCTACGTTCCCCCGCCCCTCTTACGAACACAGTTCTCCCAGATACTGGCATTGATTGCCCCCTTCTTTGTGAGCAATGAAACAGGAGCACCTCTACTCAGATCCGCCCTGGGATGTCTCGAATCTCTGTTGGTGGCACAAGACTCCGCGGCTTGGAATCTGCCCTCGAGTCAGACTGGGCCCAGAAAGGCCATCCCAGTACTCCTGACGCTGGCTGTGGATGGGCGACCAAAAATACGGAAGAGATCACTGGAAGCTCTGACAAATGTTCTCAAGCACCCCCCTCAAGGTCCAGCCCTAGATCACCCGGTGGCGGACCACTGCGCAAGCACTGCATTGACGAGCCTCAAAGAAGCTGTCAATACTGCAAGTCAACTCAGAAAGCAGAAGGATCGTCATGACAATGGACATGATCCGTTTCTCATACACGCACTGCAACTCACGAAGACGATTGCTGCTGCGTCGGGAGGATGGCCAAGCAAGAAAATCGAGCCTCTGGTCGAAGCTCTAATGACCATCTCGAAATCCACCAACGATTATATTGTCATGGGCGCTTTCGAAGTGTTTGAAGCCATCTTTGAAGGAATGCACGACGAAATATCGTCTTCGAAACTGCCAAGGTTGCTGGATGCCATTGCAGACTTAAAACCGGCGCAGAACGATTCACAACTCCTGCCTCCATGGATTGCTGTGTTATCCAGAGGATATCAGCTTGCGTCTGAGGTCAGTCCGGAGGACACATTCATCAAGCTGCCGGATCTGGTAGATATGATATCGCCCTTCCTATCTCAGCCCAGCCTTAATATTCGTGTTTCAGCATCAGAATGCTTGATCTCGTTGTTTGCCAATTGTATCCCAAGGCGTACTCTTGTGGAGCCTTCAGTATACGACGAGAAAGTCTTTGAGCAACTGGGAAGGAAGGCAAGTGACCTCCTGTCCATAAAATACCAAGCAGCATGGATGGAAATATTCCGAATACTTTCTGCTTTCATACAGGCGATGCGGTGGCGTGGTACCCATTATCTTCTTTCGGTTGTCAAGGCCGTTGGCGAGCTACGTGGAAATGACTCATTTCAGGGCAAGAAGGAGGCCGACGAGGTTCTTGGTCACGCAATACACAACATGGGCCCCGACGTTATACTCTCTGTACTTCCACATAACCTCGATCAAAACAACGACAGGCACCCAGGCCGAGCGTGGCTCCTTCCGCTGCTGAGAGATCACGTTTCAAATACGAGACTAGCTCACTTCAAATCAGATCTTATGCACTTGAGCGAGCGGATATATCAGCGAGTTATCGACCACGGCCGCGCCGAGAAGACGGCGCGCATCAAGATTTACGAAACAGTGATCCACCAGATATGGGCGACGCTTCCGGGTTATTGTGATCTGCCAATCGACTTGCAGGCGGCTTTCGATCAACCATTTGCGGAAATGCTGTCGAACTTGCTCTACAAGCAGATAGAGCTACGTGTAGACTTGTGTCGCAGTCTGCAGAATTTGGTCGAATCCAACCAGGCAGTACTGGCAGCTGAACTCTCCGAGGAAGATATGCTCTACGAGCACAGGATTACCAAGTCCGGGGCAGCGCAAAATATACAGCATCTGGCAGGCCTATCCAGTAACCTTCTGGCTGTCCTGTTCAACGTCTACAGCCAGACGATTCCACAAAGTCGAGGCTATATTCTTGAATGCATCAATGCATATCTTAGCATCACGTCCGGGGAAGACCTCGTCGAGACATTCAACCGCGTTTCTTCAGTTCTCACCACCTCACTACCCGAGGCCGGTCATGCGCCTCCACCGAAGCAACAACAGCCAAAAGACAAATTGCCACCAGCTTCTCACACCCTCCTCGACCTCACTATCGCCCTATCAACCTACCTACCTCGCTCAACGTTTCCCTCCCTCTTCTCGCTTGCATCACGCATCCTGAATCACCCTACGGCCACGACCACCGATCCTCAGCTTATCAAAAAAGCCTATAAACTCATACCTCGACTCGCCACCTCCGAAGCTGGAGCAGCTGCTTTACGAGCTCGCAACTCCGAACTTCAGTCCCTCATCCTCTCAACCAGCGACAAAACACCTGTACCTGCCCGCCGCGACCGCCTCCTCGCAATACATAGCTTAATCAACTACCTCCCCACAGAAGACCTTCACTTCATCCCCTCAATTCTTAGCGAAATAGTCCTCGCATGCAAAGACACCAACCAGAGAGCACGTCAGGCAGGATTCGAGCTGTTAATACATGTCACGAATCGAATCACCGATTCAGAACGCAACCCTCCGGGCACAGTGATCCGAAATAATTTGGTGCCGCACATGCCAGACGATGCGCCAGCTGCGCTCGCAACGTTGGAAGAGGTATTCACGATGGTGAGCGCTGGCCTAGCTGGCGTGGCGCCCCATATGGTTGCTGCCACTGTCGCGGCATTAGCGAGGTTACTCTTTGAGTTCCACACAAAGCTTGCGAAGCCGGTGCTTGAGGATCTGTTGGGCACGGTGGAGATGTTCCTGCAGAGCAGCAACCGCGAAATCGTGCGATCTGTTCTCGGATTTGTGAAAGTTGCAGTGGTGGTGCTTCCGGACGAGTTGTTGGGTGAGCAGAGGATGAGTAGGTTGCTGAAGGGTTGTATGGTATGGAGCAAGGAGAATAAGGGGAGGATGCGGATGAAGGTCAAGGGAATACTGGAGCGATGTCTAAGACGGTTCGGGCAAGAAATTGTGGATGGATGGTTGGCAAGTGATGAGGCGGGCAGGAAGATGGTGGCGAATCTCAGGAAGAGGAGGGACAGAGCTAAGAGGAAGAAGAGTGCCAACAGTAAAGTAGAGGATGAGAGTGACGAGGGAGGGAGAGAAGCAGAGGCACGGAAGACAAAGAAGACGGAATTTGACAATGAATTTGATGAAGCTGTCTACGGCTCGGATGATGATTCGGATATCATCATCGGTAGTGACGATGGAGAGCAAGCTGCCGCTGAAGACATGACCGGCGTCTCGTTCAAACACGGCTCTACTACCAAGGGCAAAGCTATCGCCTCGGCACGGAAAGCACACCACAGAGACCGATTCATCCGCGAAGACGCCTCGGATGACGAACCCCTCGACCTCCTTGCTCCGAACGCCCTGGCCCGCATCTCGAGTCGGAAATCCCACCCTTCCGGTCCGGGAGTCAAGCGCAAGACCAAGGCCAAAGTGAACGCGGATGGCAAACTCGTGTTTGGTGGCGACCCTGACGCGGATGGGGATGGGGATGGGGATGTCTTGATGGGTGATGGTGCGGCTGAGTCGATTGGGGCGGTGAATGCGTACGTAGATGCGGTGGATGGACCGGATGCGGTGAGGAGGGGGCAGAAGGGGAAATTGAAGGTGGGCAGTGCGAATCGGAAGAAGGTTAAAGCATCAAGTGGTGGTGAAGGAGGAGGAGGAGGAGGAGGAGGAGGAGGAGAGGAGATGGAGTTGGATGAGAACGAGGCGAGGGAGGTGGGTAGGGGGATTAGAAGTCCGAGGGGGTTCGGGAAGGGCAGGTTGCCGTTGAGGAGGGGGCTGGGTGTTGAGAAGGTGAGGCAGAGTGGTAGTAGTGGTGGTGGTGGTGGTGCAACGAGGGCCGGGAGAGTGCAGAAAAGAGGCTTGGAAGGTGCTGGTCGAGGTGGAAGTAGAGGCGCAGGCGGAGGCAGAGGCCGGAATAATGTCAGGTTTAGAGGTGGGAGGAGATGAGATGCTTATGGCCGTGTGACATGTTCAAATGACAGGCACATAGATACCCAAATATATAGGATGGACGAATCAATGACCTAAAAAGTATCTCTCGCATTTTTCCGCACAAGCAGTCCCCCTTCCTAGACAGGTAATTACACTCTCGAACTAACTAGTCGAAAGTAGCCAGTATCCTAGTCGCCCAAGGCCCTCACATCTGTTCTGTGCCCCAAACCCTTCCACCGAGCTTCTCTCCCTTCCCTTTGCTCTGATGATGCATGACCAACGTCCGGCTCTCCTGTAAATTAGTTTGTCCGGCGGACTTCCCAGCCGGCATCCTTTCCCACCGTGGCCGACAAGATCAATACCTACACGAAAGGGAAGCTAAAGGTTTAGCTAAGGCATCTCCTTGAACAGAATTGCCGAGTGAGAGGGAGCTATGGGTGATGAGTTATTTGATAGATTATCATCGTCAGACAGCAATTAATACAAAAGATTTATTATCCACATGACTTTTTGGTATATGTATTTTCTTTTTTTCAGAACAGGTCTGTGTGAAAAACAAAATTTGCTTCGTCATCGGTGGGAAAAGAAGGGAGGGTTGAGCGAGGGTGCTGGATTATCTGGTAAAACAATGGGCAAGATATACACACAGGTAATATACGAGCATTGTGGTTTCGGTCGGTCATCACGACCCAATGCTGCGGACTTTGCCATCGAGAAGTGATTATATATATTCTGTTTGAAGCACGGCCTGGTAGCCCCAACTACGCAAAAACGCACTGTGGCTAAGCGGCCAAAGCGCCGGGCTCATATGCCGGAGAACGGTGGTTCGAGTCTATCCAGTGCCCTGTTGCTTTTCATTTTTTGGGGGGCTTCCCTTCGAGAGATCTCTGGTGGGTGATGGAGTGGTGTGAGTCATAGCTTGGCGCTGGGGAGGACCTTCAGGTATAAAGGTCAGAAGATGAAAGAATCTTGAGGCTCTTTTGCGCAGATTGCCTTTTAGACGGGATTAGTCAAGGTATGGCTGCTTCATCGCCATCTGCTGGCTTCAGTTTCTTTCTTTCTTCTCTGGCAAGAATGGTGGTCATGATGTTTCTACCATCAGACGCAAGGCGGACGATTCGGAGTGCAAGACCTCGCAACGCAGTCCAGCTTTTGCATTGATGCAGCGGATTCATGACCTCTTGTAAGCAGAAGTTACAGACAGGAGTACATATTCCAGGGTGGGAAGAGGCCTAGCCAGCTTTATGATTCTGCACCTCAATCTTGGGCTTTTTGAAGAATCCTTCAAGGCTTTTCTGCTTTGCATCGAAGGCAGTACTACCCAGACCTCCCCTCGTCCTCTTGAGGTTGTTGAGATGATCCTTGCGGTTGATGGCCCTGATTAGCATCTTGTAGCCACTTAGCACTGACACTCGCAGATCAGTGTTCGGGGACCGAGGTATGTCGAGATCAGGGCGCACCTGAGCACAATTGATGTCCAGCTCCAGATAGCCAGTGTTCGACCACCCTGGCAAGTATTCCAAAGGCCTGCTGCCGGTGGACGCGCTGACTTCGGGACCCAACGACACACTTCCAGCACCGAACTGTTGAAGCAGAATTCTCCAAAGGACCGACAATATAATGCCATGAGACACGACCGCGACTTTGCTCCCAATTTCGGAATCAGCAGCCAGCAGTGGAAGTAGGGTCTCGTTGAGGAACGTGTTCATCCTCGTAGCCATCGCCTCTTGAGTCTCCTTTGGCTTGAAGTCCGGATGATCAGGATCGAGAAGGTTGCTACTGGCTCTCGTGGCTGCCGCCTTCGATGTCCATGGGCGGCACTCAAGAGATCCAAAGTCTTGTTCTCGCAGAATGTCCAGAACTATTCTTTCTGCTTTGACTCTTTCGGAGCTTTTCTCACCGAGCTGGGCATTATGGATGGCATCCGCAGTGAGACACGCTCGGCTCAGATCGGAAGAAAAGATATGTGTAAAGTGGATCGCCCTCTCTTGCACAAGGGAGCGCGCAAGGCGCTGGGTTTGAAGCGCGCCATGGGTGGTGAGTCTAGAATCAGTCGTGCCCGCACTTATAAGATGTTAGCAGGACGGAGCTGCGAAGGTGGGGGATGCATCTCACAGAAGACCCGCTATGTTGTGTTCTGTTTCTGCGTGACGGATCAGAAGCAGCAACATGCAGGGTAGGTAGCCTTAGGATGATTGTTTGGTCGAGGCTGGCTTTTCGAATTTCGAGCCCTTCTCGAAATGCGACTTCAACCTAACTTACTGTAGGAGTACACCTGCCAAGATGGGTGCTCGAAATTATTCTTGGCATACATATCGCGTCTGCATTGTCTGGGGTGATGATGTTCGAATAGACGACATCATACAGAAACACTGAAGCACTAATGGCTGCACTAACGTATATTATCTTTGACACATTTTTCCATCCTGTCGCAAATTCTCACTTCTAGAAAACCTCAATGGACTGGGCAGTAGCGTGTCAGCGCTGAACTTGAAGTTGCATCTAACTAGCTCAATCCGTGTTCCCACTAACTAGAACGGAGTGACAATGGTCTGCTATCAAGCTGTGCATTTCCTCATTTGGATTTGGCCCAGGTTGAAAGCGGCTGGTATGTCCATACGGAAGCTGAGGAAAATATCTCTGTGACATCAAGGAAGAACTTCAGCCTTCCTGAATGGACCGAGCCTTAAGGGAAAGTTAGCTGCCATTGAGACTACATTTCTGGTTGCAAAGAAATGCTGAAGTAGAGAGGGAGAGATAGATTAAAGGAACATTCACTGACAACTTTCACTGCCACTTGGTGCCTCCTTTTACCAGATCACTCTGAATAGGTCTTAAGTGATCATGTAACGAGCTACTACACAAATCTGTGAAAGACAGCGCTAGCGACATGAACATCATCCTTATAGCGATCGAGAGATCTCATCGTGATCATCAGACAGTGCGAGCTGAGAATGGTACCGAAACGCCCACCAAGATCGCTCATTGATTGTGTGCAGTGGAACCAAACTTTCCTTAGGCTAGAGACTCTTCCTATGCGCCGCTTGACGATTCTTGGGAAGTAAGTAAAGCATAATTTTCCGGTGGAAGAATGCGAAATAGAAGGTAGTACATCCCAGTATCACCGAGACAAATGTCCACCACAACCACACCGTCCTCTCTGCCGGTAGACTCGAGAGACCAAAAATCCCCGACGCAAGGCTCCATGGTAGATAAGCCACCGTGACTTTGGTCAAGATACCGATGTCACTTGCCTGTTGCGTTGATCGGCGACTTTCCCGTAGAACCGAGGCATTTAAGAGACCGTCGCGCATCATATCGAAGCGCTGCATGCGCTCGTGAAGACGCTGACGCCAACGACTGAGATGCGTGAATTCGATGTCGATGGTTCTGAAGTAGCAGCCACACTGGTCTTGGAAGTCTTTTTGGTCCTTGAAGGTGTCTTCGTTGCGATTCAGAAAGTCTTGTAAACGGTCGAGCGTCGTAGACAATGTATCATGATATTGGCGGAGCATCGATGCGGCCTTGGAATAAGATCGTGTGCGCGACATTGCTTGGTCGTCACGTAGGTCAGCAGTGTCGATGGTCTGGAGATAGCGGCTTTCCTATAGATGCACGATCAGTGAAAAGCCCATGAGCTTGATGACTGTACGTACATATGTGTCAGTTCGTGCCATGAGAACGTCGCAAAGATTACCCCATTCCATGCCCGTCTGTCGGAATCGCTGGCTCAAGACCAGTAGAAAATATTCCTTTGGGTCCAAGCAGAGGTCGGAAGCCAGCCTCGCGCCGCCACTTGGGCCATCTTCGTCGTTCGCCAGGTAGGCGTCGACATCCTTTTCACTGCCGAACCAGCTGTCAACATTGCAGTAGGCCTTCCAGCAGTCGTTACCCTTGCCTACGATCATGAAAGATATCTGAGCGTCGTAGCAAATTAGCTCTTCAGCTGACCCAACATCAACCTCCAAAGGCTCTATCATTGAGATGTGCGCTCTGACGCCTCGAGGATCTGCTCCTGCTCCGGCCTTTCGTAAAGCAACATATGACATGTGAAATTCGAAATTGAAGGTGGATTTAGGATTGACGTGTCTTGGCCAGTCGATGCACTCGCGTACGGTGTGCGGATTTTGAAAAGCGTTGAACACTACTCACCTGCCACATGACATTGAAGATACTTTTTCAAAAATGATTGGTACATATCTTCGTCTCGGACCGCTATCGCAGCAGCATATAAAGGTGTCATGTTGGCGGTGAAACTGACGGTTCATTGTCAGCTGAGGAAGACCAATATAGACTTTTACTGACAAGATGGTCCTTCCAACACTAAAGGCAGCACGCTGCAACATTTTAGTGCTGTTATACCTAATCGTTTGTGATACTCACGTTTGATCCTAGTATCTGCAAGAGTTCGTGATCTGTATAGATCTTCCGCTCGAAACAGTACGGCCCAGGGCTCGCACCAAGCAATGTACTTCCAGAACCTCGGTGCTCTGCCCCCGAGCTAGCTTGCAGATGTTCTTCATCGCCTTGTGATGGAAAGATGCGGTGGAGAAGGCATCGACTGACAGCGGAGACAGGGGACCTCAAACGGCGAGGCTTCTCGATGTCTAGCTTGGCTAGGAAAGTCCGCAAAGGCTGCCAATTGAAACATGGAGGGCGGAGCGAGCAAGAATATTTACTTGAGAAAAACCGCTCGAGCTCTCTGTTGTCGACAAGGGGTTGATCCGATACTACTAAAGGTAAGTCAATGGTGATGCTGTGTGACGACGGCAACGTTTCCGGCGAGGTGGCATCTTTCTGGCCGCTATGACAGGGATTATGGGACAATCGTTGCTCGGTCGGACTGTGAGGAAGAGCCATTGAACTGAATATTCATAGATTTGTCTAATAGTGGTTGCAGCTGCAACGAGACACGACTGGGCAGTGTCCTGCATATATCAAAGGGAGATTGGGAAAGTGGCACTTGTAGAGTTGACCCGAAAAGTCCATTTCATTGCAGCAAGCAACGGTAGCAGGGCGCAGCCTGATTCAGCCTTGAATGAGGGTTTGTTAGCGATCAATACCGTGTTTGGATAGCGGTCTTAGACACAGGGCAACCACAATCTCAAGGCTATGAGTCCAGCCCCTCAGTGGTGGTGAAGTTAGCCACATGTTCTGAGAAGAAAACTTCCTAACGCCAGGAGCCGAACTGTAGTTCGATTAAAACCTTGGGGCTGCAAATTGGCTCTCAACCTCTTTCTGTGTTGTTGGGCTTGATCTTATGGAGCTTGGGACATCTTCTGGTTGTTAGCCAGACACGATCGGCCGCAGAAGAGGAACAAAGTGGAACTAATGTTGTAGGAATGGGTCCTTTGGGAACTAGAGAGTTTGCTGAAATAGGGTGTTAGGATTTGCCACTAGAGCTGGAAAGATAAGTAGAATCTAATTAAGATAGAAAAGAAGAAGCTTACTCGGTGCCGCCGAAAAGTCCGTCCTTTCCTAATCAGGTCTAACGCGGCGCTAGTCCCACCTGCAGCAAATCATGACGAAACAACAGCTAATTTTGCTTCGCAGTATCTCAACAACAACTACACCAAATCCAATGCCCTTTAGCTATAGCAAGCAGCTATAGCTATGCGTCCTCATCATAGCGAATTCCCCTACGAAAAGCGCGTCGCCGTCGTTGCCCTGCGACTTTTAGCGGGCTTGAAATTCGCTGAAATTGCTGAAAAACTCGAACTCGGAACGAATTCTGTTAATAAGCTCTATAACCGTGCCCTAGAGCGTACAGGAAGCGACTCTTAAGACTTATTTCTTATCATTACACAGAATTTAAGAGACGGAATAAGAATAGGGAGGCCATTAAGGAGGCCACTGGCCTAGTAGGCTTGTCCTGTCAATCCAAGTCCACGAAGATTGTGCTGCACATTGACACATGAATCAACTTTATGGAGAAGCGTCCCGAAACTGCATTGGAAAAGAAGGGGGGAAACAAGTACAGATGCTCAGGCGCCCCGCTGGAAAATAACTCGATTCTCGCGATATCCTCGAAACCCCAACAAAACATTTACCCAAAAGATGACGGTCAGATATCAGCACTCGGTTTCCTCAGCACAGATGGGTCAGAGTCCATTTCGACTCTCTCAACCGCGATATCGCTGTGTGGGCGCTTGAGCTCTTTACGGGTGAAATCTTGAACCAAGACTTCTGAAACGGTCGACAGAGGTGGGGTTTCGTCCAACGACATTTTCTCCTGAGTGCCGGTGTCAAAACTCATATCGGTGTGACTCATCTGAGTAGAGCATGGATGGAGGTCGTAAGGAAGCTCGTGCAGATGGCCGTTAGCGACGCGCACAAAATCTCCTGGCGGTCCTTGATCGTCACCTGACGTTGAGCGGTGTGGTATCGTCCTCAAGTTTGGGCGTGTAAGAATCATATCATCAATTCGCGCTCCGCGGACCTTATTATGTGTGTCAGGGGGCTCTTTGCTTTCGGCACTCGTAGGATAGTCCGTCGGATAAACCAAGTCAGTGAGACGGTGCAACTGCTTTCTGAAATCGTTCCAGCTGCTCAGCTGGAATTGCAGTGTCAGTCGCTTGCCGCGACACGCCTTCAGCACAATCCATAAGACAGAACCAACGATCGGGCTGATATATGCTCCTGCAAATTTTAACCCGATTTCCTTTCCGTTCCACAAGCTGGCGCTGTTGAAGCCAACAACGACTAGAAGACAAGAAAGAAGGCCCAGATAAGCTAGTGCTGGTTGAAAGTACGTAAAGTAGTTCGTTCTGCGTGATGGGAGGAACTGAGAGTAGAAGTCGATCAGTCTTTCTTGGTGCTTTTGCAGGTAGTAACGATAGCGTATATAAGCCAAACACTGAGAACCCCAGATTACGATGCCATTGACGGATCCCAGATTCAGCAGTGTCTGCTGAAACTCAAAGGTAGAATTTGTGCGTTTGAGGCCCACAAACGGCAGCCAGCAAAACATTACAGCTGAAAGCAGGACTGCTCGCCAAGGGACAGAGGTTCGCTTCCCGACTGTTCCAAGTGCAATCTCAAATTGCTTGTGTATTTTTTGCAGCCAATTTCGATTGGCAGGGAGAGACTGCGTAAATGACAGCAGCGTTGTGGATCTCGCAAGTCCAAAAAGGGTCCTTGAAGCCGAGTATAGGGCAACGTTGGCTGCACTAAGAGCCGTAAACACAAAAAAAGCATTTAGCACGTCGACATTCAAGTCAGCTCGTCTGAGTGCCACTATGGGTGCAACCAGAGATGGAGACGTGCTATTAACGCCGCGATCTTGGATGAGACCTCCCAGTCCCTGATTTGAATACCGAGGTAGCTCTGGGTCGTTCCAAGGCACGTTTAATGTAAAGAGCAAAGTAAGCACCGCATAGATAATCCATACTAGTAGGGGTGTATTTTTAAGAGTGAATTGAAGATCCCTTGGCTGTCGCACCTCGAAAGCAGTTGTCATCACTGTCTCAAGGCCCAGGTACGAAAACGCTGACATGGATATGGCGATGCACACGGCCGCGAAACGACCATCGGCAGCTTCAGGATCGTGCTCGATGCCTTCATTGAAAAAGTGAGAGCCGATCGAGTTGCCATCACCCCATCCATTATTGCGCAGTATCATAAGGATGAAAAGTACTACCAAAAAGCCCGATTTTGTAAGGCCCACCAAGACATTGAACATGCCGAATATGTGCGCGGGTCGAAAGTTGATGGCTATCAGCACCAGTGGGACTGTTACATGCAAAACGGCCCTCCAAGAAGTCGATAAATGCCAGTAGCCACACAAGCTGACGGCGCTCGTTACCAGTGCAGAATACATCAGCATCTGCATGATCCAATAGCTAACTCCAATCACGATTGCTAGCTCCTCGTCGACAAAGGCGCTGACGAATTCGACCATCGCATTCGGTATTGGCCACACGGAAAGCATCTCGCAGATGCATTCCATTACGGAGATGACAACCACACCCACCAAAGCCACTGCAAGAAAGGCACCGCCGGGGCCCGCAACGCGAAGAGCGTAGGACGTGTTTTGGATAAAGCCAATTCCGATCGTGCCGCTGATGACGATAGAAAATATCTGCCATGGTCGCAGCGTTCTCCTGAGGATAGTCTTCAAACTCTGTTCATACTCAACCGTCCACGTGATATCCTGTTGTCGGGAGGCATTCATTGGCCGCTGGAATGTCCACCTTCGACACACCAAATTCGAGATCTGGACTGACGTATTCTTCTTGTTGCTTTCTAATCCCCAAATGCTGATGTTATGCGGACTGGACTACAATGGAAGAACAATGTGTGGTGAAAGAAATTAGGATGTCTGAGATCAGGACACAGTCATGTCGCAAAACCTTATTTTGGCAGGTGGGGCCTCGGGCATAACAGGCCGTCTTGGCGGTAGCGTACCCAACTGACATGTGCATCACACACCCCATCTGCACCGCTTACTACGGGGGGGCATAAAGTATTGTTAGCTCAGCGCTAGTATCTTTACTCCAAAACGTTCTTTGTACAAAACAGCTAAGCCTATATCAAACTAAGAGTAAAATTTTAGCTCTTTTGAATGGTCATGCTATAATCAAGCTTTGCAATAACAAACCATGGCACTATAACGGAGTAACAGAAACTAGCCGCTACTAGCACCAGACTAACAATACTTATGCCTCCCCCCGTAGTATAAGGCCGATATCCCCATCCATACCAAAACTTTTTAACGACTAATTCCAGCTCGCCGCCACTCTACAAGCATTTATCGAAACCAATACAGAGATGAGTCGAATGACCAGAATTAAGCAATATCTGTTTACATAATGCCTATTTGAACTATTTCAATCAGTTCTTCCTCTAAACAGCACTAGCAACGTTCAAGTAACAGAAATATGTTCTGAGACTCAAAACGCCAAGCAATTTCTGGTGCGAATGGGGGTGTGGTGCACATGTCAGTTGGCTACGTCACTTACACCTCCGATTTGCTCCACGATTCGTCCAACGCACTCAGCCTCATGGTGGACAACAGTCGGGCAGGATCCAGGGATATCTCGAAAACGAGTGGACAGTTGCCCTCAGCTGCAGCTCATAGCCTCGAGAACAATATACTATCATGCAGCAAAGCCTGGGAGAAGTCTTCAACGAGGCTACACTTCTCGGGTGATCAGCCTCACACTTATGCAGCGAAAGTACTGTTCGCAACGCTACTTAACTCCCTTCGACCTGGCGGAACATGAGATTTACCAGATACAAGGTCCAACCGACTTTCATCCTTCATTACGGGGGAAAATCGTACCTTTTCAACATGTCTTCTCGTTCATCCATCTGCACTGTTAAGTCCGTCTTTAATGACAGAGAGTCTGGCTATGTAGAAGAACCCAAGCTTTTGAAATATCTTCGAGAAAAATTCGGCTCTAACCTCCAGTTCGGACAAGAGGTGCTGCTTCTAGTTTAAAAATGTAGGAAATGTCGCTAACCCTGAGCAGACAGTCCAAGAGCGTTGGACTTTCTACGCCCCAGCGAAGGTCTCCTATGTAAGACATTCATTCGCCATTCCCTTGTGTCACTTACTACGAATCAGTCGGTGCTAATAGCTCTGGGTATCAGTCCTCTTTCAAGTAGGTTTCCCCCGTCCTGCTTTGGATTGTTGGCTTCTCCGGTTCACTCCATCGGACTGGTGATTTGTAACACTGTTCAGGGATTGGCTCGACGATGAGTAACTCATTGCCGTCATTCAAGCTCTTGCGCGGACAATATGACAAGTACTGTCGAGTGTCAGGCGGCGGTCGGGTGAGCGGGCCAATGGTCCCTGCCATGTGCACTGATTGTGGTTGTTCTCTGAAGAATTTTGATTCTTTGTTTAGGTCGAAGGATACGGATTAAACAGCTGTCAGAATAGGTGCAAGCTTCTCATAGAGTTAGAAGATCGAAGCATGATCTTGCCGACTGAAACCATTTGGAAATGATGCATCCGAGCAAACCATGTGACGGCACTGGTTTGCCTAGCGAAAAAGCCGCGGGAAAGCCTTGTACCAAGTCAAGCCGGTAAACGTAGAGCATTGCCTTTCAGGCGGGGTATCGTTGGGAAGGTCCAGATAGGCCTAGGGGTCCTAGAGGTATCAGCCAGTCAGGAAGGCTCGCTAATGTTGCCGGACAAGACGTGCAGGAAAGGCTGAACAATACCTCGCGCTTCTGCAAGCCATGCATGCTCGTGGGCTGCATCGCCACGCAGAAGTGAAATCCGCACACGCGGGTGAAGCTCCTGGTCATGAAAGCCGCTGGGATCGGAATGGGTATAATAGCAGAGTAGCCTCCTGCCCCTCCCAGCTTCAGCGTGTTTTGTTCGCGTCCGGCTTGGCCAAGATGACCGCATTAGGCTGCTGGCAGCAATATTCAGATAAAGTGATCAAGCCTGAGGGAAGAGCGGATTCTGAACGATATGGTAGTTTATTGACTGCGCTCGCAAACTCCTTATTTGATGGCAAGACAGAGGTCGAAATTCTAGACATTGGCGGTGCGTATTCAATATGACATTCGTGCAAAAGTGTGGGCTTATCCTGGTTCTTAGGTGACGGCACCCCAGTTCAATCGAAATGCCTTTCCAGTTCGGAGGAAATTGAGCAACACCTTCAAGGCGATCGGCCAGCATTTAGACTTGTGTAAGACCATCCTCCAAGGTTTAGATCGAGGAGACACATCCACTGATCAATTGATTGGTAATGCAGATCTTTGTCAAAGAAACACTCTCTGAAGCCGTTTATGATCGAAAAGCACTCCTTTCTGAAGGTATTAACAACACACAAGATTCGCCCTTGCTTTCTCGACATGTTTTTTGGCTTTAGAGCCCAGGGTGAGCTTTCCGAAAAATCATTTGGGGTTTGGTCTCAGCCTGCGTGGCGAGGCCAGAGCACAGGTCGGTAAAGCAAGCTCAAATGCAAGTAAGTGGAGACGCTGACTGCAAAAAGTTATCTGCTATCAGTTTCGATACATCGAGCGCAATGATCACAAGCAGGGCAGCCGATGGTCCGAGCGTCAAATTGGCGTGTACCATGAGATCTCCTCACATTCAGATAATTCAGGCGTGATGATTCTGCTTCACGCAATGCCTGGTTCAAAGGTACAACGACGAATCTCCAAAGAACTCGCAGATGGCACCGAGAGGGGCGGCCACGCCCAACGATTGCGGCCATTCCAAATGCATCTGCTTATCTTTTCATCCTACCTGGATGAATGGAGGTGGTACCTTGATGAAATAGGGACGACCTGCCGCGAGATGGTAAGTGTACCCGCACACTTCATGAATTCAGCTCATGGGAACTGCAGGAGGACGAGATCCTGACGGCAGAGCTTAAGCACGACCAGAGCTTGAGTTTTAGTACTTTGCAGACTCTGAGGCATTTGGAATCAAAACTTATAACAATGGTCACCATCCTCAGAACAACCGTGGAGACGATCGAGCAAGTGGCATTGCTATGTGCCGATTTCGAGCAGAACGATGGGTCGCAGATTGTAGCTCGTACCAACACACCCTCCCCCACGGTCCTGATACATGTGGACACCAAGAATCTGCAGGACCTTGCACGACGGGCACAGTCGTATAAGGCATCCGCGAAATATATTCAATCGCGAGCTGAAAAATTGATTGACACTGTAAGGCAAGTCATCTGCGCTGCCTGACGGATATTAATTTCTTCAAGCTCACAGATGGCGTCAACCAAAAAGGCCAACACACAGCAGCGAACATCAGTGAATCGCTCCTAAGGCTGACTGAGCGTTCTGTTGATGACAACATGACTGTAAGAGTTGTAACTATAATCACATTGATCTACCTACCCACGCAATTTGTAGCGGTATGCTCTTCCCCAGTTTTTTGCCAGCTACTAGCATTGAGTAACCATGTGTTTCTTGCAGACATTTTTTGGAGCGAACTTTGTCTTATATCAACAAGGCAAGCGTACGATACAGCTGGCAAAGAATTTTTGGATATTCCTTGCGATCGCTATACCCCTGACTTTGTTGACATTGACTATATGGCTGCTTGCAAGCCGGAGGAAGCCGCAAGCAAATCGAAGGGCAAGGGATGCATTCGGCGTGTAGCGGTCATGCTCTGAGCGGCTTTTTGGTAATGATCATCGTACAGATGGTCCACTTCATATCTCCATCTTGTCGGAGACAGTGCCGACGTCGTGCGGAAATGGCTGCTTGACGAGAAAGCCATCCACAAAAGATGTTAAGAAGCCAGACTGGCCAGGATTCGTGAACAGGACCAGCCCTTCTGCGATGCCATGTGAGTGCTTGTCCACATGGAACCATACGCGCTTAACACGATCTTGGAGGTCGCCATTGTCTGATATCATTCTGACAAGATCGACGTGTGACCAATGACCATCTTGCTCTTTGGAAAGTAACAGTAGTGCATCGCTTTGGGGGTCATAGACAGCAGCGTAGGCGCCTGGACACAGCACAGGGCAGGTATCGAGCTTCTCACGGCCGTGATCATTCAAAAAATAAAGCTGTCCTGAGTTTGTAAAGGCAATAAATGTGTGACTGTCGGTGCCAGGTATCAAGCGCCTGTTAGTAGTCTTGGTATTAAGTTCGATATCGGCTCGATTTCGTGGAGCATACTGCCATTGCTTCCGTGTAATGTTATCAGTACCTACCTCCCACATACACCATTGGTCGCGATTGTCAGTTATGTACCAAGCGCCAATGGAGAGGCCATCGGGCGAGAACGTCGCGGACATAAGCCTTTGATTGTTCTCCAGTTCGAGCGCTTGTAAACGAAAGGGATCTCTGGTTCCAATTATTAGCCAAGAAGCTGCAATGGGATAATTTTGACTGGACTCACAGCAGGCAGATGTCCAATTTATGCTCATACATCAACATCAAGCCACCTCTAGCTGATAAGTTCGCCTCTAGACATCCCGGGCCCAACGGTATAATCGCGATTGGATCCGTCTGGAACGATGCGCCGCTACGCTTATATATCTCTACGCGATCCTGCTACAAGGTAAGCATGCTTGAAGCTGCATTGCACCGATCAAACCTACAGAGTGCTCCTGTTGATGAGACACCATCTGCAGCCCCACGTAAGGGCCCGCTAGAAGAACAGACGTATAATGGTGGGTAATCCGGGCACGAAAAGAAGCCAACTTTGCAGGCCCATCCGCCGGAAGACATTGCCTTTCATCCGGCATAAACAAGTCAGACCCTTCAAGTATGGAGCAAAGATCATATAGGTAGACATAATCGTCGCTACAGAATGAGACGCAGCCAGCGTCCGCAGACAAAACTGACTGGAAAGTCCCGGAGGGCACACTCACCCGGTAATACTGCGCTGACGTTGGAGGAGCTGGCCAGCTTACCCTCCTCGCAAGGTCGGGGTGTAAAATAGTATCAGAGCGCTTTAAATGAAGGGGAAACAATCTCTCAAGCGGACTCTTTGGCTGGAGCTGCGGTCGCGCAGCATCTGAAGCCTGAGGCACCCACTTCTCATGAGATGGTGTCTGATCTTCAAGCAGCATAGCGTCAAAATTCGATTTATCTGTTGCAAAGCTGTCCTGGTAAGATTGTCGCAGCTCAGTCAGATCTGAAACGGGAGGAAGGTTCCATGGCATGGACAGCTCCTCGGTCATTTGCAAGATTTCCAGAAGTTCAGCTCGGGTCTTTGTCGCCTGCAAGCGCTGACTCTTATCAATCTGGAGGAGCTTGCGAACAAGAGTCATCGCTCGCCAGATCCATCCCAAACTCGATTCCGATCCCCACTTTGCCTCCTGGAGAGAGAGCCATTCTTCGACTTCAGGTTTAACAACGAAGCTATCATCGGCTCCAGTAGTCCAGAAATAATCGTTGACATATCCTCTCTTGCGTTGCAGAAACAGTTTGTGTTCTTCTAGTGGACCTCCTAAAATGAAGGCAAAAACATCGCACGCTATACAGCCAAACGACCACATATCCGTGGAACGGTTTACAGTAGAACCGGCTTGCATTTCCGGGGCCTGGAATGGTCCCGGTGGCCTTGGAGCAGGTAGTGAGGAATGCTCGATCATGCTAGAACGTTGAAATGTTCCTGGCGCGGGACCACCAACACGATTCTGGCTCTCATCTCTGTCCAAGAGCGCCGAAAGACCAAAATCTGCGATCTTCCAATGCATAACCGTTTTGGAGCCTTGTGCGTCGCTGCGATGATCTTTTTGACCAAGGAAGATAAGGATATTGTCTGGCTTGAGGTCTAAATGTGAGCACTTCTTTGGCCCGTTGACGTAAAGCTCGTTGTGCATGAATTGTAGGCCATGACTTAGCTGGTGGAGCTGCGAGACTAAGGCGCGAGGTGTAAGTTCCACTCCTCTCTCGAGGATGCAGTCGTAGTCTCCAGAAAGCAATTCAGCCAGATTCAGTTCGGCCCAGGGATACAAAATGTTCAGCGTGCTTCCGTGCTCGAAGCTACCAAAACTCAATAATATCACTTCACAGGAACTGAACCCTTTCTTGAAGCCTTCATTGATAGCCCGCTCGTTTTTGAAACTACGTTCGTCGCGGATCACTTTGAGCGCCATGACTTCTTTCTCGTGGTTGGGTGAGCGATGTCTCGCATATTCAATTTGGTACTTCTGAACAACGACGCGGAAGACCACACCATATCCTCCGCGCGACCTCTCTTCGCATTTGAGGAATGGTAACCGTTCGTCGGCGCGGTATACGCTATGGTCATTCTCTTTAAGGACGATTGGAGAGTAGACGAACTGTTCCAGGTGAAAAAATCGTCTCCAAGCCTCCTGAGGGGAGAAGAATCCAAGGTCCGAAGTAGAGCGAAATGGTAATTGATCGTCGCATCGTGTGTATCGGTCGCCGTTTTTGTGCGATAGGAAGAGCCGATCAAAATCCGCCCACTCAGTCCACTCGATGGTGATGAGGGTTGCAATGATGCGTATGAACTTGCTATAGATGCTTTCCAGCTGCGAATCGTGGTACCAGCGGTAAGTGTGCAGCAATTCCCTGATATCTTCCCGTTTGAGCACCTTTTGCACCATATACCTAGTCATGAAGGTAGTGTCCTGCTCGCCGTTGGAAGCTTCGGTGCCTCCATAGCCATTGCGCAAACTTGTTTTGTGTTTTTTTACGAGGTTCAATTGTTCAGAGTCGTTTCTTTCGGCCCTACCCGAGATTCGTCGAACAACGAGTCGGGCGAAAGACGGCCACAGGCGCCCGGTCATGGAGGGCCGGCGCGATCGACATCATGGACTAGAAGAATCCTTAAAAGTGCAGGACTGGATGAATTTCGCGACGGACGGTAATGCAGCCCGGGGGACTGTAAGTGAACGATGTTTTTTGCTGAAGAAGGTGATGATTTCAGTGAATGGTGAAAATCTGACAACAAGAAGGGTGCGTAACCGGGCCACGGAATGGTAGCTATGTCAAGTAAACACCAGAAGGGTATGTAGAGCCCTTTTTGCATTACTTTTTGAGTCTCTTTGGGGGTCGCTCTGCCGTTTTAAGCTGGGAGTTAACTTTACGGCGGACTGTTGAGGCTGTATAAAAAATTTGTATCGTTCTTGGCATTCTTTTCTGCACCCAAGTCTGCGCCAAGAGCGACACCAATTCTTTGCAGGGTCCGGAGGTCATAGATTGCCCGACCAAACTGAATCTGTATGGGGATACTGTGGACTTGTTGTTAGGAACGTCAAGCCGAGCGGTAACGTAAGCTATCCTCAAATACAACATATCCTTAAACGCAATATCTTACCTGGAGATACCCCGAAAGTTTAAATAAAATGAGCATTCCAGTTAAGAATCTACAACTTCCAAGCCACACCGATGAAATGTTCACCAGAAACAGCATAAAAAAGACTGCTTGCATTCATGATGCCGGTCCCTAGCCCGCTGCTACTGCGGTGCTGTCGAATGGCAGGTCATTGGGAAAGTTGACTTCGTCTGTCTTTGCGTGAGATGCCTCCTTCTCGGACCGGATTTCCAAAGAGCTGATTGATCTGTACAGCATTGTACGGATTGTTAAATGTATCTGCGCACTGCTCTGGGATCCACCATTCTCACTATATATGACGGCAACGATGTCGAGTCTTCCCGAGAAGGCGTATTCAGATACCATCATGCGAAAAGCGATATAGTAGTGGAAAGGAAGTCCAAAGAGGCTTTTGCGGCTTTTGCAGGGCGGTGCTATTCACAACGTAGGTGAAGGGAAAGAGGATCAACGCTGGACGATGGGGAGCTGGCTGCCTTGTGGCGAGGCTTTGCCGAAGCCGAACCAAAGAGACCTTCATGAAGAGCGAGCCCGATTGGGTGCCGATATTTGTAGCGGAGGAAAGTCAAAAATGATAGACAATGCCATAGTAGTCCAAGGGCATCCACACCTAGGTATGAAACTAATTCTTGCGCCGAAAAGAGATAAGAACAGAGAAACCTATCGAGGTCTTCCAGCTCAATGTGATTAAGTTTTTTTCAGCATAAGAACCCCCAGTGTCAATAGTCTATACCCAAGCACAATGCACAGCAGGATGCCCACCCAGAGCCTAGTATTTCCCCTGCCATATCCGTAAGAATCCAAGATAGCCTCTCCATCGATTTGGCATTGGTCCTGCAGATGTGACCGGTACATACACGAGCAATCCGCCTGAGAACCTGATGGAGCCGGAGAACACTCGAACACGCGTTGTGAAAACTCATTCACCATCATACCCTGAAAGACATAGGACTGAAAGTCGATGTAGCGCGCCCAATACTTCCAAAAGACATTCAGGACGGTGGGATTGACCAGAAAGCCACCAACGCTCATCCAAAGACCATTTGCAAATGCGGTCAGAGCCAATGCGATGACAAACACGGGAAAGATGGACGCCATGAAGACGACGAGGGATTCTGCTGCGACAAGGTCGAGGAAGAGCCACATCACGAATGTGAAGAAAGCGGAGGCATCAGGGCGGAAATTGCAAAGCCAGTAGGCGATGATGGAAAATAGTACCGAGATGAGGAAGAGCCAGGGGAGTCCGATGATGAAGTTGGCAACGAGAAAAGACGTGGCACCATAAAGGCCATTGGCTCGCTCCTTGATAAAGGTCGAGCGGTCTTCCAGGTAGGCCGGAACATATGCCACAGCCATGAACGACATAAAGGCGGAACCAAAGAAGATAGCGTTGATAAAAGGCTGGATGTACTCTTGGTCACTTTGCAGACGCAGCCAGACCGTACCCATCATGAGAGCTAGTCCGAGGTACATGGCAATACGAATCCCGTACGTAAGCACATCGCGGTAGCTCTTGATCCAGTTGCGGTGCAGCAGGGTGATGGGAATCAGGAGCTGAGATCTTTTGGTGAGAGGCATCAGGCTGACTGGTCGAGCGGAAGAATCGAATGACACGTCAACAACTTGTGCCTCTCGAGGCCTCTTTGCTGGGTTTTGCCACAATTGCGTGATGCGAATTAGCTGCTCTGCTCGTATCTGGTCTGAAGCGAAGTCGACATTGACGAGTTCGAGTATGTATTCAGCTGGATTCATGTGCAATGGCATGGGCAGTCTAATGTCTTCCAGGTAATTGCTAAGAAATGAGACCGGACCCCCATAGCACAACTTTCCCTGAGAGAGGAGAAAGACCTTGTCAAAGAGATTGAAGGTGGCTGTTGACGGTTGGTGGATGCTTGCGATAACAATGATCTATTGGGAAGTCAGACTCGTCGCAGATATGCTTGGCCATACGTACTCTATTTTTCTTGGCTACTTCTTTCAGTAAAGACATGACCTCGAAGCTGGCAACGGAGTCCAGCCCACTAGTTGGCTCATCCAAGAACAGAATCTTTGGACAAGTGATGAGTTGACTAGCAACGCTGACGCGACGTTTTTCTCCTCCAGACAGGCCTTTTCGAATCGCCGTGCCGATGATGGTATCGGCCACCCGAAGTAAGCCGAAGGAGGCCAGCAGCTCCTCAACCCGACGTTTTCTCTCGGCGCGACTGACGGAATTCGGCAGACCAAGCTTCGCTGCGAAATCGAGCGTCTCCCGTGCTGTAAGACTGCCAATCAAGCTGTCTTCTTGCTCGACAAAGCAGCTCGCACGTCGAAAGATAGCTGTCGAAGCTGCAGCACGATTGATGCAGAGTTGACCTTCGACAGAGAACTTTGGCTCGAAAGGCCGATGAGCAAGAACGTTCAACAATGTGCTCTTTCCAGAACCCGAAGGACCCATCATGGCAACGAGTTCACCTGAATTCCGTCAATCACCTACAAAGAAGCCATTTGGAATCGAGAGTGGATAAGGGTGGGGTTGGTGTGAAATTCGACTGACCAGCGTAAGCAGCTCCATCAATTGATTCCAGTAGACGCTTGTCCTGTGTCTTGTCCTTGACCCTGACCGAGACTCTTTCCCAGCAAAAGGTATCGATAATATCGTTGTGCAAATGAACATCATTAAAAGCCTTTTCAATGTCTGGAATGACATCCCGCGGGTGGTTGTAAGCCATGCTTACCATGGGCACTTCCCATGAGCTGGCTTCAGTTATCTACGGAGATGCGCACCGCGTGTGAAGCGTCTTCAGGTAGAAGGAACGAAACCAGAGAGTAAATACCAAAAATCATCGGATACAACGCGCCGATGTAAGAAGACATAGGAGGGAGTGGAAGAAGGCGAGATACGAGGGGAGGAGTGAACTCGGGCAATAAAAAGTGTCATTCTAATAGCTGGTTGGTGGCCCTTTTGGTTCAACAAACCGCCACAGCTGAAGGAGGTCAAAGCGGACTCGGCCATTTTCGGCGAAGGCTCAGCTGCAGTGAGCAAATCCCAGTCAATACTATAGTACCCGTGTTATCGTTAGTTTCCCAGCCAAGGATAAGCCAAGAGCCTCGGAATACTTTACTTAATAATCAGGTCGGCCTAATAATAGGATCGTCCGGCACGGATCGCGTTAGGACTGATGCTTTGGACAATCGGTAGTCAGGTCCTAGAGCCATTCTTAGCTGGTACCTGTGATCATTAGTTACCCTGTCAAAGTACATATTAAGAGCCTCACCAATCACGCTTACAGTGGAAGTTACAACTCACAGCAGACTACTTGAGGTTTCTTTGCTAATCCGGACAGCGCCATCTGGAAAGACATAAGAACGCAGCTCGAACGTGTTCTCGAATACTGCCACAGACGAGGCCAAGAAAATAGAAGGATTAAAGTTCAAGTACAATCCTACACTTAACCCTCAAATTCTCAAATTCTCAAAAGGCCTCTTTCCAAGTCCGACATCTTCCGATTTTGTCTTGGTGGTCTGATTAGTACTGCTATAGGGGACGGCTGAAATAAGTAATGTTACTCTGGTTCTAGTATTTTTGGCCCACGACATCATCTTTCCGGAACGGCTAAGCTGGAGCAAGATTCAAGGTAGCCTTTTCAGCTTTGTCGACGCGAAACTTGGCAGCACAAGCTCTCAATCAGCAATTTGTCTCACTGTGTGCTGTAACCTATCCGTCAGGACGAAGGCGACTGTAACTTCTTTAGATAATTTGGATGAGGTGGATGAGTCCCAGTCATTCTATCTATCTGCAGAATCTATCTCAGAGGTTAATGTACTGAGTTGTACAGCAAATTGAGTCACGTGATGCACAGGGACTTGGGACCAGAGGACCCAGCGACCCCGGACTTGAGATTGAACAACTACTAAGTATTTCAACAACTTTGCTGATCTTTACAGGAGCAACCTTGCTATGTAGGGTTGTAGAATTGACAACCATCCTTGAATTATTTTCGTAATGCGCCTCCCGATCGTAAATTTCTGTTGGACCAAAAGGACCGCGGCCCTCAGAGGATCGTAAACTAGCTTTTGTCTGACACACCCCCAGGAACTTTCGACTTAGGAAGTTACTGTAAATCGCTGGATCACTTTCTGTTTCTTTGTAGGCTGACCGTCACCCATGATTTAATGCTTTCTCCCTCTCCCAAGCGGGACTCGAATTTGTGGAGCCTCTTGCAGGAAGCGGGTTTTGTGTCCCAAAGTGGCTAACGCGTCTGAATGCGGATTATCCGGGCTCATAACTGTTGGACCAAAAGGACCCTGGCCCTCAGAGGACCGTAAACTAGCTTTTGTCTGACAATTTCTCTGTCCTTGGTAGGAGTGATCCTGCTCCAAGGATGGGTCTTCTCGCCACTGATATGACTCGTATGACAGCGAACAGGTAATCAACATACATGACACCGATTTCTAATTCTAGGACGCGAGCGATGCAAGATCTGGTACGGGCTGAGTGGGTACACCAACGCCAACTACCAGCCTCCCTTCAGCCTGGCTGATATCCTGCAAAGAACGGGACCCTGTTGTGGTTTGCCATCTCGCTTCGCTATAAAATGCCTCCAAGATGTCCTTGGGCCTGTTTGCATTCTTGATTTGTCAGCCTCATGGGAAAAGACTATACATTGCCTATATCTCATACTCCGACCACCATGGGCTATATGAACAGACCACGCGCACATGCTTCCTAAACCCATGCAACCTTGACAGAAATTCTTGAATCATGTCTCATGGCTATGCTCACGATCTTGAGAGACTCCGACGGCGCGAGTATCCAACACTGAAAGGTCAGTACGTTCGATTTCCAACTTCCTTCCCTTGAAATTGTTGATCGGTACATGTGCTGATCAATAAATAGATGTCACTTACTTGGATCATGCGGGAACTACGCCATATGCCAAGTCCTTGGTCCAACGCTTCTCTCGTGATATGGTCCATAACCTCTATGGGAATCCCCATTCAGCTTCACCCTCCTCTGACCTATCCACTCAGCGGGTTGCCGCGGTCCGAGATCGCATTCTTCGATTCTTCCATGCTGATCCCGAACATTTCGATCTTGTGTTCGTTGCCAATGCATCTGCTGCCATCAAAATGGTGGTTGAATCATTCGCAGAGATCGAAACTCCTGGTTTCTGGTATGGCTACCACAAGGACGCACATACTAGCCTGGTCGGAATTCGGCAACTGGCATTTTCATCAAGGTGCTTTGAATCAGACAGAGAAGTCGATATGTGGCTCAAGAACATTGGCAAGGGAGAGTCTTTCGAGGCGTGGTCAGACGTGAGCGTAGGCCTCTTCGCCTACCCTGCGCAATCCAATATGAATGGTCATCGGCTGCCATTGCGCTGGGCAGAAGAAGTGCGTCAGAAATGCCTTACCTCAACAAGCCAGAGGATTTATACACTTCTTGATGCTGCAGCATATGTGATGACTGCTCAGCTCGACCTCAGCAACGAGAAGGCAGCTCCGGACTTCACAGCGCTGAGCTTCTACAAGATATTCGGGTTTCCGGATCTGGGAGCCTTGATTGTGCGCAAAGCGGCAGGCAGCATGCTTCGCCGTCGACGCTATTTCGGAGGCGGAACTGTGGACATGGTGACTGTTATGAAGAATCCGTGGCATGCAAAAAAGGATCAGACCTTGCACGAGGCCTTGGAGGATGGCACATTGCCGTTTCATCAAATCGTGGCTCTTGGTTACGCTCTAGACGTACATGCTGAGACGTTTGGGTCAATGATCAATGTCTCAGAGCATACTTGTGCGTTGGCCGCTTACACACACTCCCACCTGCAAGCTCTTCGTCATGCAAATGGTCGGCCAGTATGCACAATTTACAGAGATGAGGCATCTCGGTATGGCGATTCAAAGTCTCAAGGTCCCACAATAGCTTTCAACATTCAGAATTCTCAAGGCGGCTGGGTTGGGAAGTCCGACGTGGAGCGCCTCGCAATTGTTCGTGGGATTCATCTTCGGACTGGCGGAGTCTGCAACCCTGGTGGGATTGCAACGTTCTGCAATCTAGCTCATTGGGAGTTACGTCGCAACTTCTCGGAAGGTATGCGTTGTGGGGATGACCTCGATATCATTGGGGGAAAGCCAACCGGGATCGTCCGAATCAGTTTCGGTGCCATGAGCAATCAGCGCGATGCTGATAACTTATTGCGGTTCGTGGACCAGCTGTTTGTCGAAAAGCAAATCAGCGTTCTGCGAGCACAAGCTTCGGTAGCTCCAGCTGAGTGCAATGTCAAAAGTCTGACAATCTTTCCAATCATTGGCTGCGCCGGCTGGGATGTGCCACCAAATGTCAGTTGGGCTGTTGGGGGGCGTGGCCTTGCATGGGATCGGGAATGGTGCGTTGTGCCTCAATGCAGCGACACTCCTCTCGACTCGGTCCAGCACGCACGACTGATGCTCATCAAACCGGAATTGGATATTGAACATGGTATCCTGAGCCTTACTGGTCCTGTTTCTTCGAACGATGCAGATAAGCCCTCACATCTGAAAATTTCACTATGGGAGAGCCCAGGGGAGCAAGACCACATGGAATCGGAGCACAGGATCAAAGACTCATATCAAAGTGAAGTCATCAAAGCTTTTTTCACCAGTGCTCTTGGTTTCCCAAGCACGTTGGCTCGCTTCCGAGACCATCGACGCGTTTCAAAGGCGAGGCGCTTGCCAACTCCCTCTCTTTCTTCCCTTGAAGAACATTCGTTCAGTGTGTCTCTTCCGTCCCACGCTTCCAGCACAAATCTCAGTATCCCCTACCACCCTGGTTGGACGAACCATCGATACGTCAAAATTAATCAGTTTATCTTCGAGAAAGTCGTATCTCATAGAAATGTTTGGAGTTTTAGGCATCTACATGATGCTCAAGACAAATCTGCCGCTGCACAGAATCCGTGCATCAAGGTAGACGACGAGGTCCGATCCTACGCTGTACTCTCAGACCACTATAGTATGGAAAAAGGTGTATCTGTCACCTGTGTTGACGCTGATCAATTTGTTTGCGTCGTGTGGAATTGTCAAAAGGCATTCATGTCGGATGTGGAGTTGGCAGATCATCTATACTGCCACAAATCAAAACCAGAAACTAGCTCTTGTGTGAAAGAGGTTATTGAATGGGGTCTGGGAAGAATGTGCTTGCCGCGGGGAACAAAGCATCAGAAGGTCTTTGTTGATACAAAGGCTTGAGGTCGAGACATACTCCGCGCTCGAATTCATCAACAGAAGAATATGATTATGTACGATAACGACTGGAGGTGGAGTAGACGAAGATGCCTGTACCAAGGTGAGGGTTCAAAATGACCAGATTCCTGAGGTATAAATGTTGATGATAATGCTGGTAGATGATAATGCTGATAGAAAGTACGAGTTAAAGTCTTATTCAACATGCCCGTCTGAGTATCCATATCATGGATGAGCAAAATTTATGGAGGGTATCGAGGATGAAGAGTCTGAAGTCGCGTAATAACAACGGACCAAACGCTAAGCAGAACGAGCACGTGATTATCTGGTTGATACTACCTGCATTATATTTACTCTGTTGTATATATCCTACTAGGTTTCTGTTCTACTTGACTTGTGTCAGGAGTATGGACCGTGCGCTCCCCGCATGCACGAAGCATGCGTCAAAAGACTGGATTACCGAGGGAATTCACCACGGAATTCTCTTGTAAAATCCATAACCATCTCATGCATCTGCACCTCTTAGCATCCCTCACAACTTGAGACCTTTAATACGTCTAGCCAGTAGTGCATGTATACTACTCCGTAGATATCAATTACTATTACAGAGAAGCACTATCCACCTTTCTAACGGAAATTTTGAAATTACTCTAGTTGATTGCTACAGCCACAAATGCGCATTAATCAGACATTGAAAAGTGAGAGACATCCATTGGAACCTAATGTCATCTCCAGTACGGAGTAGACGCTAACGACTATATCAGCTAGTTGAAAAATTTCAAATTTACGCCAGAAAGATGATTATCTTATACAGCCCTCGAGGTTATTATATCTTTCTTGCATAGGCTGCTACCTGGTCTAAGCTGCCCGGATTTTAAACAAAGGGAGCTCAGACCGTCTGGGTTAGAACCCTCTAAATCCAGGGACTGGATCAGCTCGGAAGCTCGATGGGCCCTGAGGCCCGGTGAAACAATTGTTGTCGCTCTTGGCATGATAAAAAGTGACGAAGTAAAAGAGAATTATATCTAGTAGACTGAATGACAGATACTAGCAGATAATCTGTCATAAAAAATTACTGTCCAGAGCGACACCGATCGTTTCACCAGGCCTCGGACCCCAATAGGACCCCACTACTATAGGACCCCACTAGGCCTCCACTCGGCTTACAAGGAACGTTATAGCATATTATATTATTGGTGTCATCCAGAGTTAAATGCACATGGTGACTGTACTAATCACCCACACAACCTGGTACCCATGCTGTAGCACCGCGTATGGAACGGTGTAGGGCCTTGGCGCCTAGAGAGCTATTCATCCGAACTTTTGCACTTATTATGTAGATTCTAGATAGCTACACACCACCAATCGAGATTGAGAGTCATGGCGCCCCACAACGGCACTTGAGTAGCGAGAGATTCATGTTCGAAGCTGACAGGGATTTGATCGGCTAGGGAAGGGTTCTTTTGCTTTAACTTGACCTGAAACCGAGCACCAGAATAACAGACACCACCATTTCTCATGCAGTGCAAGACCATCAAGGTCACGATCGGCGTAAAGTTGATTTCCACAACGGCCCGGACCCTTTTCTCTTGCGTAGAAAAGGGACATATCAACCACTCCACCCAAAGGACAGCGCTCATGGATTTCGAACCAGACTGGTTGGTGTAACCCCTGACAGGGTAACGGAACTATTGCAGGTCGTGCAGACAATCAGTGGCCTCCTGTCAAACATAAGCTATTTATCGAGCGCCGCGGTCCTTTTGGTCTACCACCTTCTCTTTATTCCTGACTGGTCTGCTTAACATACCTCCAACAATGACAAGTTCAGCCAGACCTTTCACGTCCCTGCTTGGGACCATGGGTTGGTGGACTTGGCTCCACATGCCTCGAAAACATAAGAGCCATTTGGGGGCTATCTAGCACAACGTCATACTCGAGCAACTCGAGACATTCAGGAGCACACTATTTGCCAGGGCCAGTGGCGTTGCCATGACTAAGTTGACGGTATGTTTGATACCGTTGTGTGCTTGATCAAACATGATTTTGTGCTATGTTCCTTTCTTGCCTTGAGGATAGAATCTCATAGCCGACATTATGACCTCCCTGCTACTGTAAAGCTCATATCACTCTCCACTGCAGGAAATCAACCTTTTCCCAGAAAGTTTCGTGCTCTGGTTTTGAAGCTCGGCTCTACAACCCAAGAATTATGAGATAACAAACAGCCTGCTCTTCATATTACCACAGTATCAAGGTCCCAAGATGAAGGTTGCCTCATTGCCGCCTAATAGTCCACTTGAAATTGAGCCTTGGGTTTTGATCGCTATCGCTGTTGCGATTGTTGTCCTGCGATGCTTTGCACGCATTCAAGCAACTGGCGTGCGTCAGCTCGAACTGGACGATTGGGCAATGAACATAGCACTGGTAAGCAAGAAAAGTGTCGACTCGTCACACCTAAACTGGTCTAACTTGTAGCAGATACTCTTCATTTGTACAGGCTTCTTCGCCCGTATTGTGGCAGCCGCTACCAACATCGATCCTAGAGTCAACCCAAATCAGATGCCTATAGCTCTCACTCCGGGTCTGTCGAACAATAACATGACCGATAACTACCGTGCCAGCCTTGATCCAGCTTCTGTTGAACATCAGATTCGAGTGGCTGGTTCAAAGCTCCATTTGATAGGATGGTCTCTCTATGTGTCTACCTTGTGGTGCGTGAAGCTATGTATTGCGGTCTTCTATACTAGGTTGATGTATGTGTCTAGCCCTAGAGTCTTGCGGTGCTTGCTTACCAAGTGTAGCGATGGTCTTTTTCACATGATGATACATATTCGGATTGCTTATGTAGCAATTGGTGTTTCTTATGTGGCAGTCATGGCAACCCTCCTAGGAGCGTGCCAACCTTTCCATCGTCACTGGCAGATCAACCCCAATCCAGGAGGTAAATTATACGATATCATCCACCATATTACCATTGCTAACTTCCTCCCAATACAGACCATTGCTTGCCTGCCACCTCAGTGTTAACGAGCTACGTTGTTGTCGTCCTCAACGTACTCACTGATCTATACCTCGTACACATTCCAATTCTGGTTCGTCACCATTTTCTGCTTAGTTACCACTTTATAGACTAACAAAGTCTTGCCAGATTCTCTGGAACGCCAGAATCTCCCAGTCTAAAAAGCTCTTTCTGATAATGCTCTTCAGCGGAGCCATCTTTGTCATAATCGCTAGCATTATTCGCGTGTATTTCATCCAGGCTGGCGATCGCGATGGTGGTGAAAGCGCCGCTATTTGGGGCCTACGTGAGACTCTTGTTGCGTTTATTATTGGAAACCTTCCCGTAATCTATGGTGGCATCAGACTGTGGCGTCAAAGGTTTGAGAATTCGGAAGTACACCCAAGGAGTCGAGCACGAATAAGAGGTTGGCCAGGTGGAAATAGGATTAGGAGGCTTTTCTCACGGCCCGGCCGCTGCGAGGATCCAATCATGTCCGAGAAGGCTACGCCAGGCTACGATTGCGCCACGCTCACTGCTATGGATGCGAAAGAGTCGTCATCAGAGTCAGGCCGTCAAGCATCTCCGCCACTGGGCCCATATCGTGCAAGCAGTTGCTTCAGCACGGATATGAGGGGGAGTCATGCACCTTGTGCGGAAATGGATTCGACATTCGGGGTCCAAGTCATACGGGGCAGCAAAGTCGACATCGAGAGCGCTCAAAGCAAAGATGAAACCGTCGAGACTGCTAGAAAGCACAGCCGGATGGATAGTAAGGATTGGCTTGGACCGCTCTTGATGGACCCGCCGTCCGGGAAACCGAATCTTGGACGGGTTTCCCAGCCACCATCAGAAGGATGGCCACTCCGGCGGTCAATCTTGCAGATCCCCATTGATCGGCAACAAAGAGAGTCGGACACGTTGGACGACCCGAACGATACGAAGTGGTTCACAACTGATACACCCTGAATCTGCTTGCCTTTTAAGGCGGCGGAATGGTATGCGACAATGGATGTGTGGTCTTAACCCTCTGTACAAGGTATATTCAGCGAAGTTCAAGATGACTGTCGAGCACATACATGTTGCTATTTGGGTAACCTTCCGGAATTGGCAGATACAAGCGAAGGTTTTCATTTTCGCTGGCATGTGGCAACAGGGACATTGAAGCACATACTGGGAAACCCAGGCCAGTGGTTAATAAAAGTCATTGGAGCACATACTGGAAAGCCCATTGCAGCAAGGGCCTTGCTGTGTGGTGGGTATCTATCGCATCGCTGGGTGCTGTTTTGCAAAAATCAGCTGCGCGCATCACATCGACCGGCTTACATACGAAGTCACTGAGACATATTGCTGCCCGGCTTTGAGGTGGAAGAAGAGAGGATAAAAGCCTCTGCTACTGCGGTAAGGCCTAAAGGCTGCCCAGTGAATGCTCGGGTTGACATATTCCTTTCACCCTCTTCCACTCGTCTTTTCCTCGCTCTCCTCCTCCTTCCCTTCCTAACTCCTTCTCCTAGTCCCCTTCACGTCTCCTCTCCATTCTTCTATGGCACTGGGAATTAGTCGATCAAAACAAATCAAATGCAATGCTTAGCAAGTCAAATCAAATCAAATCAAATCGGTACTTTCGTCAGAGCAAACCCGCCTCCGTGGATTTGAAAATTTAGTCAGACTGAAGTCTTTGACAGAAAGGTCTCTTATTTTGAAATACTATTCAGGGATATTTCGATGGAATAATAATAGCCTTGGCGGACACTCGATCTGGACGAGAAATCAAGTAGATCCCTAGAAATATATTGCTTACTGGGATTTGACTAGATCTGACAAACTGGGGACCCCTTAATCCCCGCATCCATCCATACTCCCATTTCCTTCAATCTCTCTCACATCCGCTCAACCAAAACCTATATAAACTTTTTTTCTGGTGAAGATTTTGACATTCTCTAAATTGTCCGCCCCAGCCGCAAGCGCACCTCAGAACAGTCGTCATGAAAATGAGACATGTCCATCAAAACCCAACTTCGCTGTGAGTAGATGCTAGTGGTGCCTTCAATCGATGAAAAAGAATGTCATAATTTTTTCGCCGGAGAGTTGGATACATATCAGCCTCATACCTAAAAACTACATGAGAAAGGACCGTTCAAACAACGTCTTGTCGTTGAGATTAAATACAAAATTTTTGACCATGCGAATGTAAGCATGGGCAGGATCACTGAACCTAAAAACTACAAAAGAATATCCCACCGGCCATGTTGGTCAGCTTATACTCCGTATCCTTGTCAGTCATTTCTATTCGAAGGAAGCGATCGCCTCCTCCCTAATTAGTGCCAGGAATCGTCCACATTGTTTTCGATCTTGGCGGACGCTTGGTTTGGCACATTTCCGTGTCCGTCCCAGCGATTCTAGCATACGGCAAAGCCGGTTAACCACTCAGCTCATTAGTACTGTAATCGATCAAGCCCGCTTCTTTCCTCTCAGATAAAGGCGGACCTACTATAGTGTAGTACTGTGCCTGCGTACCATTCGTCACTCTTACTGATCATCTAGCAAAAAGCTCACTCTCATCCATAGTAGCCTCCCTCTCAACTAGCGTCTCCCTTTAAGACTCAACTAGAATTTCAGACCTCCCGTCCCCTTTTTTCCCTCTTCTGCCTCCAACACTGGAGCATAGCCAGCTATAAGATGACACTCGAATAAACCAAAACTCAAAAATTAACGAAACAAACCGGCCACCAGACCCCTCTGCCTGCTTTGCCCACGAACTAACCAATTGCTCATCATCATCATCACAACTCACCACCCCTTCGAATCCTGGTCCCTAGGATATTTAGCCAAACAACGGCCGCCACCCCTCCCTCCCCCGGCTTTGTTTAAGGGACAGTTACTTAGCTACTACTAACTGATATGCCGCACGCCACCCTGCGACGTCCCCTGCCTGAGATCCACCACGTCATAACGTACCAAGGAGGAGACTCTCGCCGTCTTCTGAATGTCGTGTTGCCGATTATAACCCGAAAAGTGCTTGATTTAGGGGCTGAAATATGTTCAAAGCTGTACGGAGTATACAGGGTGTAGATGGGTGAGGCTGGCAATCTGTTACAAGGATCGTTAGTTGGGATGAAAGGGGCGAAGTGGGTGGGGGAGGGAAGGGTGGAGTGGGGGAATAGTAGAAAGGCCTGGCGGTGGGGAGGGAGGGAGGTAGGATTCTTTGCTTGCGAACTACTTACTATGTTAGTCTATTGATGATATGCTATGATATGGTGATATGGTATATTCTATCCAGCCCGACGATAGTAACAGGCAGGGTGAATCGATCCATTGATGGGACAGCCAACCAGCAAACCGAACGCTTGGTTGCCTGCTTGTCTAGTTGAACTTTTCTGGGGGTATCTTATGCAGTAACGATCCCATCCCCTTCGCGTCGCTCCGACAGCGGACAATCATACTAGTAATGAGTGCCCGGACCAATATAGTCAATCGCCTCTCAAAAAGATACAAGCGCACCATCAAGCAACCACCTCCATCACAAGCCAGCCTCACCAACACTCAGTCCAAAGCCTCGCCCACCAGCCTTTTGACTGTCTTTTTCCGATCAGCCCTGATCCTGCTATCACTCCTCTCCCTGCCCTGCACCCTCCCCTTCCCATCCTCATTTTCGCTTCGCATCTTCTTCTGCCTCCACTGCCACTCCCATAGTACCGGCAAAAAGGTCCAGAGATCGAATTCCGGCCACAGGACGTCGAGAAATGCGATCTCGGTGTTTTGGTGACATTGCCAGAGCATGAAGTCACTAAGCCGGTGGACGCTGGAAGTGCGGACGAGGAGGTCGAGGGGAGGATTGTCGGCGGTAAACATGTGGGAAGTTAGGGTTGAGGTCGTTATGGCTTCAGGGGAAGGGTGGTAGGTTGGTTGGGGGGGTTGCTGCTGCTGCTGCTGTGGTTGTTGCTGGAGAGTGGGGGTGGTCGGTGGGGGAGATGGAATTGAGAGCGGGTCTTTCAGGTCAGCGGTGAAGAAGGGTGGTGAGGATGATTGGTGTAGGGTCGTGGATGAGGAAAGGGAGGAGCGGGAGTCGGGGAGAGAGTCGCCATTGGAGGATAGAGATGTTGTAGATGAAGAGGGTGAAAGCATGGATTTCGGTGGACTGAGGTAGGTTCCCTCCGTCTCGTTTCCGGTACCCTTGTTCTGCTTTCTTATGTTTTGCGTAATCCTGTCCTCCTTGAAAGGGCTTGCTCCTGTCCTTTCCGGTAATGGTTGGCTCCACTCATCCACTGTTCTCCGGACTGCGGTCGTGATCTCGTCTCGACTTGTGTAGGGAAAGCAGATGTTCAATACAGCGTTGCCGTTCCGACTGGTCATCTCCACCGCTTTGTCCACAGCTTTTAAGACGTCGGGTTTGATCAGCTCTCGCTGTCCCAGCACCCTTATACATGCACCATATCGATCCAGCAGATCTCCATGTTGACACATTTGGTTCAGCTTGACCTTGGCCATATCCATCAGGGCATCAACTTCGTACTTGGAGCGTTTGAAGTTCTCGATACTGAATGCGTAGATCGTGACATGGGTTACGCCAGCTTTGTAGCAGACTTCGAGGATCTATTCTTGCCTTAGTACTCCTTCTGGTTGATATGTCCTGTGGTGTCCGCTTACTTTGGCGAGGGCTTCAAACCCAAGGTGGTGGCCTTCGATACTTTCTATCCTGCGGTCCCGCGCAAATCGGCGGTTCCCATCCATCACGAATGCAATGTGCCGCGGGACTGGACCTTGCCTCAACGCCCCAATCAAGAGCTCTCGAAGCTGACTGATCGCCCATTCTGCAGGTGGAGAGGTCAACAGCCACTTTCGCAACCTCGCGGTCATTTCTAGATCCGTTTAGTGCACGAGGGCTGCCAACAGGTCTGGTCAGGTGCGGCGAAAATCGGTCGGATAGTTTTCAACCGGAATTTGAAGCAGTAGGTGATCCAGAGGGGATGGGCTATATGGTAGCCATAAAGATAGGGGCAGAAGGGCAGAAGGGCAGCAATGACTGTGCTTGCCTTGTTATGGCACTGGGACAGAACTTGGATGTCCCAAGACCAGCTTACGACTGCTGTCCCACAAAGTTTACGTGGGCATCTATCAATAAATATTGCTTGGCCGTGGTTGTTTTGGTTTTCAAATGACATTGCATTACTGAGCCACAATGAAGTCTATACCCAGGACTTTTGCGTTTCTGTTATGACCGACCATAGTATAGAGATAATAGAGCATGCTGTACCTCACGCGACTGGCCTGGAACCTGTCCCCGGGGGAATATGTTCAAGAATTTACTGGAATCCACCATAACGCCATGCTACTGAGGACCATAATCACGCAAGAGCTTGCTGCCATCTATTGATGCTTCTTGTCCTCCTCACTCCCTGGCGTCGCTGCCCCGGAGCTTGCCATATCCCAGCTACTCTCCCCTTCGCTCTGCCTTCGACTTCTCTCCTTGCCTCGCTCTTGCATCGCGCCCCTGATCCTTCTCGTCACTTCGTCAAAGCTTTCTTTATGATCCAAGGAGCTGAACGCCTTGATAGGCATAGAGCCTGACATGGCGAGATCACCCGTCGAGCTGTTCCGGCTGCGGCTTCGACTCGGTGGCCGCGTGGCAAAGAAGCCAAAGCCACCCAGATTCTGGAAAGACTCGTTGCGTGGAAGGAGCCCAAAGCTTTTGCCAGTTGGGGAGCTTGGACGATCGTCACCTTCAATCTCAGTGGGCGTGGAGGGCTCACTGGCCGTTTCACGGTCCATGCGCTTGAGTTTGGATTGATAAGCCCCTTCGCGAAAGGGATCGGCAACAATGCGCTCCGCGTCGAAATCTGGAAACACCTCCGGGCCCAGGGTGTTGATGAGCTCGGTGACTGCAGCAGAAAGCTGTTCGCGCCGGGCTCGGAGTCGGACCAAGGTGTTGGATGATGATGGGTTTAGCGCCACAAACAGAGGTGGCAGAGATTTGACGATGTCCATTCCAATCTCACCAATCCGTAGTGCTGCAAAGGTGATGGATGTGCACAACATGAGGAAGAAGATCGCGAACATCCACAGAGGCACCCAGTCAGGAATGTATGTTCTGGCAATCATCCACTGAGGAACTCGGTTCGTGTAATAACCATCGACACGATTGTAGTAGAGCCAGACCGACACAATGGCCGTATAGTAGACGTAAAGAGCAGGAGCAAATGCCAGTGCGACCAGCAGTTTCCATGTCGTAATCACGTCACGTCCTTGAAGCTTGACTGACGAAGCGGCGAGAGCTTCCTTGGACTTTTTCATCGATATCAACTTGGTGGTCACAAAGACAGGCCAGAACATTGCTAAGCCAGGAAGCGTGCCGATGCTGAGGATAAGCAGTTTGCCCAGACGGTAGATCAAAGTTCCAAGAATGATATACCACGGTCTCCTTTGTACGTTTCCCCATTCGACCTGATGATCTCGAAGACCCAACGAGCTCAGCGAGCGGTTATAATCGTTGACGGCTTTCTTGAGTTGCACGATCCGTTCGTCGTCCTGATACTGCGTATAGCCTTTGACCAGTCTCCGATTGAGCTCTACCACCAGAGGCAACGGAAGCTTCTTGCCGGTAGGATTGTATAGTCTTCTTGCCGCCTGCACCAACATCAAGGTCTCATAGTCTGGACTTGTCTGTGTCACCGCAACCAGTCCTTGGTAGACAGTTTCCAGAAGGGATCCCACCGCGTTCCTCCTGTCACCTTTCTTGTAAGCCTCGATCTGATCTGGATGAGGTTCAATGGGATGTCCAAATTCAATGACTGCCCGCGAACGGAACTTGTGCGCATGAAAGTAATTCATTCCACAGGGGATGATCTTCAAACCGCAATCGGGGTCCGCAGCCAATGCCCCAAGAGCCATGATGGCCACCCCGGCTTTCAGAGGAAGAAGATCAGGTCTGTCATGGCTGCCCCCTTCAGGGAAAATCCCAATACATCCACCAGCTCGGAGATCTTCAAAAACTCGATCGTAGACTTTGGTTTGATCAACATGTGGGGCCACCTTAAAGGTAGTGCCCCGGGTATCCGAGTCGCCGCTCGGTGAATTCCCTGAAGCACCTTCATCGCTAGGACTGGCTTTGCCGGCAAGAGATTCGAGAGCTTCGGGCGTCTTAAAAGGCTTTTTCAAGCGCAGTTCCGTTGGGGATATAATTTCTGCAATCTCCGTGCTTGGTGTTTGACCTCTGATCTTGGGCAACACAATGAGACCTCCGACCTCGACGTCTCCACTCTTAAAGTCAGTACCAATGCCATGGATCAAGGTGGGGTCGTCCTCAGGATTGGCAAGGTAGATTCGACCCTTGGCCGCCTTGACACTATCGAGGGCGCGGGCCACGGGAAGTGCTCCCACAGCCGCAGATGCTGTGCCAATGAATCTTCTCTTCATGGATTTCTCCGCTATCAGGAATGACACTCGTCGGTTTGCATCTCTGCGCAGAACGCGCATCAGAATGAGGGGATCGACGAACTAGGACGAGTGTTAGCGCAAGCTTTTAGACCGAGGCGACAGCATCAACCTGATTTGCATGAGGTGCAGCCACCACGATAATGGGTCCCTTTCGAGGCACTCTCCAAGCTCCTCTGGGATGGATCTCACGAAAGAATAGATCGACCAGTATTGAAAGCAGCCATAACGCAGTGTCATAAACCCACGGCACAATGAGGCTGCATTCGCGTGTGTTTGACATTCTTCCTCGTTCGGCTCTTTCCAGGAAGAGGATTATGCTTCCTGCGAGAAAGAGGCCACAGAAGCTATGCTCAGCCTAGTCTGCACGGAAGCCTCTGACTTGGCAGAGGAAGATATGGCTTTGCGTACGAAGAATTCGTGTTGGCCTTGTCATGGAGCTCCGATATTGGAGTGCAACAACTTCGAAGGTCGATGCTGGACAAGTATGAATTCTGGGGAAGATCTTGGTCGACCGAAGGCTGCTACAGAATAAAGGAAGCAGGTTGTCGATGGCGTCAGATCAGCAGACTAAAAGCAAGACGAGGAAGTACTAGTACTGAACGAAGGTGGGTTGCTAGCTGATGCTAAAGATGAAGAAACTCTATGCAGGATATCATACAACGACCGCTAGCTGGTACCATGAAAATGTTGAGCTGTGATGTCGATATTGTGGATATAAAACCGAAGAGGGGTCGAAGCATGGGGCAGACAGGGTGGGGGAAAGGGGAAACGGGAGGCGAAATGGGAAATTTACTGGGTGACGGGCAACGGTTGACTGGTGACACAGGTGCGGGGCAGGCCGCAGGCACCAGGGACAAAAGTAAAGCACAAGTACTCCGTAGGTAGTAAAGTACAGTACTAGACCAAAAGTTTGAATCTAACCCCCATTTTACACCAAAAAGTGCGTTTTTAAGGCATCTGTATCTCAACAACAGGGGCGTCAACATCATAATATCTTACTTTAGGATTATTAATATGCGAATTCTAGTAAGATATTGTATAGAAATATTTTTAAAAACTTTTATTTTTATAAAGTTGTAACATAATTTGTGTTAAATTTCTTGAAATCTAAAAAAGGTACATATATTTATATGCAAATCTCACTTTAACTGATGTATCTTAAAAATAAGCTCCCTTCTGTATATGACCACGCGTGAGATCTTAGTTTGAAATAAATATAGTTAGTATCAGAACAACCGTATGATAAATTTCTACTTACTGATATAATAATAAAGAGTAGTTGACGCCTAGCAAAAATAGTTCTAGTTTGTTGAAAAGTACGCCTTTTGGTGTAAAATGAGGGTTAGATTCAAACTTTTGATGTGGTGCTGTACACGTAGCAAGTACCACAGTGACGGGTACAAAGCAGTGGCCATAGTATGAACATGCACGTACTGCTCACAAGTGACATAAACTGTAAAAGTTGTTGGATCTAGTATTCCGTCTCACATACAACATACAACATACAACGCTTAGCATACATGGATTGAAAACTCCAAGAACTCCGCAAACCGCACCGAGCATCTGTTCATCTTCTCTGGTCATCCTTTCGCATTGTATTTGTCGTTGAAAGCGTTGACTGCAATGGCAATCTGCTTGTACAGCCAGTTCCTGGAGTCCTCGTCCTGGACAGGCAAGAATGGACCAGCTACCCCGTTCTTCAAGACGATGCTCATGCCGGTCCGTTCCTTCGAGATGGTCTGAACATCGGTGAGCTTCACCTCCCACTCCACCCGCATCTTCTTTGCGCGGATTAGCATGATGCGCTCGTACGTCAACATGATGATCATGTCTTTTTGCGCACCAAGATCCATATGCGCAATGTAGTCCTCGTGGAAGTATTTACCATCTTCAACCGTCTTGAGCCAAAATTGACCAAGCGCCTCACGTTGTGAGAATGGCCGCACCACGCCATCCATCCCAATGAAGCGCGTAAGGCGAACACGATCAAGGCCTTCTGCATCAAACACCGTGGTCGTATTGCGCACACCTTCGGCAAGATTGGAAGCAAGATCAAAAGCACCAATGGCTGGCTTCGTGGCAAGTCCGAGGAAACCTTTCCCCACTCCTTTCACAAATCCGACAGCACCTTCTTTCTCGGCACCTTGGATTGGATGTCTAGCAAGGCCTCCGATGCCGCTGGCCATACTGGAAGCAAATGCACTGCCACCAGACGTGACACCGTACAATGCATGCTTTGGCCGGTTCCTTGACTTAGACATACGCCGTTGATCTTGGAATTCTTTGTCCAGACTAGCTGCTGCCAGACCCTTCGACATGCTCCCTGTGAATTTGGCCACGCTGTCAGAAAAGCCAAACACAGACTTCTTGACGAAGCTCGAAGCTCCCTTTGCGATCCCAATCCCAAGGTCTTGGGGCCGGTCTGTCATCACGAGACCTTGGTAGGGCTCGTAGAAAATATCTGCCACACCGGAGCTGACATTGTTGAAAAGGCCAACAGGGTTCCCGAGGAAATCAGCAGAGCCCAGAATGATATGGATCTGTCGGAGGAACTCTTGCGTGTAGTGACTCTGAATGTTCGCTATTAGCGCCGGAATCGAAATTCTGGCATTTTCAATCATTAACGCATTCAGTCGGACCGGGGCATCATTGACATTGCCAATGGACATGGTCATGACATTGACAAAGAACATGATCGGGTTGGATGTCTGGAACGTGTCTTCGGCATTGACTCTTTCCGTGCGTACAAAAGACAGGTCGAGCTGCATTGGCTGAAGATGAAGGAGTTCAAAATACACGTCCTGCCCCTGGTGTTCTTTCGTAGGCTCGGGTACGCCAAGGTCTTCGTCGCAGAGCTTGCCTTCGACCTCTTCTGACCAAGATGCTCCCGGCACCTTCGTGAAGTCAAGCAGAGCAAAGATAAAGTCCTCGTCCAACTCGATCGTGATCTGCTGCAGGAGCAATGATGCGTATTTGATGTACAGTACGCCATACGAATCATCCTTCACACGTGTAATCATAGTGTGGAAGATTGGGTGCGCTTCCATCTCCTTCCCTGTCTTGGGTACCACACTTGGATAGAGTAGGATTGGGAAGATGCCTCCATACAGCTGGTTATCGATCTGGATCCATTTTATGGTGGTGTTGAGTGTCTGGTATAGCCTTGACTCACCATACTTGACATCGATCTCTCGGTATGTCATGTAGAGTAATTCTTTCAGATGCTTCGTCACGAGTGATATGCCCAGACCTGCCAATCGGAGCTGAGCCTTGAATGTTAATTCAGAGTCTACTTGTTTGACTTCGAAACCTTGAGAGCTGCTTGATTGAGATGCAGTTGACTGGCCTGTTTTCTGACGATACATACTCCTGGACGGTCTATAGTTCGATAGCGCTAGGGTCTGAGTAGGCCCATTCGCAACAATATTCAGGTCAATGACCTTGACCGGGCCACCACGCTGCATAGGTGGTAGCTTCATTGGTATGAGGTTGCCGATCTCCGCCAATTTCACGTATCTCTCTTTACCAGCAGAGGTAAGAACGAGCTCCTTGTTTTTGGCAGCAGGATAGTCCCAGGCATATGGCATGATGCTTCTTGGTGGCAACTTGTATCGAATTGGTTTCCAACTACTTTGGCCGTCCTCCTCCTCGTCTTCTGACAGGTTTGGATTGCACTGAAAGAACATGAATTCAGTATCACTCTCGTTGCGGATCGAAAAGGGCCAGTGATTGGTTTCGATGCTGACATGTAGGAAAATTGTAGCATCTTCCATAATGATCTCAACTCTGATCAGCTTTTGACGTTGACCGTGCTTAGCTAGCTTCACATGTGTCATCCCAACGTTCGAGATGTTGAATGGTGCTGACCATTGATTATTGACGCCCGGAAAACAGAGACAGAGTTGCATCTCGGGTGTCCGCCGCATGAAGTGAAGGGGAATAAGGTCCCCTGGCTTGAGTTTCATCACACTCGATGACCCTGGCTCACGAACATCAATCTCTTCTGACATTCTGTTCTTCACCATGAATCGGGGCGTCAACGTCACGACTTTAGCCAGTGAGTATTTGCCTTCGCCTTCTGCCACGGACACACCGGCATGCAGTTCTGACTTTCCGTCCGCGGATGGAACCACAACTTCGAAGGTGCTTCCTATTGCATCAAAGCTTTGAGGCTTGCTCCACCCTGAGTCGCCAATCCTCAATATGGAGCGGTTCTTGCGATCATCGGTTGGATATGAGTACATGTAAGGAACTGCTTTGCGACCGCCACTTCCAGACTCGGTCCTGATCCCTTGGCCTGCTGCGGACTTTGCGGAGCCGAAGATGGCCTTGCTCTGAATGCTGATATCCAGGCCCGTTTTGTTGAGGATAACATAAGGACTATACACTGACACCTTGAAAGCGCCTCCACTGTTCCTGATGTTAAAGTAGTGCAGTTTCAATCTCAACTCCGCGCCTTGCCTATCTTTGACTGAGAGCGTGGACTCTCTTCTGAAATCCTCATGAGTATTGCTGTTTATGATGGCAAATTCGCTTTGTTTGAAGACAGTGTCTTGCATTTCGATGCTCAGCAACAGGAGGTGGGACAACTCCACAACATGCACAGGACTAACACCGCCTTTGCGGAGGAAATTCGTCCAGTCCTTCTTTGTGTTCTTGTCGTAAATCCGATATTTGAAGTCGTAAGGTAGCAGATTCTGGATCTCAATTGGAGCTGACACGGCGATTCTCATATAAGGATATATCTGAGTCGTGGGATCCTTCTTGTCATAAGCAGCATTCGTCTGGAAGTAGAATGGGGGTGATTGATTCCCACTCTCGCCTCTGCAGCTGATGGTCCTGGTTGGCCTTCTCAGCAAATCCTTCCAAAAGAGTCGCTCATTAGACCATTCATATCCAAAACCCTGATCTGGGCGTAAGACGAGAGAATGTACGAAAGCAGCGCCAACCGGGGCAGGTCGACCTTCGCCAGGCGGGATTTTCTCAATCTTCATCAGGGTACCCTGGTCTGGGTCAAAAACGCCAAGCTCAATCGGTATCTGTGTTCTATTTTCTACCAGCAAAGGGGATCTGAAAGTGATGTACTTCACGTTGTCGGTCCCCAACTTGACTTCCACAAGCAATCGGTGAAGAATTTTGTCTTGTCGCGGCTTGAGGTTGTACAGAGTTTCACCCTCACGAACAACAGCAATTCTGTTGATACTGTCGAAACCACTTCCTTCCAATTTGATGCCCACCATACCTGCATTACCTTCCGGTGATAGGCTCTCGCGCATGGAAGTAGCATCCTCAAAGCGCCAAGAATGCTCTTCCCCGTCAACAAGCTTCGCAGCAGCACCCTCGTCGCCCTTGTTGTCATCCGCCCAAACACGCAGGTCGAAGCCAGTGTAATTGCGTATGCGGTATGGCGCATCAGCGATCCGGGGCTTGGACAGCATGTCCTCGTCGCTTGAAAGGAATTGGAATGACTTGGACGCCAAGGCAATTGTGGCAGAGGTGATGGTAAGCTCCATGGTCTTGTGAGAGTACAGGTCGAGGGACAGAACCTCGGGTTGTTGATCTTTCGACATATGGAACCCGAGCTGCCACGGCTCAATCAGCGGCTCCCATGCAGATTTGGAGAAATTATACACATTGATAAATGTGTTAAGGTTCAGATCTGCAGTCATGGAAGCAGACCAATCTCTTACATCAACATGGAATTTTTTCACGCTCCAGTCAAGAAGGGGCAGCTCGTGTAAATCGCCAATCAATACCACTCTGATACCTTGAACTTCTGCAGTCATCTCTTCTCGCTTCATCACCACTGATTCTCGGTGCTGAGGTTTCTGATGCCCTGATTTTGATTTTGATTTCGCAACTGTTCCAGATTTCTTTGACTGCCTCGCAGTGGTGGAAGGAGCCGCATCACCAGATCGCCGCTTCGAAGATGAAGGTTCGGATGCCGACTTGACTTCCTTTAATTTCTTTGGCTCTTGATCTTGTATCTTCTTTTCGTCCGTAGGTGCCATCTCGGAGGCTTTGCTGACAATCTGCAAAGCTAGCAAGATGTCTCGTAGTGACAGCCGTAAGACCAATGGCTCTATGTCAACGTGGATCGATGTCAAAGATGAATTCTTTCCTTGACTCCTGCTGTCCATAGACATCTGGATGGTGAAATCGTCGAGAATTCGAAGCCTGCTAGTCTCGAACTTGTCCATTCGGCAGAGGAACATCCCTATCTTCGTTATCTGCAGGGTAGTAGCGTTCTGTTGTGATACCAGAACTTCTTTGGTTCCCAGCACGATCGCTTCGGTATTAGAGATAGCCGGATTAGCAATCAAGATAACTTGCGCGTCGACGACGTTTACTCGGAACGAGGTCGTCATGGCAGGAGCACCTGCAGAAGTAGTTTCATCCTCTTTTTTGGACTTACTAGCTTCATTGCTTTCTTCAGCAGGCTCATCTTCTTGGTCGTCTTCTTCAAGCTCAACATCGACAGGGGAGACGTCATCGGACGCTAGAGCAGCGTTCGCAAAGGCTTGTAGTGCGAAAACGTAATCGAGGGCGACGATGATGCGCGGACTATCAATCGTGAGCATTGCAATCATATGCTTTTGTTCTCCTCCCGATACCGAGAAACTGGCCATGAATTGCTGTTGCACATCATTGTTGATCAGCGACATGATCTTTCTGAATTTGTTTGTGTCTCGGCTGCGGCTATCCCGAGCCGTAAATGAATGTACAAGGAGCTCAGCTTCCAATGCACCGTCACTGACCATCCTCAGCTTAACGTTGGTATCGTTCAAGGAGAATTTCGATAGACTGGCTTCGTCAAGATCTCCGGTGGGCCCATCCTCGTTTGCAAGGATCAGCTCCAAACCAATGGTCTCAGCCTTGAACACCAGATTCAAAGTCGTCCAGGTTTCATCACTGGTGCCAATTTCTGGACCTTGATGAGAAGGCGACTTTGTCACTTCTGAATGGTCAGTGTCCTTGGTCAACAACTTTGCAGGTCTCGCCGTTTCTTCTGGAAGCTCTTCCGCGATTTGCTCGTCAGACTCTTCTTCGGTGGCAAAGGCGGCCGGAATGGTCTTGGTCAACTCCATCAGGAACTTGAACTGCGTTTGGGAAATACGAAGATTGACAGGAGACATTGAGCCTTGAATCTCAGTGTCAGGTCGTTCTAGCCCAGGTTGATGTTCCATGTTTCTGATCTTAAAGTTGAGGTCAACTTTCTCGATCATTTCCAATTCTTCTGATTGGCCATCCTCGAAATGGAATTCGGAGGTAAGTCGAATGTGACGGATGCCCGCTGATAGTTTGTTGATAGAAGGTCCATCTCTCTGGTTCGGCAACGTTACAAATTTGTTGCTAGCATAAATTTCGCCTAGATATGCTGTTAGGAGGTCTCTCGGGCGATCATCGACCATCACTCTTGGGAAAACCAAGATGGGTGTCTTGACCACAATGTCGAAATGCATTTTCGAAGCATTTTCTTGTAACTGAGAAGCTTGATTCGCTGCTGCTTGCCGAGCAGCATTAAAAATCGCTTGCATCTTGCCAAATTTCACTCCAAATTCCATGATCTTTCGGAAAGGCTCTTCGAGAAAATTCAACTTAATAGAGCCAGATCGTAGGTATATACCAGAGTCATAGCCCGGATAGCCTTTCAACTTCGAGTCGTAAGTTTGATATTTGAAATCTGCAAAATCATCGCCCTCTATGGTGATCAAACGGCGCAATGGTGAGCTTTCTGGAGCTCCTTGGTTGATGTCGTCAACAAGGGACAAACTTCCCAGTCTAGCTTTCACCTGCATGGTGCCATCTCGAAGGAAAACCCCAACATTACCTGAATTCAACGAAAGTGTGGCGAGCCTCACACCATCGTTGTTGAGAATGAGTGCAATGCTGTTTAGATTAGCCTTTATACGAATCTTATCGGTGCTTGGCTGCTTCTCGCTGGCTTCTTTGGTCTCTGGTCCTTCGATACCCTTAGTCTTCTTTGGCGTTCCTTGCTTCTGATCTTGAGTATCAGAGTCTGTGAATGTCAGGAGCACGAAGTCAAGCAATGTAAGCAAGGTCTTCCGTGTTACTACCAAGTTGATCGTCGAAATGGATACGTCGAGATTTGTGGCAATGCTCTCGTAAGTTGAGTCGAACTCGGGAGAGTCTGGATTAACCTTTACAAACCTAACATTGAACAGATCCTTGTCTGTTTCCGCCTTGAAGCCTTTTGAGGATATGATCTGCTTGAATTCCGGCGTCGGATCTGCTTCGATGTGATCGTCAACAGTTAACGAACTCAGGAGAACTTCCGCAACCATATCAAACGGGCGGAGGTAGAAATCAAATGCAAAATGTTCAGCCACTAGCTCGACCAGCAACTGGTCCGGATTGTTTCCTTCTGGGTCAGAGCGGTACAGAGACCCTTGCAGTTTGTCGACAGTGAAATTGAACTCGAAGTTGCGCTGGTGGAGGTTTACAGGCTTGTCCGATTTCTCGCTCTTCCTACTCTCCGCATCCTCATTATCAGAATCATGATCTCGGTCGAGTACAGGCACTTCCTTTTGCGTGGTCAGAGGAAATGCCTGAGACTGTGCCCTACTTTGCCTCGTCTGAGACGCAGGCCGCGCTATTTTATCATCGCCCTCTGAATCCATATCTTCATCGAATTGTGGTATGGCGACATCAATCAGCTTCATCAAGTTCTTGTATTTCTTGTCGGATATGGAAGCATGAAGCACCGGTAGGTGGCCCGAAACGCGAGTTTTGGTGATGTCTGCCGCTTTTGGCACAATGGATGTCTCCAACGTAAAATCCATGTTGATACGATCGATGACGTGCATACTACCGGTTTGGTGTTCTGAATAGAGCTCCGTCTTCGTGGCCTCAATCCCTGGCCCAATAAGAACTTGGGTCGAGTGCAAAGCAAGCAAAAATTTGTCATACATCAGTCCCTCCAATTGACGATAGTCTTCCTCGCTGTACTGCTTCTTCTGCTTGGCTTGCACCTCCTTGATTGTGTCTTTATCAACGAGTTTACTGTTCAATGCAACGTGGCCAACATCAAAGATGAGACAGAGTGAACTATGTGCGGTGATACTTTCGGGTATAATGATTAGAGGCGCCTGGATATCGAGGTTCGCGTTAACTGTCTTGTGTTCTTCTAATGCAAATTCTAAGCCAGCCCGCGTCTGCTGTCGAATGTCCTCTACCCTTGCACCAGCAGTCTCAAGGAGAGCGCCAATGGACTCCATATGTCTTTCTGGCGGCTTGAAGAAACGGGCAGTCTCCACAAGGAACCTAGGGTTATAGATAACCTCAATGCTCTTCAAGGTTAACGTCACAGCTGTGTCTGCACTTTCGTCAAGTGGGTTGTTCTCGAAAATGAGATGGAACAGGCTGTCCTGCGTCTGTTTTTCTGATTCATCACTCGAGCCATCCAAGTTCTGTAAGTCGGCGGAAGCGTGACCGTCTTCGTCCTTAGGCTGTGGTAGAGCGTCCTTTACCTTGACGATCTGGGGAAACAAACTGTGTTCAGTTGTGCCATCATAGACTCTGAGACCTCCCAGGGCAACGTCAGCAAAGAAGGAGTCTGGCCTTTGCAATGCTTTCAGGCGGAACTTGTCGAAAACGAGCTTCAGTATATCGTTCGCCGCGCCGTGAGGATCTCGCTTTAGTGTGAAACTGCCAGTCTTCAAACTCGACTCGATTTGTAGCTTGACTGACTCCCGTGGTAGCTCAACACTTTCTGCAATTGCTTTCTTCTCGTCCCAATCGATAGCATCATACAGTTCCTTGCGCTGTGCGTCGGTCATGCCGGCCTCATCTTCTTTGGTTTCCTCCTGGGGCTTAGAACCCCAGACCCAGGATGTCCATGTCTGCTTTGGAGCTGGCTTCTTGACGCCAACATTCTCCTTCTTTAGCTGGTTACGTGCTAGAGACCTCCAGAAGCGGAGGTCTTCGTAAGTTAGATGGTATTCCAGATCATTGAACTCTTCTGTCTCCTCAGCAGTGAGAGGCTGCTCCTTCTTTTTCTTCTTGAATAAGTCGATATATCGTAGGCGATTGTCACGACGTTCTTTGAAAAAGTCCCAGGTCCAGCGTCGATTGCGATCATGAATCTTGCTGAGAACAGCATTTCCCGCAAATCTTAGCCACGCTTTTGGATCTTCTTTAGGAGTCTTTTCAGGCTGATCCTTCTTGTACTCTTGGTGACGAAGGAAGTAGTGGAAGAGATCAACAAGCATAAGTGCGTCACGGTACTGCTCCTCATCAAGAATGAAGCCAAGCTCTTGAAACAGCAGCCGCGCTTTGGTCTTTGGTTTTTCAATTTTCCCTGACTTGTCCATTTCAATGCCGGCACGACCGCTCACTGGCTTTAACATGTACTGGTATTCATCGTCACCTTCAAGTGCACCCCTAAACCGGCTCAAGAGTTCTGCCGGGTCCGCCCCTTGCGCCTCGGCCCCTACTTGACTGCCTCTACCAGTTCCAAATAGTTTAGTGTCTGTGTTCCAGTAGAATGCCAATGCTTTCAAAACAGCTAATTTGTGGGTTGTTCCAGACGTGGATTGAATGAACATTGGCGTCCAATTGGCGTCTGTGCTGACAGCGCTCATTTCTTGAAGCGTGACACCCAAGGCAAACGGATGTCCTGGAGCTGCGATAGAATCTTCGTATCGCAGATGAACATTCTTAATAGTGATCTGCAAGTTATCAACGATGGCAGTCACCAGACTCTGCGTGAAATTTTGATTCTTCTGTTGTTCTTCAGTACTCATGCCTTCCGTGCTGCGCTCCTTCAGAAGCTCCGCGCTTTCAAGCTTCTCAATCTTCACTGCTTGGGCCCGCTTCTCCTCCTCTTCAGCATCATAGTCGGATTCCTCTTTCGGCGCGGCAAGCAGAAAGACATCCTCGATCTTGACGCTGACAGGCTTGCCTCGAAGATTGGACCACGGTATAGATAAAGTCAATTGACCTAGATGACCCTCAACCACGTTGACGGGTAAATGCAGCTGATCAAGTGCCTCCCGTCGGAGCTCGAGATCTCTAAGCGCGAGTTCTCCAGCCCAGATGCCGACCTTCAACTGTTTCGCATCGAAATTTTTGATATACATGCCCAGGAAACGATTAAGAAGATTAGCTACCAGACCTGCCAGCATGCTGGCGGTTGTTGGCCGTTACCCGGGCCAGGGATTCGAAAAGTTGTCAGTCAGAACAGTGACTAAACGATCTCTTCACAAAGCATCGATATCGACGGCTTTCACCCAACCATCTGATCCTTAGTAGATGTCAATCTGAACAAGAAATAGATTGAAGTGCGGTGTTCGTAGATCAAAAATGCTGTGGTAGTGGAGAAAACCTGGAAGGCAGCAATGTGTACTAGCAGTGGAGGCGACACAGTGAACACAGGCGCTGCAGTAGGTGACTAAGCGTTGTTCGATTTGTGAACCGCAAAGATTTGTTCATATCCCGGTGTTTCATGGGATGGGCATGATGCAGGACTCTCACATCGTAACATCTTGCGAAGATTGAGTTCAAAGCGGTTTTACTACGTAGTTCATCTAGTGACGTAGTTAGTTGGGGGAAGCTCTGACCTGAGATCACGTGAACAGCTCGAAGTGCACCACGCTAGATGCTGAACCTCAATCGGGATTTACTGCCAAAGCTACCACACCAAATCAAATCATCTTCCTTCCACTCTTCACTCCACCACAGTGACGCTTATCAGAGACGCTTCAGCTTGCCTTTACAGGTAGGGTGAAGCTCATTCGGAGCTAGAGGCTGTCCGCTATCCACCCTGTCTGTAGCAGACATAATGTTCCGACCAACAGCTCTCCGCTCCCTCCCACGATCCCTACCCAGCTACAATGTTTCTGTAGCGCGACCTGCCTGGCGCAGTGTCACGTTCAAGGCTCAGTTGCCCTCGCAAATTCCAAGGGTAAACACATCGAAACCCTTAGCGCTTGCGGTCCAAAGGCCTATCATGACGTCTCTCATTCGTTATCAAAGCACAATAAATAAAGCCGCCGAAGAGGAATACTCAAAGGGGAAACTTGAAGCAAATCCAGACATCGTGTCCTCAGGGTCGTCGGTCCGACATGTCACCTATGAAGTTGGTGCTGAAGACTCAGAAGCCGATGTCGACATGATGGCCGGAATTAAAGCCGACTTCGTAAGTAGCCCTTACAGCCTGCAGCTGGTTAGACATCATGCTGATATCTTTGTCTCTCAGAAAACTATTATAGACACATTCTCACTCAAGGATGTTCCGAGAGAAGCTCTCTACGTTGGCATGGCTGGTGTCCTGCCATACCTTGCTACATCCCTCTCAACCGTGTACTTGGCGTTTGACATTCAGCATGCAGCAAACACTGGTTCAGGCTGGCTTCTGTCTGGAGGCACTGCGGAGACGCTCCTTCATATCATAGAACCTATCCAGCTGGGCTACGGTGCCTCGGTAATTGAAGCAAGAACCCATCATCCAGGGTAAGTTTTGCTGACCGTGTCCAGATCATTTCATTTCTAGGGGCTATCCACTGGGGCCTGGAATGGGCTGGGTTCGGTGGACATCAAGGCTATCCACGATATGCCATTGGTGTTCTGGCTACAGCTGTCGCTTGGCCTACGCTTCTACTCTCCGCTGAGCTGGGTCTGATTACTCAATTTCTCGCCTTCACATTCTTGTATTACGTGGATGCACGTGCCGCAACCCGCGGGTGGGCGCCATCGTGGTACTCGGTGTACCGATTCGTGCTCACCTTTGTGGTCGGAGCCAGTATAGTCTTCTCCCTGATTGGCAGAGGTCAAGTAGCCGATCTTGTCACCAAGCCGCCGGGACCAGCTGACCGAATGAGAGCTCTGCGCGAGAGTCAAATGGAGCAATTGGAGAGAGAGGAGGATGAAAGGCGGTCAAGGATTGTAGAGGAGGATGAAGCAGAGGAGGAGGAGGAGGAGGAGGATGAAGAAGAATGAATCTGACAGGGTATTTTCGTTCGGGTGCTACACGAAAGCAGAGTTAGAGGATGTGAAGTGGCTCCAGCCAAAGCCGCGTGAGGTTGGGTTAATGAGGCTGTATTATCACACAGAACAAATGGCTTGTACAGATCATCCTTGTTCATCATGTGCCTGCGACGTCAACGTGCCCCTTCGTCGGTTTGGAATGAACTCACTCTGGACCGTAGCGAGGGACAAGGTCGCCTCTCATGATCCATCTCTCCTAATGGTTCATCTAGCCCTACTCGGGTAGAAGAGAAGGCAAGCACCTAGCTTGCAGAGGTTGCAATTGGAGGGTACTCGTCCGGAGTATATACCCTGTCTGCTTCTCCACCACCACCAGCACCACTACCACCATGCCTCGGCGACAGCTCTTTGTGTCACGGATCTTCATGTGGCAGTCACCAGCTACAACATCCCATCCTGCTGCTACAGATCAGATACTGCTAACCACAGTTATCCAGAAACCCTCGATTTTTGGCTCTGCTTTCTATCCGTGCAAACACCGTTTCAGCGTCGCAATTACCTGTTCTTCCTTAATTGAATGGTCCATTGTCCAAAATAGCTCTACCCCGCATTCGTCAGAAGGTTCCAGGCTTCGACCCCCCTCAAGATGGTGCCTTATCTTCTGACCGGAAGCTGTGGAGCAAATCGAGTCACTGACCATTCCACTAGGCTGGGGAAAGCCCAAAAGTCTTTGTTGGGTCAATAGACAATGGGACGACAAGCTCTCGGTTCCTCATTTTCGACAGGGCGGGCACGCCCATCGCATCTCACCAGATCGAGTTTGAACAGATATACCCAAACCCGGGGTAGCATGTTATCTTGATCCTTGCATGAAGAAATGGCTAATCGCGTCGCTTAGATGGCACGAGCACAATCCCGACGAGCTCGTCTCGAGCGTTGAAGAGTGCATAGAAAAGGCGTGCAAAGAATTTGGATCGCAGGGGCACTCATTATCCGACATTAAGGTGGTAGGCATAACGAATCAAAGAGAGACGACTGTTGTTTGGGACTCGGAGACGGGCGAGCACCTTCACAATGCAATCGTCTGGACAGATACTCGTACCGCATCTATCGTGCGTGAGCTAAAAGCACGCACAGGCGCAGGTGACCTCACAGAGCTTTGTGGCCTGCCTCTTTCGACATATCCTTCATCGACGAAACTGCTTTGGCTGCTGCGCAACGATGACAAAGTAAAGAAAGCATATGAACAAGGCCGCCTTGCTTTTGGAACGGTCGATGCATGGCTGGTGTACAAGCTGAATGGCGGACCAGCAAAGAATGTCTTTGTTTCAGATCCAACCAATGCGAGCAGAACGATGTGGATGAACATCCACAAACTCGAGTACGACGAGAAGCTCATCTCCTTCTTCGAACTCGACACCAAGAAACTCCACCTCCCCAAAATCGTACCCTCTTCAGACCCAAATGCATACGGCCAGCTTGCAGACGGGCCGCTCAAAGGCGTGAAAATTGGAGGAGTGCTAGGCGACCAATCCGCCGCACTGGTGGGCCAATGCGGTTTCTCCCCAGGCCGCGCAAAGAACACCTATGGTACGGGCTGCTTCCTGCTATACAACGTCGGCGAAAAGCCCGTCATCTCCAAACACGGCCTCCTCGCAACCGTAGCCTACGACTTCCGTGGCCAGAACATTCCTCCCGTCTACGCGCTCGAGGGCTCCATAGCCGTCGCAGGTTCCTCGATCAAATTCCTCATGAATAATCTTGGCTTCTTCGGCGACAGCGCCAAGGTGAACGAGGTAGCCTCCTCAGTCGAAGATAACGGAGGCTGTGTATTCGTCACGGCGTTCAGTGGCCTGTTCGCTCCATACTGGATCGACGATGCAAAGGGCACAATCTTCGGCATCACGGCCCACACACAAAAGGGCCATATCGCACGCGCTACGCTCGAGGCGACGTGCTTCCAGACCAAGGCGATCCTCGAGGCGATGGAGAAGGACAGTGGCCACAAACTCGAACAGCTGGCTGTCGATGGCGGCATGAGCAACTCGGATCTCTGCATGCAGACCCAGGCCGATCTGATCCAGATCCCGGTCGACCGCCCGAGCAGTGAGCAAATCTCCACCCCCCCACCTTCCCCTCCCTTCTCTTATCTCTGTGGAGGAAGAACTTGTCTAACTAACCCGCCCCTTCGGTTTCGCCGTCGGCATCTGGAGGAGTTTCGACGAGCTAAAGGAGATCAATCGCGATGGGAGGATGTATTTTAAGCCCCAGATCTCGGGGAAGCAGGCG